CGTGACGGTCGCCGTCGAGGCCGGCAACGACGTGTGGCAGTACTACAGCGGCGGCGTCGTGACGGCGTGTCCCGGCGCGCAGTCGGACCACGCAGTCATCGCCGTCGGCTACGGCACTACGTCCAGCGGCACCAACTACTTCAAGGTGCGCAACTCGTGGGGCGCGTCGTGGGGCGAGGCTGGCTACATCCGCCTCCAGCGCGGCGTTGGTGGCAAGGGCATGTGCAACGTCGCCGAAATGCCCGCGTACCCCAAGATCGTCAAGGCGTAAGCCAGACCTTTCCTTCCGTCCTTGTATGGACATTCGATGTGTGCTCTCGTCCATGAACCACCCAAAGATTTAAAGCTTCAAAAGTTGTTCCTTTTGTCTCGTTGTCGTTGTGGACTGGAGCGAGAACGGCAGCAGCAGTTGGTACCTAGCGTTCAATCCTTGGTAGACAGAAGTACCGGTATGTGGATTGGGATTGTAGTTTTAATCGCATCCAATTGGTCGGGTGAATACGTTCTGCTTCGTGCGACGTAGTTGTCTAGTGTAACGGCAAGTGCAAGGACAACTTCAAGCCTGCTGACACGACGTGCAAGGCGGGTGACGCTTGCACCGACGATGCCAAGTGCTCGGGTACAACGGCAAACAGTTTCATGTCCACCGAGATTCCGACAAGGCGTTTTGAATGTTACGACGTATAAGACTCGCGGGGATCAATACGGGCATCCGTAAACGAATCATGGAAAAGTTCTGGCTCGAATCCACGAGGTGCATGTGTTTAGCAACCTCTCGGAGTGACCCACAGGCGAAATGCTAATCGTGTCCTCAAATTCGTGATTCTAAGTAACGTGAAATGCAGTCGGACATCCACTCGGGCTATAAAAGGCTTTGGCTGTCATGGTGAGACATGACTTGCAATTACTCGAGCTTAGGAAATGCTGCAATCTGTGCCAACCACGACAGTGCCGAGGAGTCTCGATCGACAGGATTGCTAGCGGTACGCAGCGCCAGCTGCCGAATCCGGCTCGTGGGAATCGCCATCTCGACCTGTCTCGCAGGCGGCATCTCGACCTCTCGCGCGGGTGGCCAGACAAAGTCATCTGCTTGGATCTGGCCGCGCGCGGTGATCTCCGCGATCCAAGGAGCACGACGACTCGTTCCAGTGCTGGCTGTCGTTTGTCGAGCTCCAATCGCAGCCATGAGTGGGTTCGCTGGTCTTGGTCGCTGAGGGTGAGCACAGGCGCTCTTGGCAAGTCCAGTGGTGGTGGTCGCGGACGGTGCGTCGGGAATGTCTGCGAACCCGCAGTCGTTGTGGACCTCGACCACCATGTACACCGGCCCGTCCGGGTAGCCATAGTCGCTCGCGTAGGCTGGTGACGCATCCGCAATCAGCGGACACTGCTTCCCGCGCAATGGACATCCGACATCGGGTGCCTCGAGCGTTGCGTACGGATGGCTGCCTGGCGGTCCGTACTGCGCGACGTGGGCCGTGAACGCGTTGACGCTCGAGACATACTCGCCTCGCAAGCGTTGAAACCAGTCGTATCGGCGCTTGCCAAGTTCGCTGTCATAGTTCATTGCCCACTGCCGCCCGACGTCCCGCAAATGCGCGTGCAGTGCTCGTCGCTCAGTTAGCGTCAAGCCTGTCGTCCGACGATTTTCAAGTACCGAGGGATGGCTCCTCGCAACGACGGCAGGGTCCGTGCGCAAAAGCTCCAAGATGTTGGTCCGCTTGAACTTGCGCGCGACGTCGCGGGAAAGCGTCTGACCGTTCGGCGTGATCATGCCAGTCAGCGCCGCCTCCGACAGCGACTGGATGTTGACGGGGAGCATGCGCCGGACCGCGTAAAGGGCTCGCAAGGCGTCGTCAGCATCGGCGTCGTCCCACGCTTCTTGCAATCGAGTCTGCTCAAGTATGTACTCGGGCGTGTGCTGAATGGCTTCGTGGCACGCCTCCATGTCTAGCTCGAGCACAAAGTACTCTTCGCGAAGGTCTCTCTGGACTTGCGCGTCCGGGTGCCTCACGTTGGCCGTCCCAATCTCGGTCATGCGGCGGGAGATCTCTTGCATGCGGCGCAAGAGCTCGTCGTAGTTGTCGTTATGGCGCAAAATGACGTCGAGACGGTGCAGGAGTGGGTCGTTGCGAGGCGTGGACGGAGGCAACGGGACGACGCCGAGGCGTTGGTAGAGGTCGGCGCCGTAGATGCCAGGAATGAACTCGATCGTGCAGGGCCGGTGTGCAGTACGGAGTACGTCGTTGACGAACGCAAAGGGCTTGAAGAGGACGTCCATGTCGTTGACGCGGCACAAGAGGTCGCCGGCGACGACGCCGCTGTCGAGCGCAGCGCCACGGACGCTTTTAACAAGCGCGCCATCGAGGCCCGACGCAGCGCCGTCGACGGGCAGAATGCCGAACTTGGGCCCGTCAAAGCGCACCGCGTACGTCGGCAGATCGGCGGCTCGCGTCATTGTCAAAGTAGCAACGACGTGAGAATGCACTTTTCACAACCGACCGGCACAGCTGCCACGTTATCCGGATACGGTGGTGTCTTCCGGCGCAGCAAGCCGACATGCAGTACTACTAGTAGTAAGCACTACTGGCCAAGACAAGTACAATACCAAGGCCTAGCCGCTGCACTTGCCCTGCTGTAAGATGCATCGACTCCAGATTCGTCCAAAGCCGTGGAATGCACTATAGGACACTCTGTAGCCTAGCACGTCCACTCCAACGTGACACGACTTGGATAGGGCGCAAGGGAGAGCTACAGGTCGACGACGGCTGCGCAGGACGCTCGCCGACACGCTACGCGCTGCAGTCAACGCTGCTCATCGTGCCGAGCGATTGGGTAAAAAAGCGACGAGCAGCGTGATTGCTGCTGTGACGAAAACTCACTTGATACCTTGATATTCTATACTTTGATGGACGGATTAGGATCACGGCGTAAAGAAAGCATCAGAAGACTGCAGGATCCAGGGCGACCGTCTCGACTACTACATCGACTTGCTTCGATGCCACTACACACAAAAGCGCCAACGGGTAGCTAATATTACGGCGTCACGGGTTACTCAATCTTCTTTCGGGCTGCAATCGCTGCCATCAGCGGGTTGGCAGGCCGCGCCGGCGGCGCGTCGTCGTCGTCACCACCCACCTTTCCTCGCGCCGCAATCGCCGCCATCAACGGATTCGCCGGTCGAGCCGGCGGCGCGTCATCGTCGCCCTTCTTGCCACGGGCCTGAATCGCCGCCATGAGCGGGTTGGCGGGTCGTGCCGGCGGCGCATCGTCATCGCCTTTCTTGCCACGGGCCTGGATCGCCGCCATCAAGGGGTTGGCGGGTCGAGCCGGCGGCGCATCGTCATCACCCTTTTTACCACGGGCCGCAATCGCGGCCATGAGCGGGTTGGCGGGTCGAGCCGGCGGCGCGTCATCGTCGTCGCCGCCCTTCTTGCCTCGGTTCTGGATCGCAGCGAGCAGCGGGTTGCCGCCGCCGCGACCGCCGCCAAACGGATTCGGGCGCGCTGGCGGCGCGTCGCCGTCGTCGTCGTCGCCCTTCTTGCCTCGGTTGGCGATCGCCGCCATGAGCGGGTTGCCACGGCCGCCGCCGCCGCCAAAGGGATTGGGCGGACGCACCGGCGCTTCTTCGGCCGCGGGCGGCGGCGGCGCCGCCTTTTCGTTTTCCTTTCGGATCTCTTCCTTGACGTCGTGGAGGAGCTCGGTGCGGCCCTTGAGCTTGCGCGCGATCAGCGCCTTGTCGCTGAGCGTGCTCAAGGTCGTACTGCAGCGGTCCCGGAGCTCCTTGAGCAGATCCGTGACGGCCTTCATCGCACCGACAAGGCGCTTCTCTTCGTCAAACTTGTTTTTGGCCATGCGGTCTTCAATGCCACCAAAACAGTCGAGGACCGTGTCGATGAGCAGGATGCAGTACTGGATCTCCAGGCCCGACCGCGTGTCGGGCGTGTCCTTCTCCGGGTTGCGCCGACCCGCGAGGTTCATGCCCGAGCGCTCGGCCATCGGGTTGGTCGTCAACCGAATCTCGTTGATGAGCTCGTCAAAGTCGGCGACTTCCATCTTGTTGCTCGCCTTCTTCTCCAGAATCCGCTTGAACCACTCGCCCTGGCGCGCCTCGATCTTGTCGACCAGCTCCTCCATCTTTTCAATCGCGCCGTTGGCCGCCTTCACAAGCACAAGCGACCCCTTGAAGGTCGCGTAGTGGGCCTTAAGACCCTCCAAGCGCTGCTGGGCGCGGGCGTCGGCGGCCTTGGCCTTGAGGAGCGCCGCGGCTTCGGCCATGGCTTGCGCACCCGCATCGTCGGCGGCGCTCTTGAGCACTTTGGTCTTGACAAACTCGGGTCCGTCCGGGTAGCCCCAGTCTTGATTGTAGGCCGGGGCCGCGTCCGCTTTCAACGGGCACTGCTTGCCAAGCATGGGGCAGCCGACGCCGGGCTCGTCACGCGTCGCGTACGGGTGGTTGCCGGGCGGGCCATACTGCGCGACGTGGCGGTTGTACGCGTTCGCTGCCGTCTTGAACGTGTCCTTGAGACTCTTGAACCAGGCGAATTTACGCCCGGCCATCTCTTCCTTCTGCTGCGACTTCCAGCCCTCGGCAATGTCCCGCAAATGCATGTGCAGCGCGCGCCGCTCCGTGACCGTGAGACCGGTGACGCGGAGACAGTCGAGCGTGCTCGGATGCGCTTTCGCAAGGTCTTGCGGGTCCGTCCGGAGCACTTGGAGCACGTCCGTCCGCTTGTACTTGAGCGCGACTTCGCGCGTGAACTTCTTCCCGTTGGGCGTGAGCTCGTTCTGGAGCTGCGCCTCCGAGAGCGACTTGATGTTTACTGGCATCATGCGGCGGATCGCCTTGACCGCGAGCTCATTTGCCTCCTTGTTTTCGTCTTCCCATTCTTGCTCCTTCCGGGCTTGCTCGGCCGCGTACTCGTCCGTGAGCATGAGCGCGCCGTTGTACTTCTCCATGTCTTGCTCGAGCTTAAAGTACTCTTCGCGCAGGTCTTTCTGGACCTTCGGATCGGGATGCGTCACGTCGGCCGACCCGATTTCCCCCATGCGGCGCGAAATCTCCTCGACCTTCTTCTTGGCTTCTTCGTACGGAATGTCGTCGGCAACGGCAATACCGGCCTGCTGCAGCTGCTTCTCGAGCTTCAGGAGGCGGCGCAGTAAGGCTTCTTGGTCGCTCGACATCTCGCCCTTGTTCTTGAGCATGTCAGCGGCGCTCTCACGGGGCGCGGGCGGCGGCGCGGCCACTTGGATCTGCTTGCGCTTGATGCTGTTGTCGCGTTTGAGCTGCTCAACCTCACGCTCGAGCTCGGCCATGCGCTCGTGGTTGCTGCGCATCGACTCGAGAAACTGGTTGGCAGCCTCTTCGTCAATACCGTCCTTGAGCATGCTCTCCTTGACTTCGGCTTCCGGCGTCTTCTCGTACAGCATCGCACGGTAGCGTAAAAAGTTGGTAAAAAGATGAGTGCCTACACATCATCCAAGTCTCCAACGGATGCAAATGGAACGCGCGCACCGCCCGCAAACGACTTTTGCTTGATGAGCTTGCTGCGCTGGATGAGCTTCTGCGCTTCCTCTTGGGCCTTCTTGGCCTCGGCCATCTGCGCATCGGCGCGCTCCTGCGCGTGGCGCGCTTCGGCGATCGCTGCTTCCGCCGCCGCACGCTCGCCCATGGCGTCCTTCTTGGCGGCTGCAATCGCAGCCTCGGCCTTCTTGCGGGCCTCCTCGACGAGCGCGTTGGCGGCTTCTTGGGCTTGCTTGGCGACGCGGTCGGCCACCGCAGCCTCCTGGTCGGCTTGGTTCGTAAGCGCGTCAAACTGCGCTTGCTCGAGGTCCATCTGGTTCTTCGCGCGCATGAGCGACGAGTCGCGCATGCCATAGGTAGCCGGCGTCGTCGTCTCTTCTTGCTCAAAGTCGTCGTTGTTGTAGCGGAGGCTGAGCGTGATCGACGCGTGCGCGCTGCGGTCGGCGAGAATGAGCGAGTACGTCTGCTCCATCTTCGTCTTGTTGGGCAGCGACGCGATCGGGATCGTAAACGTCGAGAGGAGCTCGGCCGCGCGGATCATGCGCTCGTCAAAGACCCGGATCTCGATGAGCGCGTCGTCGCCGGGCACGCCAAACGTCACCTTGTTGTCTTGGGCCCAGCGCGGGTTGAGCGAGTCCTTCACGACCGGCGTCTTGAACGTCTCGGAGCCGAGGGTGACTTCGCAGTACGGGTTCATCTAGAATCCGACAAAAGACGATGAACTACGGCCGGCCGACGATCGAGAAGTCGCTACCACGTGGAAGAAGGCTTTCGTGAGGTTCTGGATCGAAATGACCTCAATGTCGACGGTCGGACCGCCGGCAATGAGGCTCGAGATGCGCATGGACGGGTCTTTTGGGATGCGAATCGACGGCGCGCTCGGGAGCTCTGGAATCGCTTGCATGCTCAAATTCAGCCCTTGCACCGAGAGCCGGCGGTTCGTACGCGACAGCAGCGACATGCTGCTGTCTTCGTTGATCGACGGCATGCGCCGCGTGCTCGATCGCCCGAGCTGCGTCGACCGGAGCGCATCGACCTCGGACGACGTTCGACACAGCGCTTTGGACGCATCGATTGCGACCTTGAGCGCTTCGAGCCACTCCATCTTCTCTTCTTCGGACGTGCACGACATGACGAACTCGCGGTCGCCGGCCTTGAGCTCGAGGAGGTAGTCGCCCGGCGCGCCCGTGAGCTTGGCCGACGTTGACGGCAGCGACCGCACCGTGCAGCGGCAGTTTTCAAAATTGACAACGCCCTGCGACGTCTTGTCTTTGGCGTCCTTGAAGTACTCGAGCTTGGTGACGGCGAGCACGACGTGGCGCTTCTTCCAGTTCTTGACCATGCGGCCTTGCTTGTACATGGGGCCTTCCTTGATGACGGTCGATCTATTCTCTTGGATGATCTCCGTGATCGTCTTTTCTGGCGCCGGCGCGGCCTTCTCGGTCGGCGCGGCCGTTGGCTTGGCGCGGGCGACGCGGACGTTCTTCTCGACGACCGACATGTTGAGGTTCATGCGCTGGACCTCCTCGAGGTTCGTCTTTGGGATGAAGTCGAGTGACCGCGGCGGCAGCGTGGCCTTGATGAGGTTCTGGACTTGCTTGAGCGACATGAAGAGCACCTCGGTGCCATTGACCTTGTACAGAATGTCGCCGGGCGAGATGCCCGACTCCTCGGCAAAGTCGCGGACGCCCTTAACGATCGCGCCGTCAATGCCAAAGCGCGCGCCGTCGTCGAGGTTGAGGCCCATCTTGGCGTCGTCGAAGACCACGTTGTAGGACGGGACGTTGACGTCGAGGCTATCGACCTCGGCCGACGTGGCCATCTTCTTCAGCGACATGGGCACGATCTCAAACGTGAGCGCGAGTGGGCGTGGCATCGTCTTGATGAGGTTGACTGCGTCCGCAAACTTCATGCCATCGAGGGGCGTGCCACCAATCTCGATGAGGAGGTCGCCGTGCGAGATCTGCCCGATGAAGAGCTCGTTCTGGACCTTGTCGATCTTGAGGCCGCGGATCGTGACGCCATGCTTGGGCGGCGTGATGGCGACGCCCAGCTTGGAGCCCGTCGGCAGGTCGAGCTGGATCAGACGCGGAGGAGCTTCAGCCATCTCGTCGTCGCTTTCTACTTGTTGTCAATCACCCACAGGAAGACCAATACAATGCTTGCCCCCGAGGCTTTTTTACAGGATTCACACCCTATAGCCTAACATTTGTATTGGGTTTAAAACGTTCCTAAAAAAAGACATTTCCCAAGTCGTTTCGCCATAGAAAAGAAATTCGACGGGACAGTGCACCCGCGGCTGTCGGCGCCGACGCCAAGCAACCGCCACGCTCCGCGGTCCTGAGACCTTGGGTCGCGACCACCTAGATCAACTGCCTCGGCCCAGCGACCGCCGAGGACCCGCAGAGAAAATGAGCCAAGTCCGAATCCTGTCCCATATTTCTGCGGTATCCTCGGCGCTGGCCTCAAGGAAGCAGCACGACGCCGCCACGGTCTTGGCTCAGCAAATGGCGCCTGCTGTACGAGCACATCCGAAGGCTGCGTATGCAAGCCGTGGGATGTACCATGGTACCGGCTGCTTGGTGCGCACATGGCCGGCGAGGGCCTGGCAGCGCGGTGCCTCATGATGAGGACTGGTGTCGCGAGTAGCCACGGCGGATTGCCGATCAGGTCACGGACGAAAACGCATGCGTCACCGATGTATTTCATATGTAGATGTTGTCTCTCTTGATGTATGTATAAAAACGCATGCTGTTTCATCGTAAAGCTCGACGTGCGACCGATATCTTGTCGAGGCGGAGAGCGGGAGCGGTCACTTGTCGGGTTGCTGTGGGGTTGAAGCGCGCATCGCACCTGGTGTGTCGCTGCCAGCGTCAAACGAGCTGTCTTCCGCGCAGTAACGCGGGTCGTCGAGTCAGCTCGGTGCGCGGTAACGCGCGTTGCACGCCTCGTCGCTGCTCCGGGGGCGACGCCACGCATCCATCATCATGATCCTCCCATCCCGTCCCATTTGCCTCGTCTTACCTCGTTTGCTGCTTGCACCGCGCAGAAGCATCTACCTCCCTAATACCAGCAGCCTCCTCATGGACGACTCTTGGGATGGACAGGCGACGTTGGAAGTAGCCGCTGCGCCAGAGTTACCGCTGCGCCCGCGACAGGCCATCTGTGATTGGCGCGCGGACAACCGCAGTAACCAATGGCTACGCTCCAAAGATATGGTCCTCGTGGCCCGCGCGTGGCGGCAGCGACGACAGCCTCGCGCTGGCCTCGGCCGCCGAGCTTGCAAGCAGACGCTAGACGCAGCGTACAAGCAGCGGGCGGCGACAGCTTGCAGCAGCTCGGCCCTCTAGCAATGTGTCACGCATTCCGCAGCGCGACCAACGCTGCCCCGCCTCTTTTCCGCGTATCCGGACGCCCACGGTAGCGTATCCGGACACGTCGCCTTTAGAAACGCAGCGTGGGGAATTTTGGCTTTGGGTCGTTTTGTGGCGTTGATCGGTCCGCCCGCTTCCGCCTGCTGCTGCGAGAACGACGAGCAGCATGACGTGGCCCTGCAGCAAGTGCGACTACACATCCAACGAAGACGGCGTCGACACGTGCGTCGCCTGCGGGACGCTGCACACGTCCCGCACCAACACATCCTCGATGCGCACGCTCTCGTCGGTCTCCACGTCGGCGTCGCACGCCGAGAGCGACGTGGCGACAACGGTCATCATTGAGCTGCCGGCCAAGCAAAAGCTCGGCGTGAAGCTCATGCCGCCCAAGACAGGCGTCATCGAGCACGGCCTGAGCATTGACAACATTGACAATCCGCTCTTGGACACCAAGGTCGCACCCGGCGACCTCATTGTCGCGATCGGTGGCACGGACGTCGACGGCCTCGGCTTCTCGGAGGCCATCGAGCTCATCCGCAAGATGCCACGGCCGCTCGCGATTACGTTTGAAATCGTGCTCTCGCGCCGCGAGAACGCCCACAAGAAGAAGCAGCGCGAAGAGCTCGACTCGACGCTCGGTGAGACCGAGCTCCCGACGTACGCGGTCGTGTTTGAAGAAGGCCCGATGGGCCTTAACCTCGAAGAAGCCACGCGGTATGGCATCGACGGCGCGGTCGTCAAGGCCGTCAAGGGCCAAGCCAAGTCGAACGGGCTCATCTCGATTGGCGACATTGTGTGCAAGGTCAACGAGACCGACGTGCTCTGCATGCACTACAACGAAGTCATGAACGTCATCCGCAAGACGCCGCCGCCCCGGACGCTGCAATTCGTGCCCAAAGACAAGCTGCCCGACGTCCAGCGCGTCAACTCGCGCAACTCGGAGGCCGCGCTCAAGCCGCGTCCGTCCGAGATGCCCATGTCCAAGTTTGCGCAGAGCTCGCGCATTGTCAAGGCCGAAGACGACGAGAACAAGTCGATCCAAGAACTGATTCGCGAAAACAAGACGGCGACGATCAAGAAAGGGCGCATGTACAAGCAGTCGCGCGTCCTGAAGCAGTGGAAGGCCCGGTATTTTGTGCTCAGTGTCTCGAAGCTCGAGTATTTCAAGAGCCCGTCGTCGACGTCGTCGCGCGGCGAGCTCGAGTTTCTGCACCACCGCTGCACGGTCCGGAGTCTTCCGTCCTCGACCGACATGGTGTCCAAAGCGCCGGCGATCCCGGCATCGTTCCTCCTCGAAGTCCGCGCCGACGAGAAGCGGCTCGTCATGGCGTGTGCGTCCGAGTCGGAGAAGAAGGCGTGGATGGACGCGCTCAAGCTCGCGATCGACGCCTCGCGCACGATCTTTGCGTCGCGCACGGCGTTTACCAGTGGCGACGGCACCGGCCGCCTCTCGCAGTTCGACTACGACTCGTTCCCGACACCCGTGCTGCACGTCTCGGTCATCTCGGCCACGAACCTCGCGAAACCTGGCGCGACCGTACGACCTCCTCTTTTTGTAAAATGATGGCACGCTGACCGACTGTGTTTGGGGCATTAGGTCAACGCCATGTGTGAGATTACGCTGAACGCCGAGACGTTTACGACCATGGTCATCAAAGGCCAGCGGTCGCCCGAGTGGCGACAGGACAATACCGTCACGTTTGAAGCCACGAGCGACGAGAGCGTTCTCGAGATTCGCGTGTACGACGAGCACGGCTTCTTCAAGTCCTCGGAGCTCCTCTCGACGCTCCAAGTGCCGCTCAAGACGCTGCCCAACATGGAGAAGACGTTCAAGGAGTACCCGCTCGTGCTCGGCAGCCGCACGTCCGGCGCCGTCCTCACGCTAGCCTTCGAGTACGTCAACAAGGCCAAGGAATACCAGGAGCGTGTCCGCGGCAGCCGCCGCAACACGCTCTTGAACGACCGCGAAGAGATGCTCAAGATCAAGTCGGACGCGCAGCACGCGGCCGACGAGGCCGAGAAGCGTGCGCGCCGCGCCGAAGAAGAAGCCAAAGCGTACCTCAACGAAGCGCAGCTCAAGGCCGAGCGGGCGATGGAAGCGGCCCGCGCCGAACGGGAAGAGGGCAAGGCCGCGGTCGAAGCCGCGATGGCCGAAGCGGAGATGGCCAAGCAGTTTGCGGAAAAGCAAGCTGCGGAAGCCAAGCGCGCGCAAGAGGAAGCCCAGGCGCTCATTGAAGCCAACCGACGCATCCAGGAACAGTCGAACGACCTCCCGGGCATGCAGTACTCGGAGGCTTTTATGCAGTACCGCAAGATGCTCCTCGATGGCAAGAAGGAGGAGGTTGTCCGCGACGTCATGAAGAAGGACGGCGTCGAAGACCGGTCCATCGATGCGTTCTTTTCCGAAATGAAGGCGCTCGACCTCAAGATCAAGGAGCTCCAAGCCGAGGTCGAGAAGCTCAAGAGCGGCCGGGGCGGGCCCGCGAAGGACGAGCCCAAGTCGTTTGACATGAGCAACATCTCGAGCGACCAAGCGCTGCTTCTGCGCCGCCTCCTCAAGCTCGAGAAGCAGCTGCAGCAGGCCGGTATCGCGATCGCCGACGACATTCCGTACGAAGAAGCCAAGGTCAAGGTCGAGACCATCTCGCGTCGCATGGGCGAAATCGGGTCGGCCGACGTGACGCATCCGGATCCGAAGGTCCAAAAGCAGCTCCGCGAAGAGTACTACAAGCTCGAGCAAGACATGGAGAAGTACAACACGGCGCTCATGCTCACGGACGAGTACGCGGCCGAGCAAGCCCGGAAGGAGCGCGAGTGGGAGGAAGAAAACGCCGAAGCCAACGCGCTCGCGGTCAAAGCGATCCGCCGCATGATGCCGGTCGATGTCGCGTCGCGCTCGGAGGCGCAGCTCCAAGAGGAGCTCACGCCCAACGGCAAGCGCCTCACGCGCGAAGTCGCGCTCAAGTTTAAGCGCACCAACATCCTCCAGATTCTGCGCACGAGTCCGCAAGACTTGGCGAAAGCGCACCCGAGCGTGCTTGAGAACCTCCGCGTGACGGGTCTCACCGTCACGGAGCGGCGCGCGGTGCACATGCACTTGCGGGACGTGGCCGCTGGCTGGGAAGGCCAGAAGGGCGAAGAGATGGCCGCGCGCCGGTATGCGTTCTTCAAGACGCTCAAGGAGACGTTCAAGACAGTCGTCAACTCGTACAACCGTCACGTCGCGCAGTACGGCCCGCCCGGCAACCACCCGTATGCGACGCGGGACAACCCGGACATTGGCTGCCCGCTGCTCGGGAAGCAGTGCCCGTTGAAAGCCGACGCGGCCCCGGCCTACATTATCGACCTCGGGTATCCAACCGAAGACGTGTACATCGAGTCGACGGTGCAAAAGTCGTCGGCCGACGACGCCGGTGCACAGGCGCTGGCCGAGGCGAAGCGATTGGCCCAAGAAAAGACGGCGAACGTGCGCTCGGAAGGGCTCAAGCAGCACTACAAGAACAAGATTCGGCTCGTCGCCGATGCCAACGGCGCGTGCGAGAAGCTCGATGCGGAGATTGACCACATGGAGACGCAGCAAGCGCACTGGATCAAGACACGCCTTTCGCACGACAAGAGCAATACGACGTCGCCGACCACGATCAAGGTCGAACTGGCCGACTTTATGACGCTCGTCAACCAAGTGCGCTTGTCGTCCGTCTACTTTGCCGAACGCTCGGGCATGAACCTCACGGGGAAGCGCGACCCGGCCAACGACACGGCGGATTCGCGGTCCGCGATCGAGTGCGGCCTCGCGGTGGTCTTTTGCGACGCAGTCGTCGACTGCTTTGCCGGCATTGAGCACCGCCTCGAGAAGCTCAAGATCCAGGAAAAACGCCTCCAGAGTACCGTGCCTGCGACGCGCGAGCTCGTGGCCGAGCTCAAGGAGCGCAGCAACGCGACGATGGCGAAATTGCCGTCGATGAAGGCCGCCACGCGCCGTCTGAAACCCCGCGCCGACATTGAAAAGGAGATCAAGGAGCAAATGGCGTCCGAGGGCGGTGGTAGCGCAGCGGCTGCACCCGCAGCCGAGCCCGAGCGGCCACCCAACCCGATGATGGCGGCGCTCGCCGGCGGTCGTGGCGGTGGCCGGGGCCGTGGTCGGGGCCGAGGCGGCAACCCGTTGATGGCGGCGATTGCCGGTCGCGGCAAGAAGGGTGACGACGACGATGACGCACCGCCCGCACGGCCAAACCCGTTTGGCGGTGGCCGGGGCGGCGGCAACCCGTTGATGGCAGCGATTCAGGCGCGCGGCAAGAAGGGCGACGACGAGGATGACGCGCCAGCGGGCGGTGGCGGCCGCGGTGACTTTCTCTCGGCCATCCGAGGACGCGGCGGCGGTCGCGGCGGTCGGGGCGGCATGCCGGGTGGCGGCGACTTTCTCTCGGCGATCAAGAACCGCAAGAAGGCCGAGGACGACGACTAGCGTGTATGTAGGTAGTGGATTAACTAAACTAAATAGCAGCATATACACCGTGCGCGTACTGTTGTTAGAACGCGCAAACCGCCATGCCGGCAAATTTGGTCGAGCTCGTTGCTCGTTCTGCCACGTCATGTCCACACGCGATATGCAATGGTTCAATTGAAAGTTGCATCGTAAACTCGAATACGACACCACTTTTTGCATGTAAATATTCTACGTTGACGCCGTCCAATGCGCAGCGTCAAAGCAGCCTCGTCGTACCGGTATGGCCAAGCTGGGATCGCCAAGCTACTGGACTGTGCGCCGCACGCTGCCATGCACTTCAAATGTAGGGCATTTGTCCCAAATAGAGCCTAATTAGGTCGAAATGAGGCAGGAGGTGCACTCGCGTTCCCCAATTGGCGAGAAGATCGCCGCAGTGGCTTCAGTGTTTCCTCGACGAAGAAGATGAAGACGACGACGATGATGGCGCCGTGGACGCTGCGTCAAATCTGGGCCGCGGCCGTCCACGTCGCAGACCACGCTCAGCAAGTGCAATGTCGGCGGTTCCGGATAATACGCTGCTCCCAGCGTGCCAGGTCACTTTCATCCGGATTCCGATCCAAACACGGCTGGTAGGCTGCCGGCTCAACATCCTGGCCAACAAGAGACCTGTGAAATACACACTTGTAGTAATCAATGCCACGGATCAACTTGTACAAACAAGGTATCGTGTTCTTGGATCTGCTACTACCAGCTCTGTTGTCCTTGTTCTGGAACGCGCATCATGGCGTTCGAGGGACCCAATTTTCCGCCTCGCACAGCCAAGAATCATAAACAATCGTCCATCAGCAAGTACCCACGCGCCACAGAGTATCAGAGCGACGGCGTCGTTCGTCCATGGACGGCGTCTAAAAGCCCGCTCTACCTCGTGCAACCTGCATTCTCGTCGACAAACGTTGGGTGTTTTTAGCCTCAAAGATCGCAAACGTCACTTTACAACCAGAAAGCCGAAGAAGAGGGGCCATGGATCGTCCTGTCCGCGCCATCATCATTGGCGCTGGCCAGCGTGGCCGCGCCTACGCAGAGTACGCCCTCGAGCGCCCCGACCTCTTTCAAGGTACAACGCCGCATGCAAGCACCGTCGCTGACGCTGCCTAGTGGTTGGCGTCGCCGAGCCCGTGGCGTACTGGCGGGACCACACTGCCTCGACGTACGTTGGCGTTGGCATCCATACGCCGTAGCCTTATATCGACATGCGATGTGACTAGCTATGGCATTCCGCCCGACGCCGTCTTTACGACGTGGGAAGACGCGGCCGCCAAACCCAAGTTTGCCGACTGCGTCATCATTGCGACCCAAGACTCGATGCACGCTGGTCTGCTCCAGATGGAATCTAGAAGCCCCTGATCGACATTCTGGTAGAGCCTGCGATCGCCTTTGCCGACCTCGGCTACCACATCTTGCTCGAGAAGCCCATGGCCGTGACCAAGGACGACTGCATTCGCATCCACGCCGCCGCCACGCGCAACAACGTCTTGCTGGCCGTGTGCCACGTCATGCGCTGCACGCCGTACTCGCTCAAGCTGCGCGAGCTGATTGCGAGCGGCGCGATTGGCAAGGTCGTCAACATCCAGCACATCGAGCCGGTCGGGTTTTGGCACCAGGTGTGGACACTATTGTCTATAACTATATGGACAATCGACGCGATCTAGGTGCACTCGTACGTCCGTGGCAACTGGGCAAAGCAAGCGTCGTCGACGTTCATGCTCATGGCCAAGAGCTGCCATGACATTGATTACCTGCAGTTTCTCATGCAAAAGGACGTGCGCGCCGTGAGCTCGTTTGGCTCGCTCTACCACTTCCGCAAGGTCTCGACCCCCTTCTTAGAGTAGATGTTTCTTATTTTGGATTAGGACGAAAAGCCAGAGGGCGCTGGGGACCGGTGCCTCGAGTGCCCCATTGAAGCGTCATGTGTCTACTCGGCCAAGAAGATGTACCTTGGCGTGGATGACGCGCCGACGTCGTTCGAGCCGATCGAGATTGAGCAGTGCGACGGCTCGAAAGCAGCTGTCAAGCCGAGCAATCAGTCGTGGTACACGGGCAAAGCCAGCGCGTCGCAAGGCAACCAAGGCTGGCCCGTCAATGTCCTCCACGGCACGACCACATGTGCGGGATATTATGTCATCGTGACAGCTCTGTTTAGAACACCCGACGGTGGACAACATCACGCACGAGCTCGCGACGGGACGTTATGGCCGCTGCGTCTACGAGTGCGACAACGACGTCGTCGACAACCAAGTGGTCAACTTTCAGTTTGTCGATGGCGCAACCGCATCGTTTAGCATGGTCGCATTCACCGAGCAGCAGGTACGTTTTCTTTCGTCTGCGAAACCGAGGACAATCTCTCCATCTTTGACTAATAGTGTGTTCGTACCACGCGCATCTTTGGCACCCACGGCGAGCTCAGTGGCAACGGGTCGACGATTCGCCAATTCGATTTTCTCACCCGCAAGATCACCGAGATTACGCCGGCGGGGCTGCCGTCCACGTCCAAGGTCAAGGGCCACGGCGGTGCCGACTTCTTTATGATTGAGAATTTCGTACAAGGCGTGCGCACGAACGACGCGAGCGTCCTACTGACGGGCGCCGACGAGAGCTTGGCGTCGCATCTCATGGTCTTTGCCGCCGAAGAAGCGCGCTTGACGGATTCGGTCGTGCACATGACGTAGGCTTCCATTTGGAATGTTGAGTTTTATGTGAGCTCTTGATTGAAAGGATTGTGGACTTCTTTAATCAGATACGCAGCGACTTGCATAACGCTTTGTACTGCGTCGTGATGCAATGGGATATTTTGTTGTTTAACTGCCCGTCGGTGTAGTAGCTTTCGAGGTTCTCGTCGTAGGTGCAGCCGGCGCGCAGCATCCACGCGTGAGCCGTGTCGAGCGAGATGCCGTTGTTGATGTTGATCTTGCGGCTCTCCAGTAGCGCGCGCAAAGTCCCGTCATCTTCGGCAAGGTACTCTCGCATCTTCATCCAGATGAATCGCTGTGTCGACTCGACTGTCGGAGGTCCGTGTCCGGGTACTGGGTGCGCAATCGAGGCCTTAATGTCGTCGAGTAGCCCGGGAAACGCGCCCATGATGCAGTCCCTGCGCCACCGGCCGCGATTATCCTCGCGAAAGCCGCCCGTCAACAAGAACTCACTTACCCAGCCGGCGACGGTACGAGGTGTGTAGCTCTTGGCAAGATTGTACGCCTCGATGGCAGCCGCTGCGCAATCGGGTCGGGTTTGCACGGGCTGAGGTTCGCGCATCGCCGCATGGTTGTTCGCGAGGTCTGCTCGCTGCGCAGCAAGGCTCTCGTTGTCGTTCTTGTAGAGGCGTTGAAGCACGTGCACCACAAGAAGCCCTTGGTCCCGCAGACGCAGCTTCTGCTGCGCAGTCTGAGTCTTGGCAAGGTCCGTCGGTGCGACCTCTCTGTCCGCCGGGTCTGTATTGCTCATGTCCTCGACGTCCGTAGCCTGGACTTTGCAAAGCTCGTACAGACGGTCGCGTGCGTGCAGTTGTAGCAGAGTCCGGATGTGCGCATCGAGGGCCAGCGCCCGGGCCTCGATCAGCGGAATACGCTTCGTAAGGTACTTGATCTTGTCGCGATGAGCACGAGCAGTAAGCGGTCCGCCGTAGCTCTTATCGAGCTCAAGTAGTAACGACGGCGCGATGTCGTCAGGTGTGCGCACGGCACCGAGAGCTGGATGCGACGTCCAATCACGCCACGTCATGCGCTTCAAGCCGAGTTGTCGACGGCACACGTTGAAGACGTCGTGCCTGGGTTGCCCCGTGAGAAGCATTTCTCGTAGATCCGCCTGCGCAGCCTCCTCCGTGTCGCGACGACGCCCCGGGCACTTGTTGCCATTCGGTTTGTACACCCACGCACGGAAGAGGCCCGATTTGGCCTCTCTCATGATCGACCCCTCGCGGATGGCGCAGCCTTCGGTCGAGTCTCAGTATTGGGCGGCGAGGAAGCGCCCTCGTCGTCGCCTGGCAACACCCACGCGGCTCCAAACAGAACGCTGCCGGCGAGCAGGGCTTCGTCGCGGCTGTCCTCGTACGGCCCATACTTGGACTTTATCTTACCGCGCTTGACTTCCTTGACGTGGGGTCGGTAATTGCGTTTGGACGAGCAGTACGTGACACCGCATTTGGCGCTCATCGTCGCGGCGCGAAGTGTGCAATTTCAAACCGTAATACGTCTAGTTTCTTATCCGGTAATTATGTATAGAAGAGGCTAAAAGTCGTAAATTTGGCAGTCGCACTGGCTCGAATCTTCAAACTGTGCTGCAGCATCTCTTGCACCTCTCGTGAGGCATAGCGCACCATATTCTAGTGTAGTGCTTGACAATACAAAGGTCCATATGTATGGAACCTTGCTGGGTAACGTCCCAATTTCGATTTATTTTGGATTAGAGCACCGACACCGTGCGACGGACCCCTAGCCCGCTGTGACCAATGTTGTCAATACACTAGACGTGTAGAGAAAATATCATTTAGATACTATACCAATTGTCAGCTCTTAATTCGTTGCGCGGGAAAAGTTCCAAGAGATGGCATTTTCCTCGCCGTTTCAGCTTTTATCAAATGGATGCTCACATTGCCCTTGCTGTTGGGGCTTGAAACGTCCCGATTCAAACCAACCAATGAACGCGCAGCATTTTGCAGCCAATGGCCACACGACGTGACTCTTGTCATGGCCCGACGACGTGCAAGTCCTGCGACCGTGGGCTCGACGCCGGACGCCGTTGAGCACATTGCAGGCTTTGTCCAGCACCACTATACGATCGTGCAGCTCTTGTCTGCGCTTCCATCCTCGGCCAAGACGCCGGCGGTGACGGCCCTCGACGCCCTCCTCGTGACGGCGTCCGTGCGCGTGGCCTGGCCCGAGGTCCACATACGCTTTGCGCCTAGTGCTGCGACGCTGCGTCATCTTCTTGACGTCCAAGTCATCGGTGTACGCGTGTGTTTGCAAGTCGATGTCGATGCAAACGGTCTCGCTCTCCTTCGCCGGCTGTCGCCCGTCGTGAACCACGTCTCGGCATCGTTTCCGCGGACCAAGGCGGCGAGTGCATTGCAGTCCATTCTCGCCGCATGCCCGCGCCTCTACAGCGCCGATCTGCACGTTCAAACGTCCATTGAGTCCTACGCGTTGTTTGATCGTCTGCCGCTCTCGGGACTTGCCGAGCTCACGCTGCGTGGCGCGATGCCAGCGTCCATGGTCATCGACGTCATCGCCATGCTCGCCAACGGGCGCAGCAAGCGCTTGCACCTCTTTGAAGTCACGTTTTCCCAGCTCTCGGCGGACGCAGCGGTCGCCTTGTGTGACGCCATGGCCGCGAGCACAAGCTTGACCGAGCTTGCGCTGGACAAGGTGTCGGGCGTCGACGAGCGCTTTCTGGAGCAACGGAAGCTGCCGCCCAAGCTGCGTCGTCTCCAGCTCTCAGCCTTCTTCCTCGATGTACCCTGGCGCGAAGGCGACTGGCGACGCGAAGCGATCGAGCACTACGCAGCCATCCTGCCGTTCGCGAGACACCTCGTCGAGTTTTCGAGTTGGCTCGTGACGCACATCTCGCGTGACGCACCCATGGGCTCGTTCTTCCGTCAGCTCAAGGTGCTAGAGCTTCTGCGGGACCCGCGTATCACGCCCTCGTGGCCTCACATGCTGTCGCTCTTGCCCGAGCTACCATCGCTCCAGGAGCTTCGCATGACCAACTGGTACATCCGTGACGACACGATGGGCAAGAATCTCGCGAACGCGCTGCAGCACTGCTCCCACCTGCGGTATTTGAGTATTTATGTGGACTACAACTTTTCGACGACGTGGCTCACGCAGATCGTGTCACGCAAACTGACCGGATTGACGCTGCGCGTCGCTCGGTGTACCGGCCCGCGCCTCGTCCAGCTTGTCAAGATAATACTCGCAAGTTCGTCTTCGCCCTTGCGCTGGGTCGCGATTGAAAAGCAGTTCTGGGCCATGAGCGAGCGCGCAACGACCACCAAGCACCTCAATGCTGCCAACGCGACGCTTCAGTACGTCGAGTGGAGCCGCACCGAAGACCAGAAGCGAGCCAACGTCAGCTACTGGGACGACAAAGCCATGGGTGACAACCGTCTCGTCGTGTTTTGCCGCTCCAAGCCATGAGACTCTAACGTTGCAAGTCACAAAAGGCAATCATTTTTCCGCATTTTTCTATTGGTCACAACGATCACATTTATAGCCAATCCTGAGCGTTGAATCGCTGCCGCGAGGCCTGATCGCCCGAACGACGTATAAAATGAAGTCACCCATACTTACAGTTAGCCCAGCGATAGACAATGTTGTCGCGAGCCCGAAACGTTACCTCCCGTCGCCATTGGAGGTATACCGCGAGAGCTATCGACGATGCCTTTTTCGCGGCAAATGCCACAGTTAGCAGGCATTTCGCGGCACCGTGCATCCAATTCCATACTAGTGTACTCCATCTAAATTGATGTAGTACACTCGCTTGCCATGCTGCGTGTGCGTTCCGAGGCGTCCAACCCCATTTGCGCGGCAAGTTGGGTTGCGAGCTCTCAGTGCTATGTTGGCGCGACAAAAAAGATATGGGCGACAGCGATTGGCACCAATTACATGATTTGCACCAATCCGATCTGTCAGATCCAAAGATATGCACCAATCACAGACGATAGAGTGCTCCTCGATCTTGCACATCGCATTTCTTGTCTTGCCAAGAATGGCCCAAGTCGAGCTCCGAACGGTCAAGCCGATCCGCGTCGCGATGCTGCGCGCCAGCCTCGCGTCCTTTCATGACCAAAAAGGCGTCTGGGGCGAGCTCTTGACGTTCATTTTTGGCCAAGGCCTCGCGCCGCGCGGCCCCACGATCGCAAAGTACTTCTCGATGGAGCCCATTGACCTGGCCGTTTGCTCGCCCTTGGATCCAACTGACCAAGTCAAGAGCCACGACCGCATTGTCGTCGAGGACCTCGAGGAAGCGCTCATGGCCGTCTACACGCACCGCGGCGCCATGTGCGAAATCGAAAAGGCGTACGAAGCGCTGTTTCCGTGGCTCGAGGCCTCCGAGTACGAGCAAGCAGGCCCGAGCCGCGAAGTGTACGTCCAGGTGCCGATGCGCCCCGACGTGGAAAATGGCGACTGGGACAACATCATTGTCGAGGTGCAGGTCCCCGTCAAGCGCAAGGCGACATAGTAGGCGACATGACCGAGTTAAAGTCCTTTTCTCCGGAAAACTTGCTTTTTGCGCGGCTACAAAAGCTTCTACCCCGCCTCGAGTGCGTTGGCGTCTCGTAGGACCCACTAGCCTATCGAGCGGTGTGGTTGTCCTGACAATAAGCAAGGTCAATCCATGCAACGTGAGACATGCACTCGTCGTCGACTTCCACTGCAAAAAGACAGCCAGCCATACCATCAAATTACCGTATTTTATACGCCATTTACCGTATCTTCGACGTCATGCAGCCGCGTCAAAACCCATCCAGCGTTCTTGGCTAGGTTAGTAGGCAGGAGGTCTTCGATCGAGTTCAGGAGCAAGCTGAAGCAGCAGCAGACTGCCAGCCTGGTGGCGCCACCAAAACAGTGCATTTTAAAATACTGTATATACTTTTAATAGTGTGTGACCTACATTTTCGCCTTTGGGTGTGGTGCAGAAAGATGGACGGGAGCACGAGCGCGCTGAGCAGCGAGACGCAGGGCGGCCTCCTCGTCGTCGTCATCGACACCAACCCCGTGCACTGGATGCGCCACGTGGCAGGCCAGCCACGCGAGTTCGGCCTCAAGCATGCGGTACCGTGCGGCGCGGCCATGGCGCGTAGCTCATGCGTCGATGCTAGATCGAGAGCATGCTCCTGTACGTGAACGCGTACCTGCTGCTGCACCGCAACAACCGACTCGTGATCCTCGCCGCCCACACGGGCAAGAGCGTCTTCCTCTTCCCCGACCCGGAGGGCACGAACCGCAATGGCACGGCCGAGCAGTTTGCGAAGGTCAAGGAGCAGGTATGGCGCAAGCTGCTCGAGCTGAGCGAGACGCCTGTGACCGAAGGTACCTTGCATCGCGCGATGCCAGGGCTCATGGATGAGCGGCTAGGCAACGCCAACACGTCGCTCTCTGCCGGGCTCTCGCTCGCCCTTTGCTGTACGACCCACGCATCTCCTGGATTATGCATCGATCCTTTTTCTTCATGTAGTCATCAACCGCGCAATGAACGAGCAGCGCGACTTGCGCCCGCGCATCCTCTCGATCCAAGCCTCGCCCGACTTTGCCGCGCAGTACATTTCCATCATGAACTGCATCTTCTCGGCGCAGAAGAAGCACGTGCCGATCGACGCGTGCGTTCTCAGCGACGAGCCGTCGTCGTTTCTCCAGCAGGCCGCGTACCTCACCGGCGGCATCTACTTCAAGCCGCGCGACGTCGATGGCCTCGTCCAGTACTTCCTCACAATCTGGCTCGCCGACACGAGCACGCGCGCGCTCCTCAAGCTCCCGAGCCAGGGCAGCGTCGACTTCCGCGCCATGTGCTTTTGCCACAAGAAAACGATCGCCACCGCGTTCGTGTGCCCGGTCTGCCTCTCGCTCTTCTGCGAATTCCAGCCCATTTGCTCGACGTGCGGCATCCGCAGTCACATTGCGCCGCCCCGCCGCAAGCGCGTGCGTCCGACAACGTAGCCTTCGATGAACCACTTGGACGACGATTGTATCAACTTGATACGGTACGGGTGTGTCGGTAGACAAGCTGTGCTGAGTTGTTGGTGCTTGGGGGTTGACTCGATCGAAGCAAGGCAGTACCGGCGTGGAAAGCAAGCGTGCCAGACATGACTGGAGCACACGTAGCCATGGGTTAGTGACTGAACAAGAGCCGGGACGGGCTCTACGGAGACCACAACTGGTGTCCGTGCTGCAGTAGCGGCATGATGAAGGCGACCGGGAAAAAATAGATGCGGTGATGCGTGTACGGTGCAGTGTGGCACGGAACCAGTTGCACACCCATTTTGGATTCCTCTGTCCTGCCTCGTCACTTGTCCGACTCGAATGTGATGTGCTCGAAGATAGAGACTGCAAGCTGCAGTCCTAGTAGGTTCTACACCACCGTCAATATATACCTGGCGACGAGCACAAAACAAGCTCTCTAAATCTGTATTAGCACGTGATGCAAATGCTCCGTCGTTGTGTGGTCCAGCCACTCTTGACTACTTGGCAGAACGCGTATGGATCCCACAGTATTTATAAGCGTTCTGTCAAGTCGCCAACGTTCCACGCATAGATTTTATATGGCCATTCCCACGATCAAAATATAGTCTCCAACGTCGTCTTCAACTGCTACAACTCGCATCGATATCTCATCGCTTCCGGCATGCGCTGCGATCTCCGCCGGACAGGGCACACACGCAGCTTTCAACCCGGGAATCAACCAAACGGTCGCATTCGTTGCTCGCCGCTCACTGAACTGTCGGTGGTCGCTGGCATCTTGCGAGTACCCGTGACTGTGCGGTCCCTGCTGACGCGTGGTTCTTTCCAGCGATACGATTACCACCGTGGCTTAGAAGTCGCGCGACTCGCTCGGATTTATGGCACAACTTCATTATGCAGCACCTCGTCCTGAGCCTTGTATTTTGGGCCAATGCTGCAGCCTCACTCCTCCATCCATCGGCAATGCTCGGAAACGCGATCTCGCTGTCGCCAAATGAGGACTTACAAAGACCCACCCCGTTCCTTCTAACCACGACATCGACGCCACCGAAGAACGCGACAACACTCGTCCCGTTCACACCTTGGAACTCGACCTCGGTTGCGCTGAGGACGTCGTCGACGCGACCCGTGGTGACAGACATCGTCCTGCCCATCATCACTGGGACCTCGACGCCAACATCGTCTCTTGCCAATCTGCCAACAGGTGCGTAGCATGTGCATCGCTATGCCTAATGGGCAGCGTAGATGTACACAGCAGTTCGGCGAGCTGGACCGTCGTCGTGGCTTTCATCGTCTTCATTGCGAGTGCCGTGGGCCTCCCTCTTGCTGCTTGGATCATTCACCGGCGCGCTCGCCATCACAGCGAGCTGCCGCGATTCCGTTTTGGCCGCGCTACTTGGTTCCACAAGGCCCGTACGATGTGGTGCTTGCGACAGCAACGTTTGGTGCCGACGCTTCGGTGCACCGGCGGCTGCTCCTCGCCCTGCATCTCGAGACACTGCGGGCCCTCGGGGCTGGAAGCAACTCTCATCGCCGGTCCGAGATCTGTAGCGTCGGCAGCGACATTGCTAGCAACTCCGACGCGACCGAAGAGAGTAACGAGTCATAGAATATGACATGTCCTTTCTGCTTGCGGAGCGTCATCAAAACACCAACGCAACCGCTCGCATTTGCTCCCGACACATTAGCATAGGCGTTCCGAGATGAGCGATGCGCGTGATACGAGGAGCGACGTCTTGCGAAGAAGCGCACGACGGGCAACGGGCATTTCCCGGTGGACAAAAGCAGCCACTGTCCCAGGTCGCGTCCTCACTCGGGTTCTATTCATTGCGCTTTCCAGTGCCGAGTCGAAGAATGGAGTGCTTTCTTGTTCTCTTCCTCTTGCTTGTGTGCGTGTGGCTGCGCGGGTCGCCGCCACCGCGCGACAGCACCTTTGGCTGCAGCCTCCACCATGGTCTCCTACGCGGCCACAACGCGTCCTCGTACCTCACCAACGGTCAGCTGCGCTACCTCGTCGGCGAGCCGCACGACGTTGGCGCGATCTACCAAGTCTGCGACCACGGCACACTCACTTGCTACGAAGAAGACGGCACCGCCGACGGCCACGTCGACGACGTCGTCGCGTGTCCACGCCACGCGCAGCGCCGCCTCGGTGTTGCCAGCGACAAGAAACGCCGGCTATGGCCCGACGCCGTCCTCTGCTACGAGGTGGCGTCTGCCTTCACCGCGTCCGAACGCGCAGCTGTGTTTGCCGCCATGAAGGTCCTCGCTTCGGACACTGGCCTCGCCTTTGTAGCGCGCCACGAGTGTGCTGCCGGTGCGACGATCTGCGGTCACTGCCAGCACTACGTCTCGATCGAGCAAGACCCAAGTGACAAGCGCGGCACGTTTGCCGAGGTGGGCTACCGCGGCAAGGCGGGCCAGAAGCTCAATTTGCTTCCGCGGGCCTTCAACCATGGCCTTGGCTCGCTCCTGCACGAGCTACTGCATGCGTTTGGCGTCGTACACGAACACGCCCACCCGGCCGCGACTGCCGTCGTCCTGCGCAACACGCTGGGTCTTGTCGCGCGGAGCAACTACGTGCTCATCAAGGAGGCGCTCGTCACCATGTACGACGTGCACTCGATCATGCATTATGGCCACGGTCTCTGCCTCCCCAAGAATCGCAGCATCAAGTACTGCGCGATTGACCAAAACGAACGCGATGGCTGCGTCGTGGCGACGCCCGACGACTGCGACCACGAGCGCTCGAACGTCCTCGGCCAGCGCAGAGCGTTGAGCAAAGGCGATGTGCGCAGCGTACAGCTGCTCTACGGCCTCGCGACTACCGTCACGCGCGACCAAGTGCAAGCGGCGTTGCAGTTGTCAGACGCGAGTCCGTAGCACGCAAAGGTGGCGAACCTTGTGCTTCTGGCGCATGGTAACGAGCAATATCATCACTACATCAGTGGTAGCGTATGCTGTACAATGATGCAACGTAGTGGCCCGTACTGCAGCATAGGACCTCTTATGCCCATCGTCGGTGGTCAGGTGGCGTCTTGGCGGCAGGGACTTGGACCCCGTGGCATCCGCGCGTGCCATGGCCGTTCGGTCGAGGCCAGCTCTTCATACAGCGAGCAGAGCTGGAGCTTCATGCCAATGCGGTAGCTGCCTCTACCTCGCCCATCATCGAGGCTGAGGTTGATCGACGCGGGTGCATGGCGATCGGCGCATCGCGCAATCATGAACTTTTCTTGTGGCGTTCTTTTACGGATACCAGTGTCGTATCCGGCCGTGCATGACGCAATCAATCTTCCAGGAAATCTCTCCCAGATTGCATTTTCAGATTTCCATCCTCATGAGCCGGTAAGCGCGTGGCGCTGGAGGCGAGCTCTTGACGCTGTCGACGTAGCATCGACGCCACGTTCGCCAAGTGCAAGGCCGCGCAGAAGACGGCGTTCATCACGTTCATCCCGTGCGGCTACAAGACCAAGGAAGACACGGTCCCGATCTTGCTGGCGTGCCAGGCCGGCGGCGCCGATATCATCGAGGTAGCACGCTCGACACGCCTATAGACGTGCCTCATCAGTGCGCAAGGTCGGCGTACCGTACTCGGATCCCGGCGCCGACGGCCCCGTGATCCAAAAGGCCCACCAGAACGGCGTCGACCAAGGCATCACGTTCAAGGACGTGCTAGCGACGGTCGCCGAAGCCCGCGCCCACGGCCTCACGATCCCCGTCGTTCTCATGGGCTACTACAACAACTTTATGCAGTACGGTCTCGACATTGTCTGCCAAGACGCCAAGCAAGGTCCGTGCGCCGGTATCATTTTGCATCGACTGACGCGATTGTAGCTGGCGCCGACGGCTTTATCATCGTCGACTTGCCGCCGGAAGAGGCCAAGGACATGAGCAGCCTGTGCAAGACGCATGGTATCAATTTTATCCCGCTCGTCGCGCCGACCACCTCGGAAGAGCGCATGCGTACGTATTCATTTCCTCGTTCGATCGCGGTCTCTCATCCATGGATTATCATCATTAGCTTTTATCCAATCGGTCGGCTCTGGCTTTGTGTACGTGGTGAGCCTCAACGGCGTCACGGGCTCGCGCACATCGCTGCCCGTCGACGTCTCGTCGTTCGTGGAGCGCGTGCGCCGCCACATTTCGCTGCCACTCGCCCTCGGCTTTGGCCTCTCGACCAAAGAGCATGTGCAAGCGGCCGGAAAGCTCGCGGAAGGCGCTGTCATTGGCTCTAAGATCTGCAAGGTCATTGACGAAGCGCCGGCCTCGGAACGCGCGGCCAAGGTCCAAGAATTCTGCCTCTCGATCACGTCGTAATAACGCTGTACTGCATGTAATCTGTCGAATCACGCATCAGTCCTTCGCTAGTAAACTGCAGTGCTGCCGTGTGTCGTGTCTGATTGTACGAGGGCGACGGAAAGGGCGACATCATTTTCTGCAAAGCGAGTCGACATGCATCTCGCATTCGATCAAGGGGCCATACAAGCAGCTCGGAAGCTATAGCCATGAACCCTTGTTCGGCCTCACTGCATCACAATAGCAACTGTGCCGCTCTCTTGCAAACGGAAGGAAGAGATCGCGTTCGCTCGGTTGTTCCCACGACAAGGTCAACGCCACTTGTCGGCCGACGGTGCAGCGAGTGGGATAATTAGTCACCATAAATGTAAACTGGACAGAAGACATGCTCGAAAAGATCACAACAAGATATCTATAACTTAGGAAGACAAGGTGTCTACCAAAGTCCCACTTATCAAAGAGAGCATCAAATTGTATAAAACAGTGGAATGTGAAGCACGAAGGTATTTTGCCGAGCCGAATAGCGGTTCAGTGAGCATCAGCGTTGTCGCGGGTTCGAATCCCGCTAAGTCGCACTCTTCGAAGCCCAGCGTGACATTTCTATTTGTCTAAGGGCAGGGTCAATAAGAGTGCTATAATTACCTAGGTTGTCCGGGTGTCAGTGCTGGGTAGGGCCACGGTCCTCGTCCTAGACGCTGCCAATCGATGACCATACATTTTATACCTCAAAACAAAAAGATCCGAAACGAAGACCACTCAGATCCAGGCTTTGTCCGATTTACAAAGCCTAGGTTACGCGAACCGAGCCAAAAATCTTTTGGGAAGGGACGCGAGCATGATGGACCGAGACGCGTGGAAGGCGCGTGGCAACGCCTGCGTCCAGGCCGCGGCCTACGCCGACGCCATCGCCGCCTACAACGAAGCGCTCAAGATCGACGGCGACCAAGCCGGGACAACCGCGGTCCTCTGCAACCGTGCGTTCGCGTGGCTCCAGCTTGCCACACCCGACGCGCTTCAGAAGGCCGTCACCGACTGCTCGGCCGTGCTCTCGCACGAGAAGGCCAACGTCAAAGCCTTGTTTCGGCGCGCCTCGGCGCGGCAAGGCTTGCAGCAATGGCAGGTTGGATCACATATTGAACGACGCTCCCAGCAACCCCATCATTAGGATGCCAAGGTGGACCTTGAAGCCATCATTGCGCTCGAGCCAGGACACCCCCAGGCGCTCGAGGACCTGGACCGCGTTCGTATCCAGATCGCAGCCATGACGGCCAACGGCCTCTTCGATCCGTCGTTCCAGGCCAAGATGCTCGCTTCGATCGCGTCGGGCGAGGCCATACCCTCGGTCGCGCCGCTACCGCCACCCGCGCCGGCCACACAGACAACACGGGCGAAGAAAGCTTCGAGCAAGGTCGACGAAGCCATGGCCGATCTCGTTCGCGAGTGCTCCGTCGCAGCGACGCCCGTGCAAAGCGCTGCGTCCGAAGCCGCGTGGCGCGAGCTCCAAGCCGCCGAACACGCGCTGCCCACCGTCGTTCAAAAGACCAAGTCGCATAAGAAAAAGGTCGCCTCGCAAAGCTCCCGGAAGCGGCAAGCGCCTCCGCGGCCCAGCGCCAAGACGGACGCGCTCTGGCAGGCGCTGCTCGACGAAGAGAGCTCGACACGGACCCGGTTTACACGGGCACTGACGTCGCGGTCGTTGTCGTAGCCGCCGTTCAACGTCCAACATGGTGCCCTGATCCATAGGAGAAAAGGATGTCAACGCACGATTACTGTATTCGAGTCCCACACGGGTGCTACTTTTGCTGGCTTTTCGGAGGCCTCCATGAGGAGAGACTAGGATTTACTCTTCAAGGTAGACGTCCATGGGCGGGCACGAGCAGACGAGGTTGCGGTCACCGAAGACGTTGTCGACGCGGCCGACCGTCGGCCAGTAGGCCTTGGTCTTGCCGCCATTGTGCCACGGCGCAGGGAACGCAGCCTGGGCGCGCGGGTACTTGCGGTCCCACGCCTCGGCCGTCACGACATCGATCGTGTGCGGCGCGTGCTTGAGCGGCGAGTCCTCAGCCGCGATCTTGCCGGCGGCAATCTCGTCAATCTCCTTGCGGATGAGGATCATGGCCTGGCAAAACCGGTTCATTTCCGAGAGGTTCTCGCTCTCCGTGGGCTCAATCATGAGCGTGCCCGGCACGGGCCACGACATGGTCGGGCTGTGGAAGCCATAGTCCTGGAGACGCTTCGCGACGTCTTCCTCGACGATGCCATACTGCTTGAACGGGCGAATGTCAATGATAAACTCGTGCGCGCACGTGCCGTTGGAGCCGCGGAACACAATGTCGTAGTGCGACTCGAGCACCTTCGCCATGTAGTTGGCGTGCAAGATTGCATGCGACGTCGCCTTCTTCAGGCCTTCTTCACCGAGCATGTGGATGTACATCCACGAGATCGGGAGGATGCCGGCCGAGCCGAACGGACCCGAGCTCACCGAGAGGTTCTCCTTGGCGACCACGTTGTCGCCCTCTCCGCCCGTGACCGTGATCGGGTTGCCCGGCAGAAAAGGCGCAAGGTGGCGCGCAACGCCGATCGAGCCGACGCCGGGACCACCACCGCCGTGGGGAATGCAGAACGTCTTGTGCAAGTTGAGGTGGCACACGTCGGCGCCAATGCTGCCGGGGTTCGTGAGCGCGACCTGCGCGTTCATGTTGGCGCCGTCCATGTACACCTGGCCGCCGTTGTCGTGAATGAGCTGGACCATCTCCTTGACGCCTTCCTCGAAGACGCCAAACGTCGAGGGGTACGTGATCATGAGCGCGCTGAGCTCGTGCGCGTGCTTCTTGGCCTTCTCCTCGAGGTCGGCGCGATCAATGTTACCGGCCGCGTCCGACTTGATGACGACGACCTTCATGCCGGCCATGACGGCACTCGCGGGGTTCGTTCCGTGGGCCGAGACCGGGATCAAGCACACGTTGCGGTGGCCCTCGCCAATCGACTTTTGGTACGAGCGGATCGCAAGGAGACCCGCGTACTCGCCCTGCGCGCCCGAGTTGGGCTGCGACGAGACCGCGGCAAAGCCCGTAATCTCGGCGAGCGCCTTGTGCAGGCCCTCGATCATCTCGAGGTACCCTTTCGTTTGCTCCACGGGCGCAAACGGGTGCACGTTCATAAACTCATTCCACGACACCGGCTCGAGCTCCGCGACCGAGTTCAGCTTCATCGTGCACGACCCGAGCGAGATCATCGACGTGTTGAGCGAGAGGTCCTTGTCCTCGAGCGTCTTGAGGTAGCGCATGAGCTCCGTCTCCGAGTGCTTCGAGTTGAAGATGCGGTGCTCCAAGAACGGCGTCGACCGGCGCAGCGACGCCGGAATGCTCGACGCCTGGATACCCGCGGCCTTCTCGCCAAAGCCGTACACCGCCGTGTCGCTCACCGAGTCGTTGACGCCAAACGCGTACAGGAGCTTCGCAATGTCCTTGACGTCCGCGCTCTCACCAAAGGCGACGCCGACACGCGACGGGCTGATGACGCGCACGTTGATCTCCTTGGCGTTCGCACGGGACTGCACCTCGGCGCCCGAGAGCCCGGCGCCCGAGACGTCGAGCTCGATCGTATCGAAAAAGTGCGCGTTGACGAGCTTGACGCCGGGGGCGAGCTCGCTCAAGCCAGCGACCAACGTCGACGCCATTAAGTTGGCGCGCGTCGCGATGCGGCGAAGACCGTCCGGGCCGTGGTAGATGGCGTAGCTGGCGGCGATGTTGGCGAGAAGCGCCTGCGCCGTGCAAATGTTGCTCGTCGCCTTGTCGCGGCGAATGTGCTGCTCGCGCGTCTGCATGGCCATGCGGAGCGCGCGCTCACCGCGCGAGTCCTTGGAGACACCGATGATGCGGCCAGGCAGCTTGCGGTGGTGCTTCTCGGTCGTCGCGATAAAGCCGGCGTGGGGACCACCAAAGAAGAGGGGCACACCAAAGCGCTGGGCCGACCCGACCGCAATGTCGGCGCCAAACTCAGCCGGCGGCTTGAGCTGCGTGAGCGCAAGGAGGTCCGTCGCGACAATGACCATCGTGCCGTTGTCGTGCGCGGCCTTGGTGAACGCTTCGTAGTCGGCCACCGAGCCGTACGTGTTGGGGTACTGGATCAAGGTCCCGCTAAAGTCACCGCTCGAAAAGTCGGCGTCCGTGAGCGCGTTACCAAAGACAAGATCGATGCCAAAACCCTCAGCACGCGTCTTGAGAACCGCGATCGTCTGCGGGTGGCAGTCGGACGCGACAAAGAACTTGGTGCGCTTGCCGTTCGCGGCGCCGTGGCAGAGCGCCATGGCCTCGGCGGCCGCCGTGCCTTCGTCAAGGAGAGACGCACCAGCGATCGGGAAGCCCGTGAGGTCACTGAGCATCGTCTGGAAGTTGAGAAGCATCTCGAGGCGGCCCTGGGACACCTCGGCCTGGTACGGCGTGTACGCCGTGTACCAGCCCGGGTTCTCGAGCAAGTTGCGCTTGATCGCGAACGGCGTCAAGCAGTCGTTGAAGCCCGTACCAATAAACGACTTGTACGTCTTGTTCTTCTTGGCAATCTTGCGGAGCTTGGCCATGGCCTGGCTCTCGGACATGGGCGCGGGGAGGTTGAGCTTCTTCTTGAGGCGGATCTCCTTGGGCACCGTCTTCTTGATGAGCGACTCGAGCGACTTCTCGCCGATCGTGTTGAGCATGAACGCCGTATCGTCCTCGCTCGCGCCGATGTGGCGACGCGCAAACTGGTCCGTGAGGCGGTACGGATCCTTCGCGGCCGAGAACGCGCGGGCCGCGTTGACCTTGGTCTACACATACAGAGCGTCAACCTCCGCTTCCATCTCCATCTTTCTCGACGCACCAGGGACGCATGGACGCGGAGCGTCTTCACGGAGCGCAGCATCCTCCCGACGAACGAAATGCTAAAGTGAGCGCCCGCGATATCTTGGACTCGGATCCGGATACGACACCAAAAGATTTGCGGCCCGTTTGTATGCTTATCCGGAAATCGCTTTTAAATTGCAAAGGAAATCCCTCGCCACAGCTCGAGGCCCTGTCTCGCAACTTGAAGGTGGAACAGCTGGCGATCCTAATTAGGATCTAAAATAGGCATGCAAGGTAGGGTGGGCCCCCTGGTCACCTTCTCACAGGAAGTCCCCCGAAGAAAATATCGAACCGCTCCACCAAGTTGAAGTCGGGTTGCAGTCGCCATCGAGCCAAGGAGGCATCGAGCCCGATGCACGACGTGTCCTCTCGCGATTAGGCGATGGGTGGCGACTCCAAATCGAGCTGCTGGTGTGGGGTGGTGGCCCCCCGAATCAGGTCCAGCACCCAGGCGACCCCGCAGATGTTGGCCGCCATCTTGAAGCTGCGTCCAAAGCTCTTCTTGGCCTCTTGCTAAGCCTTACAGCAGTACGATCTCCTCTTCTCTTGGCAGAGCTCGAATAGACGTCTGCGTGGTCTGGATCCGCTAAAGACCTTCCTGCCGTTGCGTTGCTGTGGGGGGTGGGTGCATATCTGCTGTTCGCTGTCGAGATCGCAACGCCAATGCCATACACTATTATATAATAGCTGCAGCCTGCAATACCATCGAGATGCAGTCGGAGCCAACGACGCTGGTTCGAAGAGATGAGGTCGCGTGGTCGCCGTGGCTCACCAGAGGGGGGAGGCCACAAAGAAAGGCAAATCGTGCCACATCAATCGCGCCTGATTTCAATTTCATTTCGGACTCTGGACTGACTAAACAAGTCGCGGCCAATCGAGGTGCGCCAGCGTGCTACTGTACGACGCCGCCCGTGCGCGACTGGTCCACGATTGGCAGGCGGCGATCTGAGTAGATGCGTGAAGATGCGAGTCACCCAAAGCCGCCAAGCGTGGAGCATGGGCCATCGTCGTCGCCGCATGTACAAGTAGCGATCACCTGCTACCTGACCAGCTACGGTCATTAGCTCGACACAGCGCAGAACGGCTGCCACGCGTCCACTTGTTTCGCGTCCAATCCAAGCTCAAGTGGATACCTTCAAGGCCCGATTGGCCCAGATGGCCTGATTGCCGGTCGCTATTCCAAGCGGACGTCAGCGCTCGTACTTGCCGAACGGCTCGTAGCCGGCGGTCCGAGCCCGACGGCAGCCAACAACAGCACAGCGAGCCAAGAGAGATAGCTACAGATCGAGATATCGGTACAAGTAGTTTACTGAGTAGGATTGTGGTATAGACCGTTCGACGACTTTTAGACAACGAGAATATATGATGACAAGGACCATGGCGGCGTCGTTAGTGCACGGCGCTGGTGGCCAACGGTCGCGACGACGGGCTGAGGCTGCTGTTGGTCGTCGGCGCTGTGTGGAACGACTGCGTGTGGAACGACGAGCTCTGCGGGTCGGACGACGTCATGAACGAGTCGGTCTGGAACGAGTCGCTGTCGTCGCTAAAGCTCGAGATGCGCGACCTGACCGTGTCCGAGCTCGAGTCTTCGAACGACGAGTCGTCGTGCCACGTGTGGCGCACTGCCGCGTTGCTGTTGTTGACCGGCGTCGCCAGCACCGACGACTCCATGGCCGACTGCCACAGGTTGTCCTGCATGGTCGACGAGCCGGTCGACTTGGCCGACGGCGAGTACTCGACGGACGGCGTGTGGAAGCTATGGGCCGAGTAGCGCGGCGATGCGAGCGCCGAGATTGGCGCCGGCGGTGGCGGCACCACCGTCGACGGTCGAGCGTTGGACGAGCTGCTAAACGAGTGGGTCGGCGGCGCAGGCATTTGGTAGTACGGCGTTGCCGTCGACTGGCTTCCGGCCGGCGAGAAGAGCGCGACGTGCGGCCCGAGGCGCGAGGTATCGAGCGGCTCGTTCTCCTCACCGAGGTCGCCGGTCGGTCGTCCTGGGTACTTGTGGGCATACGACGCGGCCGAGATGTGGTCATCGTCGCCGTCAGCAGCGCGGGCCGCCGCCCGGCGGATGCCAATAAAGACGACGAGGAAGCACAAGAGCAGCGCTGCAAAGCTACCGACAAGAATGACCCAGAGCATGCTGCTAGTCTTGGTGTCCGATCCGGAGGCGGCCGAGACGGGCGGTGTACTTGTAGCTTGGTTGAGGTCGGACGTCGCGCGGAGGCTTGGCGTCGGGACCTCGGTTGGCGGCGCACTTGTTTCTGCAAGCGTTGTGGTCGGTACGGACGATGTTGACGGTTCTGGCGTGACCGTTGTGGGCGTAGGTGTTACGGTCGTCGGCGGTGATGTAGATGGGGATGGGGTCGGCTCTGGCGTCGGTGCAGGTGTTGGCGCAGGCGTCGGCGCAGGCGTCGGTGCGGGCGTCGGTGCGGGCGTCGGGGCAGGTGTCGGCGCGGGTGTCGGCGCGGGTGTTGGCGCTGGCGTCGGGGCAGGTGTTGGCGCGGGCGTCGGTGCAGGTGTTGGCGCGGGCGTCGGCGCGGGTGTTGGCGCAGGCGTCGGCGCGGGTGTTGGCGCGGGCGTTGGGGCCGGCGTTGGCGGATCCGTGGTTGTCCCATTACTGCCTCCGTCCAGCTGCCGCACACTCGTGGTCGGTGGCAGGACCTCGGTCACGCTGCTGTTGGTCGCCGCCGCGACCAATGCGATGGCGACCGCCAGCAGCACGAGTCGGTGCAAGTAGTTCATGCTGCGGGGTTGCAAGTCTGTCTGCCCGTCGACAGCGCAAGTACGTACTACTACTGGCAACTGGGCGTCTCCGTGGACGGGCCACGGTCGCAATATTTTATTCGACTGGATGTTGTCGCCAACGTGGGGCCAGTTTTTTTACAACTTGACTTGGTGTTTGTATACTGACACTGTTTTGGATATAAAAAACCGTAGCACGTCCAACGTGTCGCCACGTACACCGGGGCGAGCGCCGAGCGCCTGCGCTACCTGACGCTTCTTGGCAGGTTCATGAGCATCATCCCGCTCGCTTGCGATACCAAGGCGCGAGGGCCATTCAATCGAGTTTGCATTGGTGCCCGCGCGTAATGCCAGGTCGAATATGTCTCCCGGGTGCTGTCTCGCGCGCCATTACTCGCAGTCGATGCGAATGAGGAAGGGCCTGTCGTTGGACGACCTTGCGTGCGCTGTCTGCACTGCTGTCGGTGGTTCGCTACAGAATGCGTGGCTCGTGGCACACCAACATAGCTCTCACCACAGTGGACTACACAGGGACGGGCCAGTTGAGACGTTGCCAGCTAATACTCACGGCGCGCAGCTACAGCGCATGCGAGGTGAGCGGAGGCGGTGCGTGCGTGTACTCCGGTACTATCTGGTCGGGCCACGCCAACGCCGTCATGCGGACATTCTTTTCGAGTGTGTTGCAGAGGTTGAGGTGCTTGTCGACTGCCGTCGTACAGTTCCGAGTCGGCGTTGACGGGACGGGAGTTAAAGGAGGAGGAAACAAGTAGTGTAGTTGATTCGATAAAATAATTGGGAAAAGCCGCCTGCATTCGGCGGTGCTTTTACAACTCGTACGAGCCACGCTCTTGCTTGGTGCCACGGTGCGACGGAAAGTCGTCGACGCTGGACCCGAGGCTCTCGTCGCGGCTTAAGAAGCTGCTGTCGCGGCTCACGTCGCTCCCCGAGTCGTCAAACTTGGCGCTGTTGTAGCTGTTGGTGTCGAGGCGGTCAATGTCGACGCCGTCCGAGTCGTAGTTGGGCTTTTGCATCGCTTGCATCCACGCGTTCTTGCCACTGTGGTTGCTCGGCTCGCTCGAGGTCGCCGACTCCCGGTCGTAAAACTCTGTCGGCGACGTCTGCCCATACATGTCGGCGTACGGCTGGTGCTGCGCGGCCGCGACCGCTGCGATCGCCGCCGGTGCCGTCGGCTGCTGGTACGGGTTGGCCGCATAGTCGTTCGAGTAGGCGTAGCTGTTGCCGGTGGTCGCCGTCGCGGTGGTCGCCGGCGCGTACGACGGCTGGACCGGCGTCACGGGCTTGGTGTTGTTGTTGTACACGGGCGTGACGTCCTTGGCCCCGAAATCGTTGGGCGAGAGGAGGTCGTCGTCGTCGGCGTTCTTCTTCTTGACGCACATGTACACGAGGCCGGCGAGGACACCGACACCGCAGACGATGCCAACAACGATGCCAATGACGGCGCCCGAGCTAATGCCAGAGTCACCCGAATCATTCGACACGGGCGTCGGACGCAGCGTCGTCGGCTTGGGCGTGCGCGTGGGACCCGTGCCCGAGGACGACTCCGATGTCGGCGCTGGCGTCGCCTGGGCCTGTGTCGGCTGCGGCGCCTGCGTCGGTTGGTTGGGCTGCGTCGGCGGCGGCGTCTGCGTCGGCTGCGTCGATGTCGGGACCGTGGTCGTCGGAGCCACCGACGTCGTCACCGCCGGCGTCGTTGTCACCGGTAGCGTGGTCGGGGCGAGCGTCGTTTCCATCGGCGTCGGCGTTGGCGGCGGCGTCACGGTCGTCGTCACTGGCACTGTCGTCGTCGTCACGTTGCTGACTTGAAGGCCCCGGAGCGAAATGACGCTCTCTAATACGACGCTAAGCTGATATGTCTGCAACCATCAAGCGCCTACCATGGGCGGTGGCGGCAACAGCCAGGGCGAGAAGCGCAGCGAACGAAGAGAAGACCCGCATGCAGGTAGGTGAGGAGTACTGGCCTGCGTCAATACTGGAATGGAGTCGGCCTGGGCTGCGTGTAGCACACCAGCTGGCACGACCATGTTCTCAGACGACGCGCCAAGATGATTATTAAAATACCGCGTGTTTAATGATGTCGCAGCGAAACACTCGCCGCTTGCATAATATTATTCGGGGCGGCGCGCGTAGCATAGGCAGCGCTGCCTATGCGTAACAGCGTGACCAACCTCGGGCCGTCGTCTGGGTGCAATGGCCCGTAGCGGCGCAGTCACAGTCCGTCCACCGGACGCGGCAATCCCACCGCGCGGCTTGCAATACCATGGTCGAATGGTGTCGTGCTGCCGGCTATGAACGACTGAGATAATCATGTCGCCGCCGTCTCGTTCGCAGCTGGTGTAGCATCTCCGGCGGCGTGCAGCGTCGCAGCAGTACGCACTTGCAGTGTAGTAATAGCTAGCTATTGTAATCATCAATTGACATGGCCGGATGGACCACTTATCTCATTTTGATGGACGGCGGCTACTCGGGCGGTTGATGGGCGCGTAGATCGACGAAAGAGAGAAGGGGACGCGACGAGAAAAGGGCCCAAATGGGATCGCCATGGAAATGGCATTTGACGACTCGACATGCATCGGTACGGGCGCGCGTTGCAAGCGCCGGCAGGTGGTACGTCTGGCAGCATCCAATCACTGATCATCACGATCATTCCGCGAACGAAGCGCCCCGACGCGACACCACCCGAGGTGCCGGCGCCAACCCCCGAGGCCACGGCCACGGACATGCCGTCGACCAACGAGACGAACACGGTATCGCCGGACGCCGCTCCTGCACCGACACCAACACCGACACCGACACTGACACCGACACCAACACCGACGCCCACGGATACGCCCACGACGTCGCCGGTGCCAACGAATGCAACCACATCGATGCCGCCCCGTACAGCATCTTCGCCGCCGACCACCTCGGTGGTCATGACGCGCGTCCCGGTGCCGTCGATCTTGATTGTGGCACCTGACGCGGAATTCGACACGACGTCGCCGCCCTCGAGTGTGCCGTCGCCTCCGACGTGGACGTCTCGACCAGCGATCAACACGACGCCAGGTACGTTCGTGGCAGTAGTATCGTGTCACAGGCAATCCTTGGCGTTGTAGGTGCGAAAAGCGACGGTTTGAGCCCGAGCTTGGTCGCGGCGCTCATTTGCGGTGCGGCCGTCGTCGTGCTTGCCGCGATGCTCTTGTACAACGACCACCGCCGGCGCCGGCGGGAGCGCAACGTCCGCAGTCTCACGGCCGTCTCGTGGACGCACAACACATCGCCCGTGCTGCCACCGCGGAGCACCTCCATGTCCAACTGGACGTATCAGCCGAGCGAGTCGCTGGGCGCGACGCGGGGCGTCGAGTATTTTATGGACGGCACCAACATGCCGAAAGCGACGTCGTTTGCGCCGCTGCAAGCACGCTGGGCTCGCCTCAGCGAAGCGCAGGACGACGACGTGCCGCCCGAGATGCGCACCAACGAGTGGTACCAGGCGTCGCTCTCGGAGCGCCAGCCGCCACCGACACAAGAAGAGCAACAGCCCGAGTCGAGCTATGGCAGCGAGAGTCTGCACTCGGAGATTTCCTTGTCGTTCCACGACAGTAGCGGCCGCGGACCGTCGCGCTTGACGCGCACGAGCTGGGACTCGATGGAAGAGTGAGTAGCTCCATGTAGTAAGGTATCCACATTGTACGATAACAATTCAACCACCGTGGTCTAGAATCTGTACTAGCGTACACGCGTGCTATGGTCTATTGCCGTTTGGTTTAGGTTTAGGGTCTCGGGAGCAGAGGGATCCAGTCCAAGCCTTCGAGTAGCAAGTCGATGCCCATGGACCCAGCTTGTGCCTGCACGGCGTTGAGGCCCCGGAGGTTGGACACCAACACGGAGTACGTGTCGAGTGAAGTCGCTGCGTCGGTCGGCGGCGCCTCACGGGCCATCGTCTGCAGGTCGTCTTGCAGCGCGGTGACGGCGTGGCGCCAGAGTGTGGCCAGCTGCCCCGTCGTGCCGAGGATCATGCGCCACTAGCCATATTGCCCTTCGTCCCTCGATCTATGGACCCTTTGCGTACCTTGTCAAAGACGGGGAGTGGCAAGAGCTTCTTCAAAGCGCTCTGCGGGGCAAAGAGAGGCTGTAACGTCGGAAACACCCAGTTCCAACTCGATATCTACGATAGCGTACATTCGCCCGCGTCGTGCCATAAACGTACTTTGGAGAAGGCGATGACCGAGACGAGGCGCCGCGTCATGGACCAGATGCGGTGCAGTGCGGCGGCGTTGGCTTGAGCGACTTGATCTCGCCACGTCGTGGCTGTTGCCGTCGGTCGGCGACTGTTGGGCTTCTTGAACGTTGCCTTCTCGCGCGCCAAGTGTGCATTGGCGGCCGCGGTCGCCTCGGCCTCGTACTGGCTGTGCCGTAGCACTTGCTATCAACGTGGCTACGCCGTGTCCGTCCAAGGTCAACGCCAAACTACCTCGAGGATATGCGAGACCGACTGCCGACCAAGCCGCGAGGCCGCAAACGCGCGCAGCCCGAGGTGCTCAAGGACGTTGAAGCGCTTGTTGGTGAGCAGGTCGCGCGCCGAAACGTTGAGAGCGACGTGCACCTCGAACGACGCGAGAAGGTTGTGCACTTGGAGCATGGACGGCAAGCCCGCGTCCACAAATACATTGAACGGGTCGAGCGCGTCAGTAAAGAGAAGTACGACGCGGACCACAGGGGACCCATGCGTCTCAAGCCGCGACGGCGTCACGACTAGGGCATCCGACGTGGTTAGCAAACTTGGCTGGGCGGTCGCATCGCGCACCCAGCGTGCTGTGGTAGTATGGCATCGAGGCAAAGTGGTCGTGGAAGAGATCGTCGACGGTCGACTGCATCGCGCGCGCCGTGTCGGCCAAGGCGTGGTCTACACACCCGATGAATCTCGTATGTGCATGGTTCGGCATCGGACCAGAAATATCGCTGCGGGCGACGAAGTCGAGGTACAGGAAGCACTCGGCGCCGTCGTGGCGGTAGCCGAGCTTGTGCAACGTGGCCGACGCTAGACAGAGAGGCATTCCAATGCGACTGGGGACAACGGGGGTGGGTACAGTCGACTTCGGTCGTAAACGAGATGTGAACTTCGGCCGATGTAGCAAACTCAGGGTTGCCAACATCGAGCTTAATGGTATACTCACCATACGTCGAGGGCAAGAGGCGGCCGACTAGTCGTCTATGCAAGGCGAGAAACGGTGCTAGTACAACGTACGCTGGAGGAGACCCGTGCGCGCCGCTCGCTGGATGTACGTGCGTAGCGTCCTCAGTGACGCGTGCAAGCGACGAAGCACCGTGTACGACCGTCGCTGTAGCGTCAGAAGAGCCTGTGACCACAACTACACCAATAGGTAGCGCACGTCGCCACCACAAGTGGTCGCACCGAAAGTGGCGGCGGTGTGTAGCTTGAGAGCGCCAGCGCCACATAGGCGTCGCGGTAGATGAACGTCGCGCAGTCGCTCAATCGGATGCGGGACGTTTGCTTGTAGCCAAAGAGTCGAATCGCGCGGTTACGCTGGAGAATGCACTCCATGCACTCGGCAAACACGCGCAGTTGCTGCACGACGCTGTCAACAGCGCGCCTCGAGGCAAGCACGCCGGCGTCGGCCAGCAAGTATGGCAGCTGCGCCATTGGCAGCTTACCTAAGCGTCGGCCTCTGCTTCGTGGTGTCAATGCCAGAATGCCCACCAATCTGCGCCGTGTCGTACGCTGCAAACGTGGTCAAGAGCTGCATGTGGCGCACGAGACCGTCGTCAATCCACGGAAGACCAAAGGACGTCAAGTCGGCGGCCAGTGGATAGAGGTGCTCGGTCGCCTCGCGGTAGAGCAGAAAGCCCTAGCCACCCTTCTGGCCTCTCGTAGAATCGGATCAACACCAGACCTGGATGGTCAAGTCGCCGTCGGTTGTCGTGTTATATGCGTCACTCATGTACATCTTCCACGACTCGATGTTGTCGATCACGTCGCGCAGCGGGTCCTACATCGAGTTTTTGCCACACGCACGCCGTGCGTGTGCACGGACCTTGGGCGACGGCGTCGACCGACCGAGCGACGCGAGGTAGTCGATAAATTCCTCGTACGACATGAAGCCGTTGTGGCCGGTGTTGAACTTGTGAAAGAGTGTCGTGCACTTGGCGACACCAAGTGCGCTGAGCCGGCCGCTTGGTGTGTACAAGAGCGCTGCGTTTAGCACGTCGTCGTCTTCATCGTCGTGGGCCTGTAGAAAGTACGCCACATCGTACCCGTTGGGCTCGCCTTCGCTCTGAGAAATCAGCGCCTTGGTGCTCTCGAGCGCGTCCAAGCACGCCGCCCGAGCCTCCAGCAATGCGTCCATGCTGTGACCCTTCGAGAAGGCTCCAAACCGCCCTCGTCGCACGGCTAAATGCACCCAGCTGTGCCAAGTTCACCCCCCTTTCGCCCTTGGTGCGCTGAGTAACATGATGGGTCGCACGATGGCATGCCTCTATGTACTGCGTTGTGGCAGAGACGCGTAGCAGATTGCACAGAGGAGCAAGTGTTGTTTGAATGCGGCTACCGCGATCGATCATGGTGGCGGCTAAAGAGGCGTGATTTTAGCCCTTCTCTGCGCCTCGCTGATTGGTTGAAATGGGATTGCACTTTGACACGGTACCGGTACTGCAAGCTGGCTGGGGCATTGCGCAATTCTTGAAAGACCGATGACGACGACGACGACCGACTATGATGTGATTGTTCTTGGTGTCGGCGCCATGGGCAGCAGCGCGTGCTACCACTTGGCCAAGCGCGGCCAGCGCGTGCTCGGCCTTGAGCAGTTTGGGCCCGCGCACTGCCGCGGCAGCTCCCACGGCAAGACGCGCATGGTGCGCAAGGCGTACTTTGAGCATCCCGACTACGTGCCGCTGCTTCGCCGCAGCTACGAGCTGTGGGACGAGCTTGGCGCGTCGGTGGGGCGGCCGCTCTTCCACCGGTCCGGCGTCGTCATCTTTGGCCCGGAAACCAAGACCAATGCAGACGACGTCAATGTCCTCGACGGCGTCCAAGCGTCCGCCAAGAAGCACAACCTGCCGCTCGAAGTGCTTTCGCGCGACGCGTGCCATGCGCGTTTTCCGTACTTTCACGTGCCCGAGGGCTACATCGGGCTCTTTGAGGCAGACGCCGGCTACGTCGAGGTGGAGGCCAGCGTCGCCGCGCACATTGAGCAGGCGCGCAAGCTCGGCGCCGACCTCCGCTTTGACGAGGCCGTGCTCGCGTGGGACGTCACCTCGGCAAACACCGTGTCGGTTCGCACGGCGTCAGGGACGTACAAGGCGGCCAAGCTCGTGGTGACGACCGGTGCGTGGTCGTCGTCGGTGCTGCGCTCCGCATCGCTCGACCTCAAGGTGCACCGCGTGCCGCTGTTTTGGTTTGCGCCGGCGCCAACGGACAATGGGCGAGCGCTCGCTGCCACGCCCAACATGCCCTGCTTTGCCATTGATCTGCCTTGTGGCTTTGTGTACGGCTTTCCGTACGTTGACGGCGACGGCGTCAAGATCGCGCCGCACCTTCCTGGCGCCGTCCTTGATGACCCGTCAGCGCTGCACCCGGGCGTGCTCCCTGGCGAGCTCGATGCTGTCGCCGAGTGCGTCTCCACGTGCTTCCCCGGACTGCTTCCGGCGCCGACGACGTCGGCGACGTGCATGTATACCATGTCGAGAGATGGTCATTTTATCATCGACACCCATCCGGCGCATCCCAACGTCGTCTTTGCCGCCGGGTTCTCGGGCCACGGGTACAAGTTTGCGCCCGTGATCGGAGAGATCCTCAGCGACTTGGCCATGCACGGGTCAACCGACCACCCGATTGGATTTCTGCGCAGACGCTAAGACGCCGCCCTCTGACGCAAACCGAGGGCCCGTGATGGTTGGATGCATAGTATTCCAAGATACCGTACAGTGTTTTATAGCGGTCCTTATTGCTGGACTTGTACTTGACGGCACTTGTTGCGAGGCCTCTCATTCGAGTGGTTACTGCTGTCTACGGTCGGACATGTGCGGTGACGTGTACGTCGACCTTGATAGACTGATATAAGTTTGATCGACTGAAAGCATCTGAGCACTCCAGTTGGTGCGTTGGGTAAAAATAGGTTGGGCAGCATGGACCGGCGCGCGATGTCGGCGCAGCAACCGGTGCCGTGCCACGCCTCGAACATCACGATGCCGCTCACAGCACCGGGCTGCGTTCGCGCGACAACGTCGCCGGAGCCGGTGTCTTCCAAGCCGGCGCAGCACGTGCCGCCCGTGAGGGCACCGATCGCGACGGCCGTGGCACCGACTTTGCGTCGGCGGAAAAGCCGGCACACGTACGCGCCGTTCCGACCCACCGTGTTCACCGACAAGCTCCTCGTGCCCGAGCAGCACGACTACGTTGTGCCGCTCGACTTGGCCGCGGACAGTGCCAAGCGCTGGGCGGCGCGGGGTCCGATTCTGGGCTCCACCCCCAAGCTCGACGTCAAGACGGGTGCCATGTACGCGCCGACGCTCGACTGCATCTACGACACGGGCAAACACACGCTCGGCTACCGCGTGCATCGTACACCTTTGGTTGGTTTTGTTCTTGCTTGAATAATCCTTAGACTCGCTCTCGGGCTCGACGCTATGGAACACGACCAAGCGCTTTGTGGACCACCCGAGTACGACGGACCGTGTCGGGCCTGGCGCCTACGAGAGCGTCACGGCGGCGTGGGAAAAAGCGCGGAGTGTTAGAAAGTATCCGTCGCTGCCACCGAGCCCGGGCCACCGCACGCCGTTCCAGCCGCATTTGGACGAGACGCTGGACGGCCAAGCGAACGAGCTCGCGCCATTGGACACGTGGAAGCGCACGACCAAAGCCGTGTCGCCACCAACCATGGCATTTGACAAGGCAACGCGCACAACGTGGATTGACGTGCAGAGAACGCGCGCCGACAAGATGCGAGCGCTGCCGTCCTCGGCCTCGTGCCCGACGCTCGAGCTCCCCAATTACATCAGCGGTGTACGCACAGGTGTCTTAAAGCTGTAGCAATTCATCTACAACTGTCCTCCTCACGACGTCTCGATGTGTGATGCGTCACCGCCATTATCCTAGCACAAGTTCGTGCCAGCAAAGGTACATCAATCAATTGAATTGATGTACCCTATTGAATTTATATACCCTTGGTGCCAGCTACAGCGTGTTCACACCTGCTTTTGTGCCGCCTCGCTTTTCAACGATTCGACGAGCTACGCGACCTCGATATACTAGTATGTAGATGGCATCACAAGGACTCGAGAGCCTTATCTCGGGCCAATGGGTCCACCACGGGCTGGATGGATTTCCATGTCAAGGTCAATAGAAATATAGATTGTGTTGTATTCCCAATGCCCAAGAGCAAGGGCGCGTGGCATATCGTCAAGCGCAGCGCAATGGTGGCGGAGTCTTTTAGCTAGCATTGGCCAACTCGAACACAAACACACCTTGGATGGATAGATCGAGCGGTGCGAGCTCCATCGGTTTTTCAGGACGGCTTCGTTAGCGGTGGGAGCCGGAAGAGGGACCGAGAATTTTTGCAATCATTTCAAGTTCTGACATGGCTACAAACAGTTGAAAATCGGGTAAATGTGTAAGTTGCTCTAGATTTGTTCGCCTTTGTCCGACCAAGTTTTGAAGCATCATAGACAACTTTGTGACCAGGGTAAGGGGTAGCGATAGCCCAACTGGAATCTATTCGAGTTTTGACGTGGTTCCATGGGGAGGCCAACCAAGTATGGGAGCATTCTCTCGGTATGTACATGACCATGGTAAGAGGTAGCGATCGTTTAAGTGATAGGCCAAATTTCTGTGCCTGGTAGGCTTCTGGGCTCGAATTGAAGTCCCTTGTCCTGCTATCAGAGTCTCGTAGCAGGGTGAGAGACTTGAATTCGCAAACAGACAGCAAACACACAGTTGCGAGGTGACCACGCTACTGTTTTTTCTTGGCGTAAGCATGGCTCGAGCCTCCTGTGATTACACTCGTGTGTGCGTAGAAAGGTCGAGTGGTTTCACTGCAACGGCGAAACTCTCGTACCACTTTTAGGATCCGGCGCCGTGGCGCGAAGCGACGGTGATGGAGGACGAGACGCGTCTTCCGACACTGCCGCCGCAACGGCTCACAACGACGCTGTCGGAGCGCCGGCTGAGCGACGCATCACCGCAGACAGAGTCATTGGTGCTGCCAGCAACAGCCCTTCGACTTGACCAGACCAATTCGCTCAAGCGGCGTAGCTTTCTCGACCACCGCACGACGGCTGTCGACTTGGCGTCGCACCGCAATAAGTCCAAAGCGTCGACCGAGAACGGCAGTCGATCCCGTCGGCTCATCGAGTCGTCCAAGGTGGCGCCGACCTACCTCGGCGGCGCGGGCCAACCCGGCTACTCGGGGACCATGCATCGCTACTCGCTTCGATTTGCCAACCGCCATTTAGAAGACATCTTTTGCCGCCATTACCAACACTACGTGCTCGGCAAGGTCCGCAGCGCATGCATCTTTTCGACCATGTTGCACCTGCTCATGGGCGTTGTCGAGTTCAGCTTTGGATATGCGACCAATAACGCAGCGCAGACCGGGCTACTCCTCACGCGCGCGACCGCGATCATGCTCACGCTCATCTTTCGCCACTTGACGTTCCGGCCGTGGTTTAGCCTCCGCTTCGACACTGCCATGGTCGTCTACTATCTCCTCCTCGGGCTTCTCGTGCTTGGCACAAGCGTCGTCGTGCAAGTCTCGTCCAACGGCAGCGACGACACGTCGCTCTACTTTTTTATGCGGGCCGGTGGTCCCAAGCCTCGTCGCTGCTCTTCATTGCAATGGTCTTTCACTCGACTGGGCTCATGTTTCGAGCCGCATGTGTCTGTGCGTGGGTCCACACGCTTCTCATGCTGGTGGTACCTGTTGCCATCGACCCGTCGAACGCTGCAATCTGGGACCCTCAGGTACGATACGGACTCGGCTCTCATGTTCAGCCAGTGTATATGCTATTAGATTGCATTTGGACCCGTGCTGACGATCTTTTGTATGGTGTCCACGTACCACAACGAGCGCCACGTACGACTCGAGTTTGTGCTCCGGTTCAACGTCGCCGACGACCGAAAGCGGCGCGACGACCTCCTCGAGACGATGCTGCCGGCGCACATCAAAGAAAATCTCAAGGCGAATCGCAGCGACGGACTTGCCGAGCAGTACGATGAGGTGCGTCCCCTCTACGTTCTGATATGTACCTATATATATGTTGTGTGGACGGTAGGTGTCGATTCTCTTTTGCTACGTCAGTGACTTTGGCCGGCTCTCGAAAACGACGCCAGCGATCGAGCTCGTCAAGCTCATGAACCGCATCTTCTTCTGCTTCGACAAAGCGACCGACGCGCGGGGCGTCTACAAGGTCGAGGCGATCGCGGAAACGTACATGTGTGCGGCGGGCGTGCCCGTGAAGGACCCGTTCCATCACGAGCGCATCGCGGACATGGCGCTCATGATGATGTACATCCAGCAGCAAGAACGCTGGACGTGCCAAGGCGAAGAGATCCACCTCAAGATCGGGATTCATAGCGGCCCGGTCGTCGCCGGCGTCATTGGCTCCAAGACGTATAGCTACCACCTCTTTGGCGACACGGTCAACACCTCGTCGCGCGTCTGCTCGTCGTGTCTACCGGGCAAGATCCAGATCAGCGCGCAAACGTACGAGCTCCTCATGCGGTCCGGCGGCTACGATATCACACCCCGCGGCAAAGTCGCGCTCAAGGGCAAAGGCGAGCTCATGCTCTACTGGCTCAACCGCAAGATCGCGCGGCCGTGTCACGGTATGACGGGGCTCACAGGCGCGTTTGATGTCGCTGAAGACAAGGCGATCACATCGCATTTACATCGCATGTCGTCTGCGAATGCGACCAAGCTGGAACCCACGGCGACCGCCGTCGCCACCGACGCCCTCCACATGCACCAAATGACGCTGGCATTTCAGCTCAAGCCCGGCGTCGAGGTCCCAAAGCGACTCGGGGGTGCCTACGCCACGAACATGGAGAGCTCGTTCATGGTCAAATACAACGTCAACAACATGGGCCAGTTCCGAGCCGCGCTACGGGTCGGTGTCGTCGTCCTCGCCTTGACTACTGTCTTCGAGGTGCGTGGTTCTGTCTACTCGATGCCTTTGGTCGTTCTCATTGCGCTTGGGTAGATGGTGACGATGGCGAAAAATCGCGACGTCTCGGTGAGCGTGCGCTCGTCGGTGCTTGCGCTCGACGTCACAGCCGTGTTGCTGCTACTGCTTCTCTTGGCCTATAGCTACACCAAGTTCTTTCTGCTCCACATGCAGCAAGTCGCAGGTGGCGCGATGCTGGCGGTCATGACGCTCCTCAACGCGAACTTGCTCTTGCAGCCGAGCCGGAATTTCCTCACCGCCAACATCATCTACATTGTGTCGGTGAGCCTCCTCCTCCGCTTTCGCTTTACGATCTCGATGCTTGTCAACGTCTTCAAGTACGTCCTTCCATGACGATTATCGTGCAAAAATGATCCTTTTGTATGCACAGTATTGTCGTCTACCTCGTGCTGGTCGCGGTCATTGGCGCCGGCATCGCCAACATTGTCGGCTACCTCGTCATCACGTGCTTCTCGTTCAGCATTGGCCAAGTCGCTTGCTACAAGCGCGAGATTGGGCTCCGGATGGATTTTCTACTCAAGCACACGCTCAACGCCGAGAAGCGCAAATGCGAAGTATGGACAGAATTGTCTATCGACGACTATATATATTCATGACACTATAGGAACTGCTCGCGAACATGCTCCCGAGCCAGGAATACGCCGAGGCGCTCTTACTCCAAGGCACGATCGTCGACGAACTCGACGAAGTCACGCTTCTGTACTCGGACATGGTGGGCTTTACAGCGCTCAGTGCGACGCTCAAGCCCGTCGAGTCGTGTCTCTTCCTCAACAAGGTCTACTCGGCCTTTGACAAGCATCTCGATGCGTTTGGAGTCTACAAGATGGACACGGTCGGTGACGCGTTTATCGTCATCGGCGGTACTCTGCTCTCTCTTTTGACCAGTATTTTCATGTTGGCCACATTAGGATTACCCAACTACAAGAGTGAAAAGTCGCATGCCATTGCCATCACCGCGTTTGCAATCGAGATGCTGCGCGAGATGGACGACTTTCGAAAGTCCCAAAACGTCAACTTGCAAATGCGCATTGGGATTCACAGCGGCAAGGTCGTCGGCGGCGTCGTCGGTATCAAGAAGCCGCGGTATCTCATTTGGGGCAGCCAAACGGTCGTTGCGAACGCGATGGAGTCCAAGAGCCTCCCAGGCCACATTCAAATCTCGGCTGCCACGCACGCCAAGCTCGCGTCCTGCGCCGAATTCAAATTCATTCCGCGCGGCGCCGTCGCGATTGACGAGACGCAGTCGATCGACACGTACTTTTTAGACGTACGTACCTCCAAGTTGTTCCGCATCCACTGATATAGCGCGATAGATGGCTCGCGCGCCGGCCAAGACGACGATCCTCAACAAGTACTTTAACGCATTGGGCGTGCGGCGTGTGGTGACGCGGCGCACGACGAGCGAGCGCCAGCTCGCCGACACGCTGCAAAAGCCAAAGCGTCAAATCCACTGTTTCACGAACTGGACCAGCCGGCAGACGGCATTCGCATGGCCGACGCCATCGCAGCCATCCTCAACGGGTCCCGCACGAGCTCTGCGCTCAGCGCCGTGAGCGCACCGAAGCTGGCGGTGTAACCGAGATAGTATTTAGATCAAAACAGTGGTTGAGATTCTGTTTGCCACGCCATTCTTGAAACGACCTCGAGGTGGCATCCATGGATCCACTCCAGTCGCTCGAGAGCCACTTGGCGGCCATTGACCTCCTCGAAGCCCAAGATGACACGACCGACGTCGTCGCCGTTCCTTCGCACGTCGTCTTCGATCGCCTCGTGATGCTGATCACAGGCTTAGGCCACTGAAATCACTGGGGCTGCAAGCGGCGCGCTTCTGGGACGAGCCGCCGTACAGCAAGGAAGATGCTACCTTGTGGCCGTCGACGCCGGCGTCGATGCGAAATGACCGCAGTGACAGTCTCGTGGGCGCGCCGGTACAAAACTCCATTGTCATTGAAAAAGCTCTAAGACAGCGTAGGTGCAGCCACTGCGGGCCTTCGAGAGCGACACGGACGAAGCCAAGGCGTTCAGTGGGCTTCTCACCTCAACGTCAATGACGCTGGGTGCCGAGTCTGCCGTACGGCAATATATGCGTTGAAAGACAGGTTTTCATGGACCTTCTCCTAGCGCCTCTTTTCTCGACTGCAGCAACGTCTCTTGGAGCAGCACGCTGCCGAGGTCCTGCAGCTCAACGCAGCGCATCTCCAAGAACTTGACGCGCAGAGAGTACGTTTGCTGCCGTGCTCTTCGTGGCGGCGACAGCGATGTTAGCGGTCGGTGCACGCCGTGGCATTGGAGCAGCATCGCCTGCAGACCACGGCAGAGCGACAAGAGACCCTTCTCTTGCGCTTGGCCGACGCATTGCACCGACGCGCGATCGACACAGTACGGACCATGCACGCGGGCATGGGAGTCTCCATAACACTGAGGTAGCATCGGCGTTGGTCGAGCGCTCGCTCGGCCGTGCGGTGTCTCCGGGCATGGAAGCAACACATGCTCTTGCGTCGCCAGAAGCGCCAGCACCTGCGTCGCGCCATGTCGCTGTACCTTTCGGTGGGTCGCCACTGTATCGACACTGCTTAAGTGGATGGGTAGCGACTGCCCCGCCGTCCCTTCCAGCACTGGCGCGCGTATGTCCGCGCGCAGTTGCAGGGCCGATTGGTGCATGCACAAAGCAGTGCGCACACACAAGAAATTCTCGCGCTGCAGAATGCCCATGCAGCCGAGCTTCAAGAGGTTTGCTCTCGACGATCTAACATCGTACAAGCTAAACTGCAACGATTGACGCGTAGCTGCGCGACCAGCTGCACCGGGCGCGGGTCGACATGGATGCATACGCGCTCGAGAAGACGCGCCTCGTACACGACTTTGAACAAAGGGACGAGTGGGTGATACAATGTGTGATGCCGTAGGAGGAAGACGTCCGGCGCGTCTTCTTGCGGGGCGTCTCGGCCATGAACTTGGAAGCGCTAAGCTTGTTTCGGTCGCGGCCGCGCGACGAGGCGGCGCTGGATGCCGACGACAGCGAGCCGCGCCCATCGCACGCGATACCAATGCCGCTCTACAGCACTCGCTCCTAGTGCCAAGGGTATGCTGCTGCTCCATTAATAACGAGAATCCTCAGCTATTAGTTTGCTCTTCAGCCCATTATTCACAAGAGACAAAGCAGCCCATTCGCAGAAGACAAACAATTTGTACGCTGGCACGCTTATCCATCGGCGTCGTCGTCCAAGCGAGGGGCTTCGGGCGCGCTGTCAGTCATTTTACGGCGCAAATTCATCGTCTGCACATCGTGGAACGCTTCCTTCTTGATGCCTGGCCACGGCGACGCCAGTAGGAGCGTAAAGCGGCAGCCACAAGCTACTACATCAACCATTTCAATTCGCTTTACGAGGTAGATGCGGACGGCGTACTGGAGGCCACGGGGCCGTACCCCCATGTCTTGACAGCGGCGACGACATCTGGGTCGGGTGCGATCTCGTCGGGCGTCGTGCGGCCGAGGCACCCGGATGCATTTCGACCCCACGTAAAGACCGAGCCGTCGGCCCCGAGCGCAACCGAGTGGTACGCCGAGACGTGGACATCGATGCACTTGACCTTTCGACGCTGCAGCTCTGGCACGCGAGCTATACACGATCAAGCAAGAGGACTGTAAACGCCATGAATGGTCCTACTTGGAAGCAAGGCTTGCTTTTGTTTGCCGAGGCCCAGTTGACCGTGCAGGCCGGTCCCGAAGGCGTAGACCCACCCGTGTCGCAAGGTCGTCGACGACGCGGCTTTGGTGCGCGGACCGGCAATGCAGAGCGTGTGCCAGTTGCCACACGTGACGCGCCAGACAAAGTCCGCTTCGAGTGCTGTCACGAGCGTCGGTGCAATGACGTCGCCAGTCGTCTGGAGACCGAGACGGCCGCCGTCGCCACAACCAAACGTGTAGAGATGGCCAGACGTCGTGACGACGGCCGTGTGGACAGCACCGCACGCCACGGACGACACTTTGACAGGCACCGGAAACGATACGAGCGTTGGGGACGGAAAACACACCTGAAGGTGCGGGTCCTTGATCCCTTCCCGCTTCGTGCCGCCGACGCCCAGCTGTCCTCTAGGATATAGTACATAGATACGATGCTAGTATCAAGTTGATAATCGAAGAAGGTACCCCCATGCGGCGCCAAAGGCGTACACGTGGCCTCCGTTTGTGCTCACAACCGTGTGGCAGTGGCCGACACCGACACTTGTGACCACCATGTTGCGCAAGTTCTCGAGCAGCTGCGGCCCCGGCGCCTACTCGTACACCGTAGAACAACCAATAAGGAATGAGTGCGTCTTCGCACCGGAGGCGACCGCACGTGGCCAAGGCCGAGTTCGCCAAAATCGTTTTTGCCCCACCCAAAGCACTGCCCGGACGAGTTGAGCGCGACGACGTGGCCCGACGCGCGCGAGCAAGAGATGCTCACAACCTCCTCGACGCGGAGGCTCCGGACGACGCGAGGCAGCAGAAAGGTATCGTTGAGAGGGCCGTGGTCGCCCTCTTGGTTGACATCGTACACCTCGCGCGGCAAGTGTCCAATCGGGGCGACGCCGTTGCCGCCCCAGCCAAACACTTCGCCGTCAGCCGAGAGCGCGTAGGCAAAGTCCGCATCAAAGCCCTACACGCATCAAATGTCCTTGTGGAGAGGGAGAAAGAAAGTTGTGTACTGTAAACACTTGGATGATTTTCGACTTTTGAGCGCCGTGATTTCTGTCGGACTTGCCATCGCATCGCGATGGCCGAGACCGAGCTGGCCCGCAAAGTTGTTGCCACAGCCAAAGACGCCGCCCGAGGCTACAGAGTCACTTGTTCTTGGCGCCGCTGCAAGCGTCACGTGTTTACCTTCGAGGCGCTCCCGCTTCCGGGCTTCCTTCTCGAGCTGCTTGCGCCGAGCTTCAATGGCGGCCGCGTTGACCCAATCTTGAAGGCGAGCGACAAGCGCGACCTTCTTTCCGTCCAAGTCGACGCCAAGGAGGTCCGCGGCCGCGCGGAGCTGGCGCGTCGAGAGCTTTGTAAAGTCGACAGTGGCCCAGAACTCGCGCGTCTTGGGGTACGACGCGATCGGGACACCCTATGCCCGTTGTCTCGAGTCCATGTCACTAGCGGTACCTTGTATGTGGCGGGCGGGAGCCGCACATAGGACGACGACGACCGCGGCGACGCTATGACGTGCTGGTACGGGTCGTGCGATCGCTTGTGCTCGCCTTCCATGCGCATTTGCGACCGCAGCTGGTCTTGCTGCATGTCGAGCACCTTCTTGGCACGCTGGAGGCGGATGCGCTCGAGCGGGTTCTGCAGCATCAGTCGCCGAGCCGAACGTTTCAGGCTGCGTTTGAATTGTCCGATGCAGTATACGTGCGCTCAACGCACAAGCTCTACCCACCGAAAGCAGGTCGTCCTCCATAAAGATAAGGTCTTATTGACAACGGTGGATTACGTACTATGCTGCCACGTCAAGGGCAAACTGCAAAGTCGCAAACGCGATCCGTCGACGCAAACACTGTGCGTTGGCGAAAGGTTATGGTTTTGTTTTGATCTGTCAGATCGGATTTTAAGCCAATCCAATCGCGCCATTCCAAAGAGCCAATCACACGAGGCCAATGGCCACTGTGGAATGGCGCTGTGGAACCCACTGGGCCTCGCCGACTACGGCTCCGACTCGGACGACAGCGACGTGGGCGCGGCGAGCTCGCCTGTTGCGCCACGTCACGCCTCACCCGCCCCGACGCTGATCGACGAGCTGACGCTGGCGGAAGCGCGGGCGCCGGCCAACGAACGGCCTGTCGATGGTTTGCCCGAGCTGCCGCCGCTGCCAGCTGGCACATGCCGGCCCGCGACGCAAGCCAAGGTCGACCAGTACATTGCGCACACACAGCGTGGCCTGAGCTTCACGGCGAGTCTTCGGAGCAAGAAGGAGTTTGACAACCCGTACATCCTCGAGAAGGTCGTCGACTACTTTAGCATCGAGGAGATGCAGAGCAACTTGGACAAGGCCAAATTCAATCCGTACGGGTACCACGTTGGCGACAACTACAACCGCCTCGCACTCGCGCTTCGTTCGGAGCAGGAGGCGTTTGCGCAGCAGTGCGAGCTCAATCCTGCACTGCGTTTTACGGCACCAACGGCTTTTGCCAACTACTAAAAGCTACATAAGTTCTTGTCGTTCAGAGTACGAGTATGTAGTGTATTCAAGCTACACTGTCGTCTCGGCCAGCCTCACAGGGTACGCCTGGCCTTTGCCGACACCTTTACAAAACCCACGCGCAATCGCCGCATCCAGCGCGGCCACCTTGGGCGTCGTATCGTGAATCACATCCTTCCACTGCGCGACATGGGCCGTCGCGGCGCCCACGAGGCCGCGCAGATGCTCGGTCGTCGCGTCAAACTGCCGCTTGGCATTGCCCCACAGCGTCGCCTCCGTCTTGAGGTGGAGGTACAGGCGGTGCTGGACAACCCCGAGCTCTTTGGTTGCTTTCACATGGCTTGCTTGGGCCGATTTGAGCTGCGCGTGGAGGGCTTTCGCCTCGACCGCACTGCGCGTGAGCGTCGCGCAGTGGTCGCATGGCAGCGGCAGCGTGTGCACTCTGCAGCGCGGCGCGAGAGGCGATGTATCGATGTCGTGTAGCTCCAGCGGGTGGTCGTAGAGGCATTTGGCGCGGCGATGAAAGGCATGGCAAACGCCGGTGCGGGCAAAGTCGGGGCACACGGCGCGCTGGTTGTCTTGCGGATACAGCGCGCGCATGTGCGACACCTAGAGAGAGATCGTCGATCGTCCATAGTACAGTATTCATCTTCGTCAAAATGAAAGGTTGCAGACCTTGGCGTACATCTTGTCGAGCGTGATGTGCTTGCAGGGTGGGAGGAGCGTGCAGACAGTGCAGCGCCGAAGGGGAAACGTGACCTCTGGAATCGAGAGGACGCGGTTGGCCGGCTCCGTGCTCGCTTTCGTTACCAGCGATTTGCGCACGTTTTCAACGCTGAGGTAGTGGTGCGACAGAAACAACGTCTGGAGCAGCTGCACGCTCGGGATGCACTTGGCTTTTTTACGCGCGACCAACGACTCGATCGCCGACCGCACATAGCCAATCTACGCGGCCACATTTTTCGAGCTACTCGATCGCATCTGCGTACGCGTTCGCGGGTGCAAATGCGCAGAACTTTCTCGAGCACGTGCAGCGGCGTGAGCGGCGCGAGTGGAATGCACTTGCTGGACGACTAGCCAACGCCACCAAGATGACAGAAGCGTGCCATGGGTCGTACTCGGATCTGCTCGGTGACGCGGCTCGCATCGGGCGTCACGGTCAAGATAAAGTAGATCGATTTGGTGTTGATCGTGTCCCAGATCGGGCCGAGCGTATGCTGCTGCACACGCGGGTTGAGCCTACGACGCAGGTTACGCGATGCGATAGTGCAATTTTGACTACCGATCAAAGTTTTCGATCGCAATGTAGAGATACTTGTCGACCAACACCGTGTGCTTTTCGTGGTAGCGTGTAAATGTCTGCACCTTGACGAGCAGGTCGCGCTCACTACCATGCACCCTTGAGATAGGATGTAGCCTCGCGACGCCAGGTCGACTCGATGTGGTCGGCTTCAAGAGACAACGTATATCGCTTGCGCTCGGCCGGCACCGGGTACAAATGCGCCAGTAGCAGCTGCATATACGATGTCTTGCCGGCGCCAGGCGGTCCCTACCGCGATGCATCAGATACCGTCGACTCTGGCGGCGCAACGAGGATGAGGATGTTTTGGCCGCGCTCCTTGGGCGACACGGGCTGGCTCAAAAGGGAGAGTTGCTCGACAGCATTTTCGTTATTGAGGAAATCACTCGCCTAACGCTCATCCAAGTCCACTGCAAATAGCAACCGCGGCCTACGGTCTGTGGTCGCATCGTGATGGCCCTAGCATCGATGAGATGGCAAGCGCAAGCGAAGATGCGCACCAGTCGACCGCCTTGTCGCTCTCGTTGGGGCTACGTGGCTTGGTCGGACAGGGATAAGCCAAGAACAGCTTGTCCGTCGCATTAAGGAAGCCATAGTGCTCGCGCCAGTCACCCGCCTTGTCCGCGTGGCCCTTCATGATCCAATGCGCCAGCTGGTGTTAAAAACGCGTTCGTGGGCGTTAAACGAGATAAAACGCAGATCGGTCCAAACCTGTCCAAGACACAAAGGACTTGGTATCACGGAGTAAAACGCACTACTGTACCACCACTACAACCAGCGACGCAAATGCGTCGTGCCTCAAGCTCGTAGCCAAGCACAGCGCCCGCTGGCCTAGCAGCTACAGTACCAGCGGGACGTGGTCCCATCGCATATCACGACGACGATCCAGTGCAGCACCGTACGTACTACGCGGCAAGAAATAGGTGTAAATCAGCGCTTCGACGGCAGCTTTACCGTACTCGTTGTAGGTGTCGGCCAATACGCTGGCGCCGTTGCCAACGGGCAGTGAAGGTGGTCGGCGGGCGACGTTCGAATTCGGTTTAAACGCCATTTAACGCATTTCTTGTTCGACAACGAGCATGGTCACGGACGGCCTCGCGCAGCACAAGCGCGAAGCCATCGTGCGGAAGGTGCTCATCGGCCTCTGCGCGTGGATCGCATGCGCGGCCATGACACCCTTCAAGGACGGACCCTCTGACAAGTTTGCCGGTGGCATGGGTTGCATGGCGCTATTCTTCTCGATCATGGACCTGCCGTACCACGCCCGCTTCAAGCGCATCGTGAGCGGCTTCGCCGGCGCCGCGCTCGTGGCTGCCGGCGTCTGGGTCCTCACCAGCACCGACTGCAGAGGCGACTTGTGCAGCTACGCGTACGTCGCCGTTGCATTTCTCTTTGTGACAGCACTCCTCGAGGGTTTGGCATGGCACCTCGTATGCCCGAACCTCGTCATGGCGGCGGACGACGACTTGAGTCGCAAGCGCGCCGAGATCTTTCTCTGCTACCTCCTCCGCGTCGACCGCATCCTCTTGAGTCTCTACCTCGCGGCGGCCATTGTCGTCGTCGTGACCGTCTCACTCAACGCGTCCGCAACGTTTGTGCTTGCTGCGTTTCTCCAGCTCCTCCAGCTCACGAGCACGTGGATTCAGCTGCGCAGCGTGCGCAAGAGCCTCTCGATCGAAGCCACGTTCGTCGAGGCTCCATGAAACACCCACCTTTTGGGCTTTAGTACGCTAGTCAATGTATATTCCCACTTGTTGCAGCTTGCATACTTGAATTCCACTGATGCCAATAAGATAACGAGATCTGGAGGCGAGCACGAAATGACGTGGCACGCTGCAAGGCGAGGACGCATTGTGTGCAAGGTGTCAATGGCACTCATCGGGCATCCATGGGACGTCCGATGTGAGCGAGGAAGGGTCTGGCTCCTTCAGCTACGTACACGTGTAGTACTACGTGGCAACCGTCAACCGTGCGGCCTGAAGGATCGCAGAGGACACGAGAAGCTTTGATGAAACGCGTGGTGTTTTGAGATGTGCTTAGAAGAGGGGCACGCATCAGAGCGGTGCACGGAAGCTTCAATGTACATACGAGTACACAGCAGGGCGCTCGTTGAGGCTGGTGAACGGAAGCGGTTGATATGCGAGTCTCCAACAATATTTTGTGAGAGATTCGCGATCCACGACCTGCATCTGGAACTGGATTGCCACGTGGTACGGGCGTCACTTTTTTACTCGTTGTTTGCGCCTGAATCTGGGAATCTGGATCAGATCTCTGCTCTGCAGCGACTTGCCCACGGCCGCCTCGTCCGTGAGCTTTGGAGGAGCTCCTCGTGAAGCATCATCCACTGCCGTGCGACAACGCCGTTCGCATCCTGCGACGTGCGGCTTCAAATCCGACAACGTTTCCGGACGCCGAAACGCCGAAACTTTTGCCGGAAGGGCGGGCGAGTTCAAGCGTTGCACATGCTTTTGAAGCACGCTCGGGTCGCCACGGTCGCGAGACACTACGTTCAGCGTCTTCGCTGCGCCTTCTATGGGATGCAACTGACACCTACATGTACTAGTACCCGCCGCCTCCGAGAACGCAGCCGTGGAAGCGAGGCAATACTGGGTCGTGACGAGTTCGTCGACAAGGAATCGTCCAAAAACCGAGCCGAGAATTCAGGACAAACCACCTTTGGCCAGCTGGGTTGGAGTTTGCACTTGCGCCGTTTTGGCAAGATTCTGGCGCCAACGCCACCTGGAGAGCCCGCATTCTGCCGATTGGCCATCTGCAAAGTCAAATGATCCAATCCCATCGCGTGCAATCCGATACAAGACAGGCCATTGGTGCATTCGAATCGGGTAAAAGTCGGTTTGACACACACGCCCCAACGTCGCATGTCCTCGCCAGCGCCGACGGTCGACCACTTTCTTATTTACATCTCTTCGGCACGCGACAATGACCGTTCCTCTTTCTCGGACATCACGGTCGTGGCATGCACTGCGCAAGCAAACGACGGCGTTGTGCATCACGCCGTCGTCGTCGTCTCGCCACACGGGTCTCGTTCGGTCGTTCTGGACACCGTCGTCGCCGCTGCAGGTGGCCGTCGCGGGCCTGACAGCACTCGGCATGGGCACGGTCGTGTCTCCTACCTCGGCGCACAGTCGGAATCCCGCGCAGCAGAAGAAGACGAGCATCAGCCAGACCTGCGACACGGACCAGTGGACGATCTGCGACGACGCGCTCGGCACCGGTGCATTTGGCGTCGTGCGCCTTGGCGTCTCGCGAACGACGGGCGAGAAGGCAGCGATCAAGTCGCTCCACGCCCACCGCGCGTCGCTGCACCGTGAAATCCACGCGCTGCGAAAGATCAAGTCGCTCGGCGGCCACAAGAACATCATCGACCTCAAGGACGTGTACACGGATGCAGATGACCGCGTGTGCGTCGTGACCGAGCTCGTCGCGGGCGGTGAGCTCTTTGAGCACATTGTCACCTACGGCGCCTTCTCCGAGCCGGACGCGCGCCGCATGATCCACGACATTGCGCAAGCGATTTGTTCCTTCATGCCAACGGGCTCGTGCACAAGGACCTCAAGCCTGAGAACGTGCTCTTGCGCTTCAAGGAAAAGCGCGCCGACAACGAAGCCAAGCTCGCCGACTTTGGCAGCGCGGGCCCGCCAAGCGTTTTTAGCCGCACGGACGACGTTGGCACGTCGGCGTACTTGCCGCCCGAGCTTCTCGAAGCGAAGAAGGGCGGCGTCGTGTGCTCGCAGGCCGCCGACATGTGGGCCATCGGGTGCATTTTGTACATCCTTCTCACAGGCATGCATCCATTCGATATGGACGGCGCGCTGCCAGAAGAGCTCGTGGAGATGCGCATCAAGAAGAGTGACGTGAGCTTTGATAACCCGCGCTGCACGGATTTGTCGGTCGACGCCAAAGATCTTATTGCCAAGCTGTTGGCCAAGAACCCAGCGCAGCGCCTTTCTGCGACCGAGATGCTCGAGCACCGATGGATGACGCAGCAATCACAGACGAACCCGCTATTTACGATCGATATCTTTCACCCGACGGACGCCCATCGCCCCTTGTACACTAGCGCAACCGAAACATAACCGCAATAATCAACTACTAGAGTACAACAAGGCACTACCTGTCGTGTAGCTGTACGAAGCCGCAGCGCCAATGAGCGTCGAGGGGTATCCTGATAGCTTCGTCTCCGAGTCGACTCGGCAAATGCTGAAATCGTAGCTTAGCTCGACAACTTAGTGTACATGTAGGCGTATGGTACCCCATGGTACCCTCTTGGTCTCGCGACATCGTCGGTCTCGCGACATCGTCGGTCTATGGCCTGGTCTTCTGGTCTTCAGCACGATAACACATTGAGGTAGGGAATTACGAGGATCAGACACCTTTATTCTGTCGGATACAGCCTTGCGAGTGCAGGGCATGGTCATAAAGTAGAGTTTGGTCACTGATCCAATGGAGTCTGGTCACTGAGGGTGGGAACGACCACCTCGAAAGCTGTCGCGCCAGGAAACATGGAGTATCATGACACTGGTGGCATAACCAGAGCAGGGGTACATAATAGCTATTATGTACTACCCCTGAACCAGAGCCACAAAGCAAGTACGAACTGCAGTCGTCCGTCAAGAGACCCGGGATCGCGGTATTGGAGGTGCCAACTCGCCGCTCTACACCCGTCTTGAATACAGCGGACGCAGCATAGCGATCGGTATCATCACTATTCGGCATTACCTCGAAGCGATCAAGAACTCTACGCCGTGATGCTTGCCCATTGCTCCAGATTTGAAGCAGTTGCAATGCTCATTGCCTTGCAAGTGCTCGTGGCGACGTCGTTCAAGCACGTTTTAGCCTCGGCACAATTTCCCTCTCCCCTTATCCAGTCACCATGACTTCTCTCACTTCCTTCAAGGGTCTTGAAGATCTTCTGGTCCCTTGCTTCTTTCACTCCCAGCGCTTCCTCTTGCATTGCATCATGCTTAGGTCGATGGTACAGCAACGTTCAGCGCGCTCGCACCTGACGATCTTGGTCCCCATCTCTGCACCCGCAACGACTGCATCGAGTCGCCCGCTCTTCTTCTACTCAAACCGAGGCGCCATGCCCGTTAACGACTCCATTGCATCCAGCGGCTAGCATCCAGGGAACGCTGCCGGCGTGTCCATGGCGCGCCACGGCCTGTTTATCCGTATAAATCGGTCGTATCCGTACCTGCCTGTGGTTGGTGGAACGACGAAATCCTCTCTGAACGCATAAAACCTGTATAACCCGATGCGATTTGAAAACCAGTCATTTTGGCTGTGGGCAATTGAGTTTGGCATTTGACATTTTACCATGGGTCGTGTTATTCGTGGCCAACGTAAGGGTGCTGGTTCGATCTTCCGATCGCACACCAAGACGCGCAAGGGCGCCGCCGCTTTCCGCGTGAATGACTACGTCGAGCGTGAGGGCTACATCAAGGGCGTGATCAAGGAGATCATCCACGACCCCGGTCGTGGCGCGCCGCTCGCCCGCGTCTCGTTCCGTGACCCGTACCGCTACCGCATCCAGCACGAGCTCATGATCGCGGCCGAGGGCATGTACACGGGCATGTTCATCTACGCCGGCAAGAAGGCCAACATGGCCGTCGGCAACATCCTCCCGCTCTCGCAGCTCCCGGAAGGTACCATCGTGTGCAACGTCGAGTCGCGCATCGGCGACAAGGGCAAGTACGCTCGCTGCTCGGGTGACTACGCCGTCATCGTCTCGCACGACGAGGACAAGGGCAAGACCAAGATCCGTCTCCCGTCGGGCTCCAAGAAGACCATCCCCTCGGCGTAAGTTGCATGGCCATTCGATCGCCCGGGCGCAAGCCCGTGGCACACGCCCACGCAGCTTGCTGCGTGGTGCTGTGTAGTAGTTCCCATACTACTTTCCCCGCTTGATGCGGTGCGTAAGTATCCCGTGGGGCGCGCTCGATCTCTCTATCTCTATGGCAGGCATTGATGGTCATGTTGCTGTGTAGCTGCCGTGCTATGGTCGGTGTCGTCGCCGGCGGTGGCCGCACGGACAAGCCCCTCCTCAAGGCTGGCCGCGCGTACCACAAGTACAAGGTCAAGCGTAACGAGTGGCCCAAGGTGCGTGGTGTTGCCATGAACCCCGTCGAGCACCCGCACGGTGGTGGTAACCACCAGCACATTGGTCACCCGTCCACGGTCCGCCGTGACGCGCCCGCCGGTAAGAAGGTCGGTCTCATCGCCGCCCGCCGCACTGGTCGCCTTCGTGGCATCAAGAAGCTCGAGAAGGACAACTAAATGTTGGGCCTACCTCGCTAGTCTTCTAAGTCTTGGAAATGTCAATACAACACGACTCAAAACAAAATTGCTTTTCTTTTTGAGAAATCAACGCGACCTACTACAAGGCTAAGGCGTAGCTGATGACCTTGCGCAGCCGCCTGCCACTGCATCTGAGTTCGTCTTCGCTATCTGAAAGCGTCGGCTGGTCTGCGATGGGCCGTAACCGAGACTGCTGTCACGACGACCTCTGTACGCAGGTGGAACCAGGCGGAGCCCTATTTGACTTTAGGTACATCAGAGACACAACGGTAGCATCCTCCTTCCTAGTCCACTGCAACGGGAGAGCCCATACTTGGCCTGGGGTAGCGGTACCAAACTGCTATAGCAGGACATGCATACCGGGTACCGGTCGGGGCTCATGATCACGATGCTCATCGGGCGACCAGGATGGAGTGCGACGTCGTCGGATGACTGGATGTGGTCTCCATGTCGAGAGCGTTGGCCGTCGCGTTGGCGGGTAAGCGGTGGCAAGATGGCGGATCTCCGTACACTATTACGCCGAGCTATTCATAGCGCCGCCATCGTAGCCGTCGACCTCAATGCTGTTTCGACAACCAAGTGCAAGTAGGAGCATGGCACGACTCGCAGCGCGTGAAGATGCGTGCAAGCTCCTTGCGCAGAGCCTCAACGAGAAGGCGTCGTACGACGAGCTCATGGACGAGCACCGCAGTGCGTGCCAATGCTGGTCCGTCCTCCTCGAGGTCATCGAATCCCACCTTCCTATTATCATCGTCGCATCCTTATCCTCATGATGTCCTGCAGGGCCTTCACGTGCCTTGCCTCGACCTCCCACATGCCTTGCATCATGGCAAAGGCAGTGCGACCAAGCGCGAGCTCCGCGATACGATGCTGTGGCTCCACCCCATGACGCTCCAGCTCTGCTTCTCCAACGTCCACGAGTTCCATGCCCGCGTCCCGCGCCTTCCGCTGGCGCACGTTCGCTTCGTCCAGAGCGGCCGCGTCTCAAGTACGTCGGCGAAAGCGCCGCCCCTCACGCCGTACCCGTGTCTCTCGCTCACGACGTGGCACGACGACGTGGTGCACATTGGCTTTGCCACGGCGCAGCTGCGCGACTATGTCGTCAAGATGCTCCGCGAGATCGTCCAAGTCGTCGATGTCATGGCGCGCGTCCAGGACCATGTACGCACGATCGATCAATGGATCCATCCCATATAATCGCATCTCGCTACTATTATAGGTCGCGCAGCACCTCAAGCGACGCGACTCGGTCGGAAGCAACAGCGGGATTGCCGCATGGACGCCCGCGGACCTTGAAATGTGGCTGCACGGCCGGCAGCTCGCAGCGCTTTACGTGCCGCTCTACTCGCACCTCGCGCATGCGTTCGAGGTCGATGGCGACGCCTACGAGCGGTTCCTCTACCTCAGCGACGAGACGATCCAGACCATCATTGCCAACGAGAGCAACCAAGAAGGCGCGGCCGTCGCCGAGCTGCGGACTGCGCTTGGCACCCAGCTGCAGCTCGCTCGGGAAGCCAAGGCCAAACAAACTACGACCACAAAACGAACGCCGTCCTTGCGATGGCCCAAGCGCTTTGCGCACGCCAGCTAAACAAGAGATGATGAATGAAGTCTCTGTTGCCCTCGATCGATCGGACTGTCTACGCGAGCACGGCCAGCATGTCAGCGACCGACGTGAACTTTTCCCGGGGCTTGCCGACCGCAGCGCCTGCGGCCTCTTCAGCGGCTTCAATGCGCGTGTAGTCGGCCCACGAGACGACGCGGGTGGCGGCGGCGAGCGTCGCATGCAGCTCATCCGCTGACTTGGACGGACCCGGTAGCGTCGGGGCATCGGCCATGAGGCTTGCGACTGTGTCCCGGGCGTCGTTGATGTTGGTGCCAATGATGCCAGACGGACCGCGCTTGACCCACCCGGCGCAGTAGAGCCCGGGCACGGGCGACTGCGTTGCGACGTCGACGATGCGCCCCGAGACGTTCGAGAGCACGTTGCGCTTGGTGTCAAACGGCACGTTCTCGAGCGGAAGCGACTTGTACCCGATGCTGCGCAGGACGAGGCCGCACGGAATGACTTCAAACTCGCCCGTCCCGGTCGCGCGCTGCTTGTACGCGTCGCCGTCCAGCGCGTTGACTTCGACCTTGATGGCGCCGACGCTATATACATTGTCCTGGCCTGTGTCCCTCAGTCGAAGCCTCTGTACCGTGTCGGGTCGCTGGCATCGGGGATGAATTCGACGGGCGAGAGGAGGAACCGGACTTGGATCTGGCGATCGCGCGCCGCATGCGCCGTGTGCTCCTTGGCCACGGTACCTAGCAGCCGCATCAATATAGAGCATGCATTAGACGAAAGAAAGCACATACTTAGGAGCTGGTAGATGCGCTTCTGCGCGCGCGTCTCTTCGATTTCCTGGAGCGACGAAGGGTTGAGGCCTGCGTTGAGTTCGATGGGATCGACGACGCACGCGGCGTCTTCAAGGCGCGTGATCTCGCGGAGCTCCTTCATCGTAAACGCCGCTTGGGCGACGCCGCGACGACCGAGCAGCAGCACCTTCTTGATGCCACGGGCCGCGAGCGCGTTCAGCGCATGCTGGGAAATGTCGGTCGACGCGAGCTCGTGCGGCGACTTGGAAAGGATGCGCGCGCAGTCGACGGCGACGTTGCCTTGGCCGATGACGACAGCCGTGTCGGTGTCCAGAGGCACGTCCAGGTCGCGGAACGACGGGTGGCCGTTGTACCAGTTGACAAACGACCGCGCCGCCATGACGCCGCGGAGGTCTTCGCCGGGGATGTTGAGCTTCCGGTCGTCGGACGCGCCGGACGCGAGCACGACCGCGTTGTAGTACGGCTTGAGCGCTTCGACCGAGACGTCTGTGCCCACGCGCACGTTGCCGAGGAACGTGAAGCGAGGGTCAGAGGCCACTTCGTTGAAGTCGTGCATGACGTTCTTCACTTCGGGATGGTCCGGCGCGACGCCCGAGCGCACGAGGCCTACGCAGTGTGCCATGAGATGCCCGCCGAGTGGCAACGAAGACGAAGAAGAAAGCACCATAAGGCGTCGGGAGTGCTTCGAGCATGTCGATGTGGACACCGGCATGCTCCTTCAAGAGGTACTTGGCCGTGTAGAAGCCGGCGGGGCCGGAGCCTACGATGCAGACGCGCTTAAAGTCGTCGGCCTGCGCGCTCATGCAGCGGAAGAGGCCATGCGGCTGGCGCGCGGTCGCGGCCATCGCGCGGAGCGAGCGGCCGTACATGCTCGTCTCTGCAAATCCGGATTTGCGGCGCTGGGTGTGATGGCTATCATGCTGCCATTGGTTGAAAAGACAACAAGCGCCTTCGATGATTGGTCCACATGTCGAAATCCAAGCGATCAATCGCGAATGCTCCAACGTTGGAGTGATCACGATGCCAGAGGCAGACTACGGTACCATCATCAGCCAGCGTCACAACTTGGCGCAAGGAAGGACCCATGGGCGTCAATGGGTACATCGTCATAGCCTGAGCATGGCAGCATCCTGTACATCAACGACTGCCACCATCGCCACGTGCATGGGAAGGTATATTGGCTCGCAGCCAACCCAGCCTGAGCAAGAGGCTGGCAAGAAACAGCGCATTGGAAATACATCATGTTGCAGTTGATATTAGCTGCCACACTTAGAGCAACGACGCAAGGCCGTGGCTTCAGATCGGGACGGCCTCGCCCTTGGAGGCGTGGTTGGTGTAGTACTCACCAACCTTGTCCCAGTTGACAACGTTCCAGAAGGCCGAGATGTACTCCGGGCGGCGGTTCTGGTACTGCAAGTAGTAGGCGTGTTCCCAGACGTCCAGGCCGAGGATCGGGATCATCGGGACCTCCGAGTTGGGCATCAACGGGTTGTCCTGGTTGGCGCTCGACGAGACGGCGAGCGTGCCGTCGGCCTTGACACCCAACCACGCCCAGCCCGAGCCGAAGCGCGTCAACGCGGCGGCGTTGAACTTCTCCTTCATGGCATCGACCGAGCCGAACGCCTGTTCGATCTTGGCCTTGAGCTCGCCCGTGGGGCCAGCCTGGCTCGTGCCCGGCGGCGCCATGAACGTCCAGAAGAGCCTACATATGCCATTGTTAGCCTTGTCGCTATCTCATGGCGCCATCGTACGTGTGGTTGTAGTGGCCACCGCCGTTGTTGCGCACGGCCGGGACCGTGGCCGTCTTGACGATCTCGACAATCGACTTGCCGGCGAGCGAGGGCTCCTAGGATGATGGCATGAGCGGCCTTGGCCTCGGCTAGTAAGCAGTCGTACCCCAGCAATGTAGTTGTTGATGTTGTTGATGTAGGCCTGGTGGTGCTTGGTGTGGTGGATCTTCATCGTCTCCGTGTCCACGTAGGGCTCGAGGGCCTCGTAGGCGTACTTGAGGGGCGGAAGGGTGAAGCTCATCTTGGTTGCAAAAGGCAAAATGAGCGGCTTCTATCTTGGAGGGACCGATTGTATTTTTATGCGCTCGCATACAAACATCAAGGTGCTTTTGAAATTGGGCATAAAACAAGGAGGATCCCTCGTATCATCCGGATATCGTGGGGCAGATTGTTCGCGATGCATACAAAGACCAAGTTGAACGAACCTCGGAATTCGGCACGCCGCCATCTTTTTCACACGTGAGAAACGTGGTTTTTGAGAGATGCTCCAACACAAGCTGGTGCACCGGCGTCTCCCCACCGCACGCACAATTTATACTCCATTTATCCGGATGGTAGCGTATTTCCCACATGTGGAAAACCAAAACGGCGAGGATCGGCGCCATCACGCACTACGATTGGCGGATGGTGGACCAATGAACGGGCTGCCTGACGAAAATGCTTGGCGCGCTGCGAACTTGAAGTTCGAGAACGCCCACTCCGAAGGCGGATCCTGAGCAAACCTGACACTGCTGCATCCGGCATGTGCACGGCCCGTTAGAGCATGCTCTGCTGTGCTGTGCTCTCGGAATGTATCGAGGAATAGAAGGCGTGAAAGTGATCGAGAGTGAACGCTAACGGAAGGAACTTCCCGTCATTCCGAGGTGGCTCGCGATTATTAGTCTAACCTTGGTCATCGCCGAGGACCAAGGTTGGTCCAACGATCAACCACCCAGCAGCCAATACAACGTTCCAACCAGCTCGTCGCATCGTGATGCTGGCGTCCTTATCGTGAGCACGGTGACGGGCTGAACACCACTTGCCAGCATCGCTTGGCCCATGCGGCTTAAGGGACACGGTGGAAACTGCTGCAAGTAGACACACGCGCCGGCGATTGCGTTCCAGCAGTATTGACGAGGCGGTGTCGACGCGCGAAGCTCGATCGTCGATCGTGCCACGGATCCTGGCGGCGACCAAGGCCCTGAGAGTCACCACACGACGTCCACCGGCTCTGACGCAGCGTCCTCTCAAGCTTGTACAATTATGCCGATGCCGAGCGTGGTCTGCGCGTGGCGTGCTTGCATGAGTTAGTTTTGGCGCACTTGACCTGTTTCTTGACACGGATCTTTACAGGTTGCGCAATGTTAATAACACTTGGCAATTTGTTTCAGGCACAAGGCATGGTGCTTGCGCAGGCTCGGCTGCAGGCGCAGAAGGCGGTGGCCAAGGCCGGCGCCTCGATGACGGCCACGGGTATCCACGTCCTCGGCGGTGCGTACCTCATCCCGACACTGCGCCTTCACGCGCCCGTCCGCGTCAACGGCGAGTACGACATGCGCCGGCTCGTGGAGCAGTCGCGCGTGAACTGGAACCTGCGGGGGCCCGTGATTCTCGACTTGGCCAACGTGAGCTCCAACGGGTCACCGCACAACTCGCCGATCCGGTCTTCGGAACTGCGCTCGCTCATTTACGCCCTCCGCAGCGAGAACCTCCATCCGATCGGGATCACGAACGCCAGCGAAGACATCAAGGCCATGGCATGGAAGTCGCTGCAGGTGCCAAGCATCATTAGCACGCGGCTCGAAGACGACGGCGACTACGAGGCGAGCGATGCCATGAACCGCGTTGCGATGCACCAGCTCATGGAAGAGGCGATGGGTCACGAAGAAGCGGCGCAGGCCATCATCAGCGAGCGCCTCGACACCTCGTCGGCCGCTGCCGAAGCCCCGGCCGCCGCACCTGCACAACGTGGTATGATGGTTGTCGAAGGCTCGGTTCGCACTGGTCAGCAAGTCTACGCCAAGGACCAAGGGCTCGTCGTTCTTGGCTCGGTCAACTCTGGCGCCGAGGTCCTTGCAGACGGCGACATTCACATTTATGGCACGCTCAAGGGCCGCGCGCTCGCAGGCATTGGCGGCAACACGGACGCTAAGGTACACTACATCGTCCTACCCACTATCCCATCCTGCGTTGTGCTAGGTGTACGTGCAGAAATTTGACGCCGAGCTCATCTCGATCGCCGATACATTTACGACTTGCGACGCCCTTGAAGCGCGCGAGATTGGTCACGTGGTAATACAACCCTCGCTTCCAACCAGACAATCGTATACCTCTTGTTCACCTAGGTCGATGACAAGCCCACGATCGTGTGGCTCGAAGACGGCGCGCTGCAGTTCAAGTCCGTCGTACCCGGCCCGTAGTGTTAGTACCATTTCTACTTTTTCTACATTTTTCTGCGTTTTCGCATTTTGTACAATTTTGGTTTTTAACGGTGCAGTAAGCTACTCTAGCACCATGGTGCCGTAGAGGGTCGCGGGCGTCGATGGTGCAATGGATGAACGAAGCGCCGGGTCTTGGTACATCTCAACCGACCCAGACGTCGGCGAGAGCAGCATCGTCTGGTCGGGAGCATACGCCTTGCCTACGGCACGCTGAAGCTGCTCCTTGTCGCCAATGTAGTGCCATAGGATCAGAATGAACGTGAGCATGAGGAGCACGACGATGGACGTGCTTTGGTAGAGTGTGCCGCGGACGAGGAAGAAGCCGGCCATCGCACACTGGTAGATCATGAGCGGGAACATGCTTGCGTGGGTGCTCGTCTTGGCGATCGCACCATTGCCCTTGATGCGCGGTCGGACGTACAAAAGAGAATACCTACCCGACGACAATATTGAGCATCAAGCAGCATCGAAATCGTTCTTGACTACTTGTCGACGAGGTGCTGCATGAAAAAGTAGAACGCGCCAAACGGCAAGATCACGGGCACGACCGTGCTGAAGGCGACAATGACGACGAGCACACTACCACATGCGATAGTTGCACAAGTGCACTGTCGTCACGCAAGGTAGTACCTGATTTGCAGAGCCGACTGCGTGCCCGTATAGAACTTCCACGCGTCGACCGCGTACGCGCGCTCTTTTGGTGTCACGGCGCGGGACCAGCGCCACGCAAACTCGGCGGCCTCGGAAGTGCGCAGCATGACGACGGCCGTGCCCACAAACGCCCGCTGAATGACTAGAAAAGACATATGACAAATGAAACAATGAAAAAATGAAAAAATGAAAAATGAAAATGTAAAATGTAAAATGGACACTGGGGCGCGTACCGTAATTGACAAAGAAGACACCCGAGTTGTTGAGGAAGAGCATTTCGAAGAGGTCGAGGACTTGGCCCTTGTCGAGAAAGTACTGGAAGAGCGCGTTGATCGAGACAAACGTAAAGCTTGGCACAAACAGCGTATTGAAAATCAAATCTGATACAGACGATATGAAATCCAGGAAAACACAGAGTCAAACCAGTGAACGTACACACGGCACTGTAGTGCAAAATGCTCTTTTCCTTGGCCGAGTCGGTCGACATGGGTTGCATGCGCCCCGCGTGGTACACGACGTTGAGGAGCACGGCATTGAGCATGACAAGACTGCAAGTCCATAAGATCATCGCGTCATAAAAGTAGGGGACAGAGAGGTACGTACATCATGGTGGGAATGTACGAGAAGGTCATTTTGGCCACGACGGGCGAGAGGCCGGCGACGCAGTCTTGGACTTCAAACACGATATCATTGACCCACTTGGCCGTCGCTAGACACAGAGATGATCGCGCCTTCGTGTTGCTAGAAGGGACGTACTTGAGTAGGCGCCCGACGAAATGGCCGAAGTGACTGCCAAAGGCGACGTGAAGAGAATGATAAAGACCGTGAGAAACGTGTAAATCGTCGCCGTGAGCAGCGTGCGCTTGGTCGATTGATACGAGACGCACTCCCAATCAATGTCATCGGGCTCGGGCGCCGCGTCGAGCGTCCACTGCGTCAATTGGAGCTCGTCGATCTTGCGCTTGACTAACATCACACAGCTCATCAGCGAACAAACCTCGACGTCGTTACGTACGGGTGTTGTGATACTTTTTCGGGGCGCGGGCAAGGATATGCGTGATGGACTTGTACTTGGTCTTCTTGACGAACCGCGCCTTCCATTTCGGGTCGTTGAAGATGAGGAAGATGCGACCTGTGCCCGCGTTCTTGGCGATGATCGAGGCGAGCGTGCGCGCTTCCAACCGCTTGCTCTCGGCAATACTGGCCTGGAGCGACGCGACTTGGTCCTCGAGCGGCGCCTGCAAGCACGTTGGCTCGGGGAACCGCAAGCTTCCTGGCAGTAGCCGCAGCATCCACGGGACCGAGTTGGTCAGTTGCATGCGCAGTAGCAGCTGCAGTCGTTCGATGCGATCTTCGGCCGCGATACGCTGCGTGTGCAGTCGGCGGTACGGTCCCAAGTCGTAGACGACCGTCACGTGGCTCATGTAGCCCGGAAAGATCTGCATTGTGATGCAATGGATATGGTGTCATACATGCAATCATACCTGGTCGAGGAGGTACAAGATGCGGTCTTGGGCCATCCGCTTGGGCACGCCGGACGAGACGAGGATCGAGCGGGCGCTGAGACTCGAGGGGATCATGCAGAGGAGGTTCGTCTTGGCCGGGTCGCGGTTGTTGCAAAGGCGCCCGAGCTTGTGGAGGAAGATGCCGTAGAAGAGTGAAAAGATGTACGTGGTGATGACCGGCACCCAAAGCAGCGGCGACTTGTCGGGCAGCGACCGGATCGTGAGCGTGCTAAATGCCGACCACGGCGTCGACGCGGCAAAGACGTAAACGGGCACGAGCACGAAGAACGCAAAGCCGCTCATCGCAAGCACGAGCCGCAGGGCGTACACCTGGAAGGTGAGGTAGAAGGCGGCTTCGTCGCCGACCTCGATGTGCAGCGACTGGATGTCGCGAAACTTGTGGTAAAAGGCTTTGAAGCGCTCGAATGGCGTCGCGTGGGCGCCAAAGTGCGCGCGGTACGTCGTCGCCGTCGTGTCGGTGGTGCCCATCCAGTAGAGGCTGCTGCGACTGCTGCGCGACGCGAGGAAGAGGCACCACGCGACGCAGAAGCCGACGCTGTTGACGCCAAAGACGACCATGATGCTCCACCAGCCCTGCGCAGCCTGCTCGAGCCGCTTCCGGCCGTAGTCCACGTGCCAGATATCGCGCTGCGACGCGTTGTGCATGCTGGCGCGGACGTCGAGGATGTCGAGCTGCTGTGGTAAAATCCCAGCGGGACAGCCTGCGTCGTGATTGGTGCAAACGCATCCAGCGCTGCGACATGCATCGAAAGTCGCCTGTGATTGGCGGATTCACTTGCTGTTGCAAACAGCGTTGGGTGTTTTCAACATGTACGATAGAATACACTGCACACAGGACTACTGTTGAACCAGCGTTTAGGCTCTCGCCAGTGGCACCTACTGTGCAGAATTCCCGCACGTATTAAATGATGACTTTACTGCCTCGGCTTTGGCTGCGTGCTGCGCTCGCACGTGGGCTCGATGCCCTTGGTCTGCAAGCGGTGCATTTCAATGTTTCGTTTTAAACACATGTTGAAAATCGCGGTCCCGTGATCAATGAACCGATATTATCCGGACGTCCGGATGGCGCAAGACGTCCAATCAATTCCAGAGCAGCGAGCGATGGAAGCCGACGCCCCCGTGGTCCCGCGCCGCTTTGTCGGCCGCAAGGTGGTCAAGGCCGAGACCTGCGCCACCGAAGGAGCCTGCGCGAATACCTCCGGCGCTTGCTGCAACTCGGAGGCTACGACGTAGGCGCACCGCCTCCATGCCACAAGGCGGCCAACGCATGCGTAGGCTTGTCAAGAAGAAGCCCAGCGCGGCCGCCCTGCGCCGCAAGATGGCCAACCAGATCCCGGACGAGATCCAGAACGACCCAGAGCTTGGCAAGGCCATCGAGCAGGTGTGCATTGCATTTGAATTGAATAGCGCTCATGCTCGTGCCAAATTAGCTTCCGTGGAACTACAACTTTGAGATCCGCAAGACGATCTGGAAGCTCAAGCAAGCCAACAGCAAGCGCGTCGCGCTGCAGTTCCCGGAAGGCCTCCTCCTCTACGCGTGCGTCATCTCGGACATCATCGAGCGCTTTGCCGGCGCGACGTGCATCATCATGGGCGACGTCACGTACGGCGCGTGCTGCGTCGACGACCTCACGGCCAAGGCGCTTGGCGCTGACTTCATGGTGCACTACGGACACAGCTGTCTCGTGCCCATTGACGTGACAACGATCAAGATGCTCTACGTCTTTGTCGATATTTCGATCGACGTGACGCACGTACGTCAGCGCATCTCACGTGCGCGCACTTGTAGCTTACATTCTTATTGGCGTAGCTCATCGAGTGCATGAAGCTCACGTTCGCGCCGTCGACCAAGCTCGCGCTCATGGGCACGATCCAGTTTGCGACCGCGATGCACTTGGCGCTCACTGAGTTGAAGAGTTACTTTTCCGACATTGTCGTGCCGCAAGCCAAGCCGTTGTCGCCTGGCGAGGTCCTTGGATGCACGTCGCCGCTCTTCCCGGACCGCGACGCGCTCGTGTTTGTGGCCGACGGTCGCTTCCACCTCGAGGTACACTACAACATTTGAACGAACCATCTCAATGATTTCTAGTCGGCGATGATTGCCAACCCGTCGGTCAAGGCATACCGGTATGACCCGTACCCCAAGGTGCTCAGCTGCGAAAGCTACGACTTGGGCCAAATGGTCGCGATCCGCAAGTACGATATGACGCTTTTGCACATGAAAATGACAAGAAATGTAGGAGCGCGGTCGAGACGGCCAAGTCGGCGCAGACGTTTGGTGTAATCCTCGGGACGCTGGGGCGCCAGGGCAGCACGGTCATCCTCGACCACCTCACTTCCGTCCTCGACGCGCACGGCAAAAGACACTTTACGCTACTTCTCTCCGAGATCTTTCCCGAGAAGGTACTAGGTCCTTTCTCGAACTTCCGAGTAGCATGCCATGTGTCGTAGTTGGCCATGTTCAAGGAAGTCGACGCGTGGATCCAAGTGGCGTGTCCGCGCCTCTCGATCGATTGGGGCTACGCCTTCAACAAGGTACGATCTTAGCTGGAATACTGGCTCCATGGCTCACGTTGTGCAGCCGCTATTGTCGCCGTACGAAGCCGAAGTATGCTTGAACGAGACGCCGTGGCAAGAGGCGTACCCGATGGACTTTTACGCCAAGGGCAGCGGCAAGTGGACCAATTATTACAAACCCGAGAGCACAAAGTAAGCCCATCCAGCATGGTGTACTACAGGTAGTCAATGGAAGGGAAATACACGCGTCGACGAGCGACGAGATTTGTATGCACGTGGTGTGTGCGACTTGTGCCTACTCGGCGGCTGTGGCTTTGCCCGCTTTCGGCGGCGACCTACCACGCCGTTTGCTTTTAGACACCATGGAAAAATGGAAGGTGATACCCCGGGAAGACGGGCCCGCCAATCTTGTCACCGCCCGCCACAGTGTTTACAGCATCCGGGTGGAAGTGGCACACCTCCCTGCACACAATGCAAGATACAATGAGATGGCCGCTCCAACGTGAGGGGGGTCCTACCCAAAGATGAGCTCCTGAAGGCGTCGCTTCGTGAGCTGCTCCTTCTCAAAGTCAAAGCTAAACGGCTTTGTCGACTAAAGAACCAACGTTAAGCCATGGTATGGAAGAGCCATATCCGACCTTGGGCTCGTCGTCGTTGTTGTGGAGCGACTCCAAATACGGGTGCTCGAGTGCTTCCTCGACAGAGATGCGCTTCGTTGGGTCAAACACGAGCATCTTGTCGAGCAAATCCAACGCCTACAAGGCGAGTTCTCGCATGGTGCAAGCTCAGTATGGCCGTAGCGTACGTTCGCCTTGGCGTTGGGGAAGAGCTTGTCGAGAGGTATTTTTGGCTTGTTGGGCTGGCCCTTCATGAAGCGTCGGGCCTTCTCGCTCGTGACAAAGTGGAGCTCTTCTTCGGACGGCGTGCCCAGCTTGTCGCAAATGATTTGAAGCTGGTGGATGTAGTCGTCGCCAGGGAACATGGGCTTCCGGCCCAGAAGCTCGGCAAAGATGCAGCCGGTGGACCAAATGTCGATCGCCTTGGTGTACTCCTGCAAGGCGCATGCATGAGGACGTCACAACGACACCCTCGATACACACCTTGGTCGAGAGCATGATCTCTGGCGCGCGGTACCATCGTGTCACGACGTACTCGGTGAGCTCCATATTGTCCTCGTCGGGCTCGACGCCTCTGCAAGATTGATTTCAGATGCAGCTTTTAACATGGTACATACCGCGCGAGGCCAAAGTCGCACACCTTGAGATCGCAATTCGAGTTGAGGAGCAGGTTGGATGGCTTCAAGTCGCGGTGCAGCACGTTGGACGAGTGGATGTACTTGAGCGCCCGCAAGATCTACGCTTTCCAGTACGACCCCATTCATCGGCTGCAGCTCCAACCTGGTACAGAAAGTACTGCACATGGTCGTCGCTGAGCGGTTGGCGCGAGTAGATGATGCGATGCAAGTCTGTCTCCATGAGGTCCGAGATGATGTAGACGTCCTCAAAGTGGGCGAGCGACGGCGGCGGCAGCAGGTCGACGATCGTGATGATCTACTCGCCATGAGACTCGATCGTCGTCCAGAGAGATAGCTTGCATTCTCGTGGTCAAAGTGCTGGAGGAGCTTGATCTCGCGCAAGATGCGCTTGGCGTCAATGAGATCTTCAAAGGCCTTGGACACCTTCTTAATCGCGACCTTCTCGTCCGTCTCCGTGTTCTGCGCGGATCTACGCGCCATGGCATGACGCATATCGATCGATCGCGCCCGTACATGACGACGCCGTAGGCACCATGGCCGACGGGCTTGATGAACTTGTACTTGGTGTCGACCTGGAACGTCGTGCCCGAGACGACGAAGCTGTGGGTCCCCGGGCGCATGATGATCTCCTTCCCCCCGCTCTCCTCGACGGCCATTCCCTCGGCGACGGACGACGATGCCATGCTGCTTCCTCCTGCTTGCTTGTACCTGACCGCTCACGACACTGCGGTCGTAACTGCCGACGGATCGCAAACCTCTGGCATCGCATACTGACCGAAGATCCCGGGTTGTATCATTTTATACAGGATTAACAATCACCGTAGATGAGGTTTTATTAGCGACAATCAAATTCTACAGTACTGGCTCGCGACAGGCTCGTGGATATTATTTTAGACACGATCCCACGAGTGCGCACTGACCATCGGTCAATATATATTGTAGAGTCGTTGAGATTTCTCTTTTTCATCGGGTCGTGGCGCAGCAGTGGTGGTCGGAGGCAGGAGGCGCCGTTGACCTTCATGCATGTTCCGAGCGAGGATGCTTGCGAACGTCGTTTGGGCGCCTGCAAGAGACTCGCTGCGACCAGGTGCGCGACATGCCTCTTCAATATATATTCATGTTGCCCGTGGACTGGTCGCACGCAAATGTATCTTGCATTTTGTATGCGAAGGGCTGGGTCGTCCAATATATTGTGTATTGCGCAGGCGAGCTGTGCCCATGGCACACACGTCGCATCGGACGACGACGAGATGGCTTCCTGTCTTTTTTTTCTAGCCTTGCAAGCGTGGGCGCAAGACTATTTACACCCAAACGGCGGGCCTGTTTGCCGCATCGCCGCACAGCTCAACGCGCTTGATTGCGCGGGTGCAAGCATGCAATCAGCATCGATTGCGACACGATCGTGGCGTCGCACTGCCCAGTGGCGTGTTTTATCCGCGTGCTCATGGACTTATAGTAAACGACCTGCGACTGCGTAAACGTGCTGTGCCATGATCTGATTGGCTAAAATGCCAGGTATGTATCACCACCCGTACATTATGTACGACCTATGCAGACTTTCGTGTGGCCATTCCCAATTCTGTCTCCCAGCCCCGCCTCTGGCATCGCTTCCAAGGCGGTAGCTACAGCACGCTGGACACCTCTGCGACCTGCGTCCTCAACGTTCATACAAGGCGCTTTCATAGTCAGACAAGAGGTAGTCGCATGTACGCGCGGAACGTACGTAGAGTGGTCCATCGTGTCTATGCGGCAACGAGACGACATTGGTAATTGCACCTTATATTGAGACGCCATCCGCGGATATTCCGCCGGCCAAAAATCGAGTGGCTTCATTTTTGGATTTCCGCCGAAATGGACCAAGTCTCGTGGGGCGCCGAGTGGTGGGCGGCGAACGGCCGCCCGATCGTCGAGGCCTACGCGTCGCATGACGTACGCACGGTGCTGGCCGCCATTGGTCGCGCGCCGTCGACTTACCTCCAGTACATCAAGGCGGTGTACGAGCGCAGCCCCGAGCACGTCATCATCGAGACCTTCCTCATCGTCTTCATCTTGTACATCTTGTTCGTCAAGAAGAGCAAGCTGCCCAAGCAGGCAGCCGACCGCTTGACGCCGGCTGAGATTCAGTCGCTCGTCGACGAGTGGCAGCCCGAGCCGATCGTCGCGCCCATCTCGGAAGCGGCCATCGCCGCCGCGTCCTACAACCTCGGCATTGTCGAAGACACGCCGAACACGCACATGAAGCTGCGTGGCATTGCCTCGCCGGTTCTCAACCTCGGTACGATGGACTTTTTGGGCATGGCGAGCCGCGACGAGATCAAGACGACCGCGCGCAACGCGCTGACCAAGTACGGCTGCGGCTCGTGCGGCCCGCGTGGCTTTTACGGCACCATCGACACGCACGAGATCTTGGAGAAGGACATTGCGCACTTCATTGGCACGACCGACTCGATCACGTTCTCGGACATTGAAGCCACCGCGTCGTCCGTGCTGCCGGCGTTTGCCAAGCGCGGTGATCTCATTGTCGTCGACGACGGCGTCAACGACTCGATCCGCACGGGCGTCAACCTCGCCCGCTGCACGACGCTGTACTTCAAGCACAACGACATGGCCGACCTCGAGCGCGTGCTCAAGAGCGTCCGCGACGCCGACAAGAAGGCGGGTCGTCGCTCCGACTGCCAGCGCCGCTACATTGTCACCGAAGGTCTCTTCCGCAACTATGGCGACATCCTGCCGCTACCCAAGGTTGTGGCGTTGGCGCGCGCATACTTTTTCCGCCTCTTTGTCGACGAATCTTTCTCGTTTGGCGTTCTTGGCGCGACCGGGAAGGGCGTCACCGAGCACTTCAACCTCCCGATTGACTCGATTGACATCATCTGCGGCTCGCTCTGCACGTCGCTGGCCGGCGTCGGCGGCTTCAGCACGGGCTCGCAGCACGTTGTCGACTACCAGCGCATCAACAGCGCGGGCTACGTCTTCTCGGCCTCGGCCCCGCCGTACACCTCAGCCGTCTGTTCGGAAGCCATCCGCCTCCTCAAGAACGAACCGTCGCTTGTGGCGCAGCTCAAGACGAACGCGCAGGCGGCCCACGCCGCGCTCCGTGCATCCTCGGCGCTGACGTTGCTCAGCGATCCCGAGTCGCCCGTGCTCCACGTCACGACCGCCAACGCGCCGTTGACCAAAGAGGATGCGGCCGGAATCGTCAAGGCGTGCTTGGCCAAGGGTGTCGCGGTTGTCGCTGGCGACCACAAGCCGACGCCGCTCAAGACCGCTGCGTTCGCGACCATCCGCTTGACGGTCAACGCGCAGCACTCGGCCGAGCACATTGCGACCGCTTGCCGCGTCGTTGCGGATGTGATGACGGCGTACACGCCCGCGGCGTCGACCGCGACGACGGACGATGGCCTGCGTAGACGTAAATAAATTAGCTCATTGCCCTTTCCGTGTCTTTGATATCGCAGACGACACGGGATAACGGCAACGACCCGGAATAAGAACTTAGCGCGTGTTGCAGCGTGCACCAAAGCGAAGATTACCTCACGCTGGAGGGCGGACACACTCAACCGCGGATCTCCCGACGACGACACGGAAACAGTGCTCCATAGTCGCTCGATCCAAGAGCTTCGTAGATAGTCGACGCCGTCTTTGTAATGACGCACTGAGCCCAGTGGTGTGTAACCTGCAGAGATGCATCTCGTCCGAGCGACTTTATAAGGTTGTCATCGACGCGTGCGGTACAGGCAATCTCGTATATTTCTTAGGCATCTCTTATTCTCTCTTTTTGAGCACGACAAATCGATCCAGGTAGAGCAGCAGAGGTGTCGCCCACTGGCCTCAGCGCTGGCCTTTCGTCGCCGGTTTCGCCACGGTCGAATGGCACTGCGTTCCGCGCGCGTTCCATCTCTGCACGTGCCGAGTCGCATCTCGCTGCCTCATTCTGCAATGCCAGCCCCGTCGGCCACGTCCGGCGGACCACGCGCCGCCCTCGGCGTCGTTGTTTTCGCCGCGCTCCTTCTGCTCGAGCGCAATCTCCACGTGCCACTGCCATCGACGCCAGCAGCAGTACTGTCTCCGTTCACGATGACCGTCACGTCGCCGGATGCCCGCTGCCCCGTGCTGCAGGTGGACACGGTCACCGAGTGGCACGCTGGACACCGCGTGCACCTCTCGGCGTCCTCGCCGCTCCGTTCTGTGACGCTGGTCGTCGACAACTGGCGGCGCGTCTCGTCGTCGTGGAACGCCGACGCGACGATGCGCTCTCCGACAACGGTCGACGTGGTTGTGCAGAACTCGACCAAGCGCGAGTTTGCCCTTGTGACCGAAAAGGCAATGTGGGAAAGGCCATCGGCGATCCTCTCGGCGAACGTGACGACCGCCGACGGGACGCACTGCGTGTATACCCTGCCGCGCCACGTCAGCGTCGGGATCTACCGCCGCCTCGGCGAACCGAATACCTCGTATGCACCGTGTTCACGCATGGCGAGCAAGCCGATCGCACTCGGTTTTGGCCACACTTGTGCGATCAACGGCGCTAATAGAATCACGTGCTGGGGCCTCAACAGCTATGGCCAAGCGACGCCACCAACCAACTCGTTCATCCAAGTCGCAGCGTACGACTACCACACGTGTGCGCTCTCCGAGTTTGGCTACCCTACGTGCTGGGGCGCCGCGTACACGCAGTACATCAACTACTCGTACGTGTCCGCGGTGCTGCCGGCGACGACACCGATGGCGACGATCTCGGCTGGTGGTCTCCACGGGTGTGCGACGACCCTGAACGGCACGGTGCTTTGCTGGGGCGCCAACGACCTCGGGCAGGCGTCGCCGCCCGCCGGTCGCTTCCAACACGCGTCGGCCGGCTTCCGACACACGTGCGGCATCACGTATCCGGACGGGAAGCTCGTGTGCTGGGGCAGCAACGACTTTGGCGAAGCGACGACGCCGGCCGGGAACGACCAATATGTGCAAGTCATGTGCGGCAACCAGTACACGTGCGCCTTGACGAGCGCCAACGTCGCCAAGTGCTGGGGCCTCGACAACCCCAACCTCAAGTTTACGCAGGTAATACCACCCATCTTATAGGGATGACGCCATATTCTCATGGCCTTGGCTTGTACTCCTAGGTGCCCGACGGGCTGTTGTTTTCGTTTGTCGGCGTCTCCAAAACGGGCAGCTTTAGCTGTGGCCTCTTGCTCAACGGATCGGCCACGTGCTGGGGCGACCCGATTGCGTACAAAGGCCTCTACAACTTTGCAGAGTCGACGCCGGCGTACCCAACGTTCACGTCGCTCGCGCTCGGGCAGCGCAATGTCTGCGGCACGACAGCGCAAGGTGCGATCTTCTGCTACGGCGCGGGCGCGGCCAATGTGCCGCCATCGTTCGTCGCCAAGCAAAGCGGGTACTGCTACCGCCCGCTCACCTACGGCGCGGGCCCGTCCTGGCTGACGGACGGCTCGAACAACAATTCGTGGCTCAACACGAGCTACGTCGGCAGCAATGTCGATAGCTCCAGCGGCAGTGGCGACAGCAACGAGACGCCTCGCCCCGCACCACTTGTCCTCAACATCTCGTCGTATGCGTACAAGAAGCTCGATGCGTCGGGCAGTCAGTACGGGTGCGGGATTGACGAGACGGGCCAAGGTCACTGCTGGGGCGCGACCGTACTCAGTGGCAGCGCGCGCATGGTCGTCGGCGCAGTCGAGATTGCCGTCTCGATGGCGCAGCAAATCTTCTGTGCGCTTACGCTATCGCGCAAAGTGACATGCTACGCGACGTTGATTGACGGCGGCGGGCAGTTTACCGGCAACGCGTTCGTCTCACCACGCGACGACTTTGTCGTCGTCTCGACCAAAGGCATTCACATCTGCGGGCTCAAGGGCAACGGCCACATCAAGTGCTGGGGCTTCAACCACGACGGGCAGCTCGTCGTGCCGGACCTCGAGTACCTCTACGTCTCGGCCGGCGGCTACCACACGTGTGCGATCACGTCCAAGTACGAAGTGGCGTGCTGGGGCCGCGACAACTTTGGCCAAACCAGCGGCATGCCGCTCAGCACAAAATACCGATACGTCTCGAGCGGCTACGAACATACCTGCGCTATTCGCATCGACGACTCGGTTGACTGCTGGGGCGACAACAGCCGTGGCGAGACCAACGCGCCCGCCGGCATCCTCTTTCTTCAGATTGACGCCGGCTGGCAGCACACGTGCGGTGTCACAAAGGCGTGGACGCTGCGTTGCTGGGGCAACAACGACTTTGGCCAAGCGACGCCGCCGCCCGGGCTCTACTACCACGTCTCGGCGGGTCGCACGCACTCGTGTGCGACCAGTACATCGGGCGTCATGACGTGTTGGGGCGACAAGGCCGCCAAGCTGACGATCCCCGCGCTCGTGCAGCCCTTTAGCAATGTCGCGACCGCCGAGTATGTGCGTCAACTCCAAGCCAACAACTCGCTCACGCGCATGACGTGCTCGACGCTTGGGTGGGGCATTGCGCTGAGCACGAATCTCTGTGCGTCCACCTCGGTCTTTCGCGGCTGCCCGAACGTGTCGTCGTACTCGGCGGCGCTCGCCCGCTGCCAAGGTACCTACCTATCTTTTTGTGCACATTCCCTGTACTGTATACTACCATGGACATGGACGTAGTGATTGGCGGGCGGCTGCCGACGGCGGCCGAGGTCCAAGCCGGCGTTCTCGCTGTCGACGTGTGCCAGTCGGTCAACAACCCGGTGTGGACGACGACGGCGTGTATCCTCGGCACGTCCGTGCAAGGGCGCATCACAGTCATCGCGTCGCCGCCGTCGAGCAACCCACTTATTCCCGCGCCTCCGACGCTCACGTGCACGCCAACGTCGACGCCGTCCCTGCCCGTGTGCATCTCGGAGCGAGGTACCGTCTCTCGTACACGTGTTGACGAGTGACATTCTCAGCAAAGTATCCGGTAGAGTTTACCGCCTGCAGCCTCGGCAGCCGCTGCTCGCAGGAGTGCGTGGCGCTCGCCAAGTCGCAGTACGCGTGCACGTGCGACGACGGCTTTAGCCTCACGGGCGACGGCGCGACGTGCGCACCCGTGAACGCGCCGCGGTCTGCCAAGACGTGCAAGCAGCTCGGGTGGACGAGACAGTACAAACAGACCTGTGCTCCGTCGACAGCGTGCTTGGCAGCAACGACCTACATGGACGCGGCGCAGGCGTGTGCGGCGATCGGTGCCCGGCTCCCGAGACGCGCCGAGGTCGTCGGCATCGCAGCGTTCCCGACGCAGTGCGGCACGTCGGCGTTCTGGACGTCGACCAAGTGCGCGGCCGGCATCGCGCCAGGCGTGATCACCACCAACACCGCGACCGAGACCTGCACGAATGCGACCGCGACCGCCCGCGTTGTCTGCGTCGCCGACCCCGGTACCCACCCATGATTGATACATTTATACGTTGACAATCCGTGCCATTAGATATCAACGAGTGCGCGCTGGGCCTTGCGTCGTGCACGTCCCAGTGCTGGAACGTCGAGGGGTCGTATACGTGTACGTGTCCGAGCAACCAGACGCTTCTCAACACGGGAACGGGTGCCAACGTCTGCGTGGAAGCGCCGACGCCGATGCCCGTATCGACAAGCAATTGCGGCGCGCTCGGGTGGACACCGCTGACGGGCAATACCATTTGCACGAGCAGCCAAAGCAAGCCAAAGGTCAACCAGCGCCGCCTCAAGGCCGAGGACACGTGTCCGGAGGCCATGGCGTACGACGACGCCGCGAGCTTTTGCGCGACGCAGGGCGGTCGTCTGCCGACGCTCGACGAGATTGCGATGAACCTCCACCTGCTCACGCGCGATAGCGTCTGCGGCATCAACCAGCCGAGCCAGCTCATCTGGAGCACGTCGCCGTGCACGCGCGACCAGACGCCAACGATCGGTGTCGCCGCCACCAACGCCCAGCTGCTCTCGACGGCCGCCATGGACACGATTTGCCTGCCGATGGCCAATGCCACCGCGTACCCCGTGTGCGTCGCCGACATGATTGTCGGTGCGTCTCATTTTCTTTCTCATTTGAACCATGTCTTGACACAATCCTCTAGTGGGCTCGTGCGCGTCCAGTCCCCATCTCTGCTCGTGGGGCTGTGCCGACGTCAACGCTGGCTACCGCTGCCTCTGCGACCTCGGGCACGTGCTCGGTAATGACAGCGCCACGTGCATCAACGGGTCGCAACCGACCTCGACGCTGACCGCCGACGGGTTCCCCAACCCGTGGGCGCCGGCGGGCACCACGGCTCTCGCCGCGCGGTCGTATGGCTTGACGAGCACGAGTTCGAGCAACACCAATGACTGCGCTGGCGTCGTCTCGTATGCGACCGCCACGGCGCTTTGTCAGCGGGCCGGTGCACGCCTCCCGACCTCCAATGAGCTCGCAGCCGACGTTGCGCTCGGCTCGGGATGTCAGCTGGACTACGCGATGGTTTGGAGCGCGACACCGTGCTTTCTATCGAATGGCACCTCTGGTGTGGTTGCGACGGCTGGTTCCAAGCTCGGGCTTCAAACCAACCCGGCGTCGTGCGTTGACCCCGCAACGATGCTGGCCAACGTCCGCTGCGTCAAGGACCCGAGTCGCAACCAGTGTGCAATGTCGCCGTGCAGCCAGCTCTGCTTCAACCAAAACTACGGCTACGCGTGTGCTTGCAACCCCGGGTTCTCACTCGCACCGGACGGCGTCAGTTGTAATCCGACGTCGGTGCCTTTATCATCGAAGAGCTGCCGCGACTTGGGCTGGACACAGTTTGGCGTTGCCAGTGGCACGTGCACGCGGGCGATCTCCAGCTGCTCGACGCCAACGCTGCAAACGGTCGACGATGCCGGCGCGACGTGCAGTGGCCAAGGCGCCCGCCTTCCGACGCTGCCAGAAGTTCAAATGGGCCTTTTGTTCGCATCAAGCTGTGCCTCGCAGCGCATCTGGACATCGACAGCCTGCGCCCTCTTCCCGCCGGCCTCCCAAAGCCCCGTCATCGCACCCACGATGCTGCTCGGGTTTCTTACGCTCACGTCAGCGACACCGGGCGTCGTCGTTTGCGCGGCCGCCACCGACAAGCTGCCTACGCAGTGCATTGCGGACGCGCGCGACAACTTGTGTGCCGCAACCAACGGCACAAGTCTCTGTCCGAGTGACCAGCAGTGCGTCATTGGCGACAAGAATGGCAGCGCGTCCTGCGCCTGTGCCACCGGCACCAACATGGACAGCACCGGCGCGTGCGTCCCGTTCACTCCGCTCTCGACGTCGACGTGCAAAAACCTCTGCTGGCAGACCCCATCCGCTTCGCCCATCTGCTCGGCGCGCCGCATCGGTGCGCCCATGTTTTCAATTCCAGATACCAGCCTCTCGGCCTGCGCGCTCACGTGGCTGCGGCAGTGCGCACCGCCCGTCACGGCGGCCTTGGCGCCCAGTGCATGCGCGCAGCTCGGGTCTCGTCTCCCGACACTCACCGAAGTCCGCGCCGGGCTTCCGCCGCCCGTGAGCTCCTGCAGCGGCTTCTCGTACGAGCGCGTCTGGACGTCCACCGCGTGCATGGACCGCGCGACGATGACGCCGGGTGTGGTTGCGAGCGGCGTCGGCGCGTGGCCCACGTCGTCGCATCGCGAGGTCTGCGTCACGAGCAACGACACGGTGGGCCCGATCCAGTGCGTGGCGGATGTCTATGCGAACGCGTGCACGAGCGGCATGCACGCGTGCCACCAGCTCTGTCTTCCGAGCGGCGCGTCGTATGCGTGCGCGTGCCACGACCAGCACCAGCTCGGGCCGGACGGCGCGTCGTGCTCACCGATGCTGCCGCCATTGAGTCTCGTCACGTGCGCTGCGCTGGGCTGGACCAACGTGCAGCAGAAAAGCTTGTGTGCGAACGCACGCGTCAACGTCACGTACCTCAACGAGCAAGGACAGGCGGTGCGCCCGACGCAGCCGTTTACGAGGACGCAAATGGTGTGTCCCACGACGCTCGTGAGCTACAACGAAGCCTTCTCGTACTGTGCGAGGCTGCAAGCACGCTTGCCGACCCTCGATGAAGTGCTGTCAGACAAGACGATCGGCGCCGGCTGCGGCTCGGACACGACGCGGGTGTGGACCAGCACGCCGTGCAGTGTTCTCGGTGGCGACCGCAGTACGCCGACGTACATATCCCTCGCGGGCGCGTCGCGCTACTTGCTCCTCTACCCGCGGCAGTGCACGCAAACGACGCAGCTCGCGGCGGTCAAGTGCGTCGCCAATGTCAACGTCAAGTGAGTTTGTGGAATGCCACTTTTGAAAATGGACAAGTTGTCTTTTGTCGGTCCTGCAGTACAAGAGCATCGATACAGCGTCGCGCGAGGTACTAGCTTGCGTCATGGCATCGCTCGAGCTGTAAGGGTGCGTTGGAGGATATCGCTCCGATGCGTTGAAGGAATCGACGTCGATGGCCTGCAAGACAGAGTTGCTCTAGGTTGTGTCAGCGTTTGGATTCGGGCGCCTTGAGAGAGCAGTGTGGCGGTCGTTTTGGCGTCGGGTGAGAAAGTGGCAGCCTCCCGACGCATGAGTTTGTGGCCGATGCAGGTACATACCCTTTGGTATATTTGGTACTACTAGTAGTATATTTGGTAGGGACACCGTCCACGAGCGGTGGCTTTGGACTGCCCTTGGGCCTCTGGGAAGAAGTTCAAGCCCCACATGCCATGGTAGCGTACTACAGCTCTACCGATTCACGCAATTTTCAGCGCAGCTTGAGAGAGCCGCCGTGCGTGAACTATTGATGTCTACCGCATCAAAGCACTTGAATATCAACGTGTTCCGCGTTCTCTTCCTTACAAAGAGTTCGCATACGTAGTGAGTGCTACGCCTGAATGCACTTGCTTGTCCAATTTCTGGTGATGCGGCCAAGGACACCAGACATCTGCCTTCTTCCAAGCAAGGACACGCCACGGGATCATGTACGCGACCACTGTGCACTGAGCCACTGGCATCTCTGCGTTGAGGGAGACAAGGAAAAGTATCAGTGTATCAACAACTCAGCACTTTTTACAGCCACGTGGCCGCGTCGTTGTTGACTTGGGCGACGAGGTCGGGTGTGCATGCCGCGGGCGTCGCAAACGCGATCGTGTACACGCACGTCGAGAGTTCGTCCACCGACAAAATCTGGTCCTTGGAGCCACATTCGAGCACGAGTTGCACCGAACTAGAATCGCAGCGTGTCAGATGGCATCAGACAGAGAAGGTAAACCCACCGATGGGGACCGTTCCAGCACTTGTCACCGTCCTCAAACGACATGATGGGTGGCGCCATCGAGCTCCATCGCTTCCATCTCCCGAGACGCACGCTGTCTTGAGTGGCTTCATCAAATGGACAGATTTTGTAGTTGTATTTCTAGACCACAATCTAGTAAGAACCAGAAATGAATCGAGTCGCGCACCTCGAATTGGGCCACAGCACACACGCCCTTGAGAATCTGGTAGCCCGCATCTGGCCCCGACTCGTCGGTAAAGACCCGTTCCAGTCGGTCGATTTCCTATTCGCATTGTCATTCCTTCGAATCTCATTGCAACTCGAACGCACTTGGTCAATCGCTCGCATGTCGCTCTCGAGATCGGTCAGGATCGAGCGCAAGCTCTCGGCTTCTGGGAGCACCACACTGCGGTCCAGGGTCGGACTAGAGACAATAATGTCCATCTGAACTCGGAAGACAACATGGCGTAATACGTACACGAAGGTTTCCCAAACCACATCGACGGGGGCGTTCCAGATTGTGCTCAGTACATACGACGTATAGTAGCGCCACCAAAAGAGCCGTCCTTGCGAGAGTCGGCGCAGAAACAGCGACTTGTGGTAGCGCCAGTCCAGATCCAGTAAATGAACAAAGCCATGCCACTAGCCAGATTCTCGCACCAGACCAAAACGATGCAAAAGGTCGTACCGGGTCGAGGAGAATGTGGGGCGTCACGACGTTCACAAGGCGGAACCACGTCGACGTCGCCAGCGCCAGCACTTCGTAGACGCCACGCACCGGCGACAGCAGCAACCCGATGCCCTGGAGGCCGTACGTGACGAAGCGCGCGCGGTCATCAGCGTTGCCGTTGAAGAGCGGCCCAAGAAAGTCTTCTCTCTGACGCTGGTGCACCGAGCGCATGGGAATCCTACAACGCGTACAACAGGTCATGGATGGTGGCGAGGTCGCTCGCTGCAGGACGCACCGCTTGGCTTGGTCGAGGACGTCGTGCATGTAGGCGGAGAGCGTCATCTACTTACGTCGTCGAGACGATTGGAACTCAAGATGGAGGCCTACCTGCCGCCCGTCGAGCCGCTGGACGAGGAGCGAGAGCTTGGACTTGGCATTTGCGTGCTTGAGCTCGACGGTCGTGTCGGCGGCTTCGGCCGCGCTGTCGGCGACCGGCGCCTCGTCCTCGATGGTGCCGTCGTCGTCGTCGTCGCCGCTGATCGCAGTGCTATCGACAGCGCACTGACCGGCCTTTTGCTTGGCCGACTCGATGCGCATCGCGTACTCGGTGCGCTCTTCGCGGTCCTTGAAGACGGTGACCTTGAGGCGGAGCTGTCGGAGCTCCTCCTTGAGCGCCTTCTTGGCGACGATCTCGTGCTCCTTTGCAATGGCCGCTTGCGCTAGTACGTCGAGGCGCGCTTTACGCTCGGCAAAGCCGCGGAGGACCACGTCACGGCGCGCTTGCACCGCTGCCCGCTTGGCGTCAATCTCAGCGTCGCACGCGTCGACACAGACGCCGGCAGCCTCGTCCGAGCCGTCGCAGCAGTCGCACACACCGTCGCCGACCTGGCTTGTGTGGATGCGCATCGGAAGCAGGCCGCGGTTGCGGCATTCGTGCGCGGCCGAGAGCACATGCGAGCACGCGGCCGTGTGCGGCTCGTCGCGGCCGTCCGCGCAGTCGCAAAAGTCGTCGTTCATGAGCTCGGGCGCCAGCGGCAGCAGCGCACCACTCACAGCGCTAACGCACGCGTCCTGCGCCGCCATCGCCATCGCCGCCAAGGCCAGCACCGAGAGGACCCGCGTCGACACCATCGCAGTCCGTCAAACTCTGTGCCATCACTGCAGAAAGTACGGGCACACCCGATTAAGTGCGATCTGGCCCATGCCGCTGACCAAGATGGTTGCTGACAAGATGGCGGTAGAGCCGACCAAGCAGATGCCAAAGATGCCAAAGATGCCATGGCTATCCCGTGTCCAAGGACCTTTAGTGGTTGCGCCGCTGGTGCAGCGCTTGCGTGGTCCGTGGTCTGGCCCGGTGGCATGACCAGGTGGCGTGGCAGCCCCTGCGCGTGCCACGTATGCAACGACGACACGGCATCATGAATTCCTTTGCTGTCGCAACAACATACTTAGTACCGGTAGCTCACGGAACGACTATACTTATACTACTCCAAGTTTCAAGAAAATAGAAACGTGTTTCAAGATATATAGTTGTTGCCATGTACTCGACGCGGACAGACAAAGAACTTATTCAAGCAAGTGCTCAATGACGCGCTCGAGGTTGCCCTCGTACTCGTCCAAGAGGCGGCGGCTCGTCTCCTCGTCCGCAAAGCCCATAAGCGACAGGTCGTCCAGCTGCGCCGCATACACATAGTCGGGTTGCGCTTCGGCCACATACTCGTAGCTGTCGGCCATGTCGTCCACCACCTCCGTTGCCGACGCTTCCATCGCAATCGCATCCGAGGCTTCCATCTTCTCCGAGGTCTCCATCTTCTCCGAGGTCTCCATCGTGTCCGAGGTTGACGTCATCTCCATGGTCGATGCCTCGGCAGTATCGTGCACGACCAGCGTCGCCATCGGCAGCGTGGCCACGTCGTCCTTCAGCATCGCGTCGACAACCGACGTCTTGGTCTTGAGCACGTCGTCGTACGACACGGCGGCCTCGCCCAGGGGCACCATCTCGACCGTCGCGGCGACGGGCGGCGGCGCCACCACCGAAATGTCGACCCAAAAGCGGTGGCCAAAGCGCGAGCCCGACGGCATGCACACGCGAAAGTAGCACACATAACGCCCGGGCTCTTGCGGCGCCGTCAAGTCCATCGACAACACAAACTGGTCGCCGGGGCCGAGCGGCGGCACGCTACACGCCACGTCGTCGACCACCATGCCCACGCCGCCCACCGTGTGCACGAGGCAGCCGGCCGGCCACGCGTGGTCGCCATTGTTCTCGAGGCACCACTGCTTCACGAGCGGCTGGCCGGCGACCACGACACTGCCGTCCGGCAACGTCACGTCTTCCACAAAGCGGCAGCGGAGGTACGGCGACCGCGCCTTCTCGGGGCTCGGCGCATGGCGGTGACCCCGGGGCACGAACGGCGCCGGCGGGCCAAAGTTGAACGGCGCAAACGGGTGGTTATGGGGCTTGGGGCCACGGCGCCCGCGACGCGGCGGGTAAAAGTCCTGCTCGACACGCGTGGCAAACGCCTCGGGCGCCTGGACGTCGGCGTCGTTGCGCTGCGCAGCCTCGGTCGCCACGTAGAGTGCATACGGCGTCTGTTCGACGCTGGTAATCTTGAGGAACGGGCCGTGGGATGCGTTGTATGCCCCCGTGGCTTCGCAGCTGTCGCACAAGTCAAAGTGCTTGACGACCGCCGACTTGAAGCGGGCACCGACGATCGGGTGCTTCGAGCAGCCGTCGCACACAATGTTGGTGTGCACGGCCGCTAGGGGCGCTGGCGTGGCCTTCTTGAGCGCCTGCGCCTTCTCCGGCGCCGCAATCTTGAGAAACGGCTCGTGCGTCGCCGCCCAGTTGCCCGACGCTTCGCAGATCGCGCACAAGTCAAAGTCGTCCACGATCGCAGACTTGTATCGAACGCCCTCGACCGGCGTCGCGCCGCAGCCGTCGCACTCAATGTTGTAGTGGATCGGGAGCTCGGCTTCGATCGGCCGGAATGGCGCGTACGCGCGATAGCGTGGCACGACGACGCATGCGCTGCAAAAGTCCATGTTGCGGTCCGTGAGCGACTGGTGGCGGACGCCCACGAGCGGGTACATGCCGCAACCGTCGCAGATGCGGTGGCTGTGGATCGTCGTCGAGGCGGGCGATGGCTTTTCTTCCTCGACCGCCTCGTCGATCAACTTGGTGGGCACGACCTCGGCAGGCACGGCAACGGGCACCTTGGCAAAGTGGGCCACGAGCGCCGGCAGTGCCGTCGCCAAGAGCTTGGCCGTTTGCGGGCTCTCGTGGAAGACCTGGCTGACCATCGCGCCAAGATCATCGGCCTGCGTCAAGAGCTCTTCCGCAGCCTGCAGGTCCTGCGCGCAAATCGCGTGGACGAGCGCGACCGCGTACGTGTAGTTCGGCCCCGAGCTGTTGGCCGCCATGCGGCTCCAGCAATCCACAAAGCCCGCGTCAAGCAAAATGTTGAAAAAGCCAACCTTGAGCGCGACCGTAACGTCCTCGTCAGTGGCAATCGTCCATTCATGCATGAGCTCCAGGAGGACAAACACCGCATCTTCGACCGTCGCCTTCTTCTCGCCCTTGGTCACCGCGACCGGCGGCTCGTACTCGGCCTTGGTGCCCTTGACGTCCACGCGCAGCGTCGTCACGCGGGCCTCGCGGATGTAGGCAAACGCTTCGTCGAGATCGGCTTGGTTGGCGATGGTCACCACGTCGCCGTCGCCGTCGACGTAGCTCATGCTGCATGTAGCGAGGCCAAACTCACTGCACACATGCGCCTTGAAGAGGATGAACTCGCGGAGGAAGGCCATGTCGGCCGGGATCGCGACCGCGTCGCCGTCGTACGCTACTTCCATGTTGCTGCTAGCTGCTGCGTCTTGTCGGGCAAATCTGCAACTGCTGCTCCCAGCCCATTCCCAGAAAGAACGATCTTCTTTTTCGCAGGTTTTATTCTACATACAAAACACAAGGCATACAGGATTAAAATACGCAGAAATCGAAACCGTGCCCGAGAATGGTGGTCCTTTTAAATCGAGAAGCCGCGTCGTTACGGTCGTTTTCGTTTGCCGGCAAGATGCAACGCCGTCAATCGAAGACGGTTGTAAAGGAATTGGGCTTTGCGTAGCGTCGTATATATTGCAAGCGTCGTGATACCATGACCGATAATCACACTTTGTTTCACGCGTATGGTACCGTAACCCCCATGCTGGCACCGCCAAACACGCTTGATGCCGCTTCTTACCGACAGGAGGGGTATACAATAAAGACGTTGTCGGTTAGAATACACGCAAGACGGTAAACGACAAGCCGAAGATAACAAGACAGGCCACCATGACGTGGCAGTACGAGTGACCACGGTGGCAACCGACAGTGCAGAGACAGCAGATCCACTTGCAAAGGGTACTTACTCATAGTTCAGTTGAACGAAACTATTGGAGCTTGTGCCTGCATACAGTACCTGCTACCATACTAGCGACCGTCGCAACTCTCGTAGAGGATAATAGCTCGCGTTCTCCATGGGCACCGAGCTCTTGTGCAGCATCTTGGCAAGGACAACCCATGTCGACCGGCGTAGTCTACGACCAACGAATATGCATCAACTGGGACTTGTGAAGTAAGATTCTAGCATATTGATTCCTACGAAGGGCTATATACCCATTTTATGCCAGTGATTCTATGCTAACGTTACCTGTATTGCTGCACCGATCGTCGGTGGGCAGCTCGGGCTCCTACGGTATCAAAGCCTGATCAATATCCGGATACAGAGCCGGATAATGTGGACTCCGCGTCTTATCCGGATTTTATCCGGCATTTCCCGATCTTGGCATCTCATAGTCGATTTCGCCGCGTCGATGGCAACACCTGTGGCGGCGCAGCAAGGTCCGCCTCCGACGGCGCCGAGCTTCGTCGACGTCTTCCACGCTCGCGAGGCCAACTTGAAAGGGCTCGTCCAGCACAAGAACACGGAGGCTGAAGCACTGCGGCGCCAGCTCATCGAGTCGAACAAGGAGGTCGAGCGCTGGAAGGTGCATCTTGGCTCGTCTGGCGACGAGGTACTGGACGACGCTTACGTAGATCCAGGCTCTCGCTCAAGAGCGCGCGATCGCGGAAGCTCGGAGTGCTCGCCGTGATGCAGACGCGGTACACGCACCATCGACTGCAACATCGGACGACGAGGATGATGATGGGACGATAGGTCATGGGCGAGCTCCACGACGACAACGGATTTGATGCGCACTCGCCGGGGCCACACGACCTTGATGATCGCTTCGATGACGTAGCTGACGAAGCGCACCGCTACGACCACTTTGAGGCTGAGATGGAGCGTGAGGACGAGCAAGCTGCACCTGCGCCCGATGCGTTTACGAGCACTCGCCACGACGACAACCAAGACGGACAAGCACACGAGGCGCCCATGGAAAGCGGCGACGATGTGTCTGGCGTCAACAGCGGCTTTGAGTTCGGCGCTCCCGAACCTCGTCAGGTACCCGTACTGCAACATATTCTTTCTGTCGGTGCAACTCCTCATGGACGCGTCTAGTTGCAGGTAGAAGGTCCGCGTGTGGCTCTTGCGAGCAACAACAACCCGGGCGACATCATTCCCGTCCGACGCGTACTGTATCGGCACGAGATGCGCAACACGCAGGCGTCGCCACCCCGCTTCCCGTTGTCCCAGCCCACCGCTCGTGCGCCACAGCGTGAGGCTCCTCCTGCCAAAGGGCAGCCGCGTGCACAGCGACCCCGCACGGATTTGATTGGCATCCCGGACCCCGACTTTGCTCGCCTCAGCGAGGAGCAGCGCCGAGCCGCACGAGCCTTTAGCCACTTCACGCGCGATCCGACCAGCGGCGTCACGCTTCTTTCGACGAACGTCGCGGCGACGCTCTTGGCACCGATCCGTCTCCGCAGCCAAGGACCGGTCGTCCATGCGCTGCCGCTGCCGCCGCTGCGCAGAACCAAGGTGCCAGTTGCGCCAACGCGCCGCGTTCTGAGCGAAGACGAGAAAACAAGCGCCGCTTGAATCGGCTGCAGTTCTACCGCGTACGTTCCATATCGTCGTGGGTGACGACACGACTCGGATGACGTACTAGAACAAAGAAATGGTCGATGCATTTGAAGCCTACAAGCGCGAGGAGCTCATGACAGCGCGTCGGACGTCGCCGCAGGTAGACAACCAATCTTTGCCTGGTGTGCACGCGTTTGCTGGCAACGTAGCACTATGCGGCGATGCGCGAGAAGTTTGCAGAGCACTTTCCGGCCGTGACCGACTTTATGTGGCAGTTCTTTGCGACGCAGACGTGGCCCGAGCACACGGCGCTGCAACTCGGGTACGATCTCCGGCGCGAGACTTGGTACCAACTGCGGCGTAGGTGCTCGATTTGCACGGAAATTACATCGCTGGTGAGAGCGTCGTGACGCTGCCGTGTGCGCACCTCTTCCACAACGACTGCGCCAAGCCTTGGTTTGCCAGAAAGGACAAGTGCCCGCAGTGCAAGACGCTCATCGTGCCAACTTGCGATACCCTCGGCAAGCGCCCATGAGTCGCACGCGTCGAATCGCCGGCCACAACTTTGTACGAGTCTAGGCCAACGATAAAGTGGATCAATCCTCGCACATTTTGCCTATTGGCACCCCCACTTTGTTCTTATAGCTGCTTTGCCGCAGCTCCAAGCTTGGAGCTCGGAGCTCGGTGGTTGCGTCCACAGCAGTGCGGGTGTCTTCACCACGATCTCGACAGGTGGATCGTTGTAACCGGTGCTGCCAGAGGTTGCTCGCGTTGATAGCGCTTACCGGTATGGGCCCCATTGCAGGGCTCAGCCTCTGACCTTGCGCCACGACAATGTTATCCGGCACCATCCGGATGGCACCATCTTTATTCGGATGTTGATCTGGTCGATCTTATCATTGTCGGATACGCAGCGCCGAGGGCAAGACCGATGGAGGCCGAGGACGACGGGCCGCCGATGGCAATGCTCCAGACCGATGTCTTCCGCGCCCTTCAAGCCAACCTCATGGCGCTCGTCCGGCAGTCCAAGGCGGAGGCCGAAGCCTTGCGGCGCCAGCTCATCGAGTCCAACGAGGAAGTCGAGCGCTTGAAGGTGCATGGCTTGTCCATGGACCAGGTGCATGACGAGCCATCCATAGGAGCGAGCTCAGCGGTCTGCGGCTTTGCGCGATGGACATGGAAGCGGCGACGAGGACGAGGTGTGATGCGACGTTGTTTGCAGAATCGGACGAGGATGATGGATCGACGACAGGCCATGGTCGAGTCCGACGACGACGACTACCACAACGAGCGTTTCCGAACTCGCTACCACGACCCTTATGAGTTTGATGAGGAAGCGCATGAGCAACGACTCCGCGACATGCTCGAAGCCCAACAGAACCCGCCAGACGAAGCGTTTGCAAGCGATGATGACGACCACAACGGAGAGACGCAGGGCCAAGGTAACGAGCCGACAGCAAACGTCAGCGACGTGGGCAGCGACAACGACGCGGGCAGCGACAACGAGATCGGTGCTGCACGATACCGCCGGGTAACTCATGACCTTTCTATCGCGCCAATTCTCACGCATGCATAACAGCGCCAGGGCGACAGCCAAGATGGAGAGGCGCCAAATCCAAGCTACGAGCATATGGAAAACGGCAGCGGTGCGTCCAGCGATAACGAGCACCACGAGTCCCGCGAGGTACGACGTCTCATGGCTTTTCTCTCACAGTCTCTCACGCTGCCTGTATTGCAGCCTTTGACTGGTTTTGGCGAATGCTACTCGCCCCAAGTCATCCGAGTGCCACGATCGCAGTATCGGCAGAATGCTCTTGGTGCGCGAGAGGCATCGCCCCACGGGTCGGAGCGAACCGCTCGAGCGCCAAAACGCCCAGCTCCGCGTGCGGGCGGACGGCAGCCGGCCCAGCGACGTCGCACATGGTCACCATCAAGCGTGTCGTCCGACAGCGACCAAGATGCGGGGGCTTGCGAGCGCGATCTGTCGAGCGACGAAGAAACGCCGCGCAAGCCAATGCATCTGCGCAAGCACGGACCAGTCACTGAGACGTTGCCGCTGCCTCCGCTGCGTGCCAACAAGCCATGCACGCTCACGGACGCGCAGAAAGGCCAGATCAGCTTGAAGCGACTGCTCTACTACCGCGTACGCTCGACCACCTTCTATGGAACTGATGCATTTGCGGTGCGTAGCACAAAAGTCTCCTCGAAAAGTACGAAGCCCATGCGCGCGCGCGCCTTGCCGAAGCGCGTCGGATCTCGATCGAGGTAATAGTAAGATCTTGGATGCACCATGTGTATTTATACGGCTGTACTATGAGGCGTACGACGAAGCCCGAGCCTTGCACGAAGATTTCTCGACGCTCACCAACTTTGTGTGGCCATACTTTGAGACGCAGTCGTGGCCCCGCGATGTCGAGCTGGACATCGAGTACGATGCTGTGGCTACAAGACCCGCGGACTCAACTACCGCTCTCTAGGTGCTCCATTTGCGCTCACAGCTATAAAGCCGACGAGTGCGTCGTGACGCTGACGTGCATGCACCTCTTCCATAACGACTGCGCCAAGCCGTGGTTTGAGGCCCACGAAGAGTGCCCACAGTGCAAGACGATCGTGATTCCGACCCGCGACACCCTCGGCCGTCGCCCTTGACCCGCAGCAACAACTGCACGACAGAGCGCTTGTATAAAACCCCAATTTTTGTCCATTCGTCCCATATGTGTTCAACTGCTTTACCGTGGAAGCGGTCCGAAAGCGTCCGTGGCGGCGCAGGGCTTTGGATTGAACGCGAGTTCTACGTGGTATCTCTGCGTGTAGGAAGCAAGAAAGATGACGGTTCTTGATGGCTCCAGACAGGCCCATGCGTAGCCTGCGCCAAATCGACACCAGACAGCATCTCTACGGCCTCCGACCCACAGCATGGTACCGCCAGCGTTGTCCCTTGGCGGGTTTGAAATGGAATCGTAAAATGCCAATTCAAACTCAACACAGGGTTTCCCTGGAAGGCCACGATTTGCGTAATAAAACAGTAGTGGATGGGGCTCTAGGGTTTTTCGATCCAGTCCACTGCATGTGCTGAATGCTACCAAGCTTACAGTATGCCGCATTCACTAGCCGACGCTACGCCGAATCCGCCTGCCGCGTGCCGAATCATGGGGTAAAACGTCGAGTGGCAGTCGGGTGCCATGCAAGTTCTAGTACCAGCGTCTCCATGTCTTCGCTTCATGTCGATTCAATCTGCAATGCGTCCAGCCTACAGCTCAAAACACCTGCGTGCGCGGCTCTTCCCAGCCACAACGTTGCGCTTTCTGGGCTCGCGGTTGATTTTCCGAGGATTTTTCCAACCGTTGTCGGCTTTCTACACCGAGATTGGATCTTGAAGGGACATGGCCGAGCCGTCGCCGCCCGAGAGCCTCGTGAGCTACGACGCGCCCATCTTTACAGGCGAGAGCAACGAAGGCGTCAAGAAGGCCAAGGCTGCGCCGGGCGCCAAGATCGACCCCGTCGCGCGCATCGAAGATGTGCTCAACGCGATGCTGCCGCCCCAGTAGACATCCTTTGTGGCCCGCGCATCGACTCGACATGTAAACATGTAGGATGTGGAAGGAAGAGACGGGGTTCTGGATGCGCTACACGTCGGCCGAGCCCTCGACGCGCTTTGATGTCATCAAGCTCCAGGTAGACGCTTCCGCGTGCGCTTCTTCTGGACGAGGATGATCATGCGTGCAGGAACAAATGGACGGCAAGCTTCTCAAGCGCCAAGCCCGGGAAAGCGGCATCTGCCCCGTCCGCGAAGACATTTATGCCCAGTGCTTTGGTGCGCACTTACATGCAAGATGGCCCCTGCAGCCATGCTATGATGGCGTAGATGAGCTCATCCGTGAAGTCGCCATCAACTCGCCCGAGCGCGGTCTTTTGCTCTTGCGGATTCGCGACGAGATTCGCATGACCACCGACGCGTACAAGACGTTGTACGAGAGCAGGTAGGCGACCCATCGAGCGTGGCTGCGGAATCCAGGCTTTTAGCATTACCTTTGGCGTGCGCAAGCAGCTGCAAGCCGAACAAGGCATGGGGTCGCTCGAGGATCGGGTGCGCAAAATGCCGGGTTGGTTCCCTCGGCCAACAGCGCTGTGTGTATAGATCCACGTGCTCACAGAAGAGAAGCGAGAGTACGAGAACAAGGTGCTTGAACTCACCAACAAGCTCGAGGTTCACTTGACGTGCAATCTATCAATGTATCAACGGAAAGGAGCGTAGGTCATTGAGAAGCGAAGCAGCGAACGACGGGCGCTCCAGGAGAAGCGCTACAAGGAAGAGATCGAGTTTCTCAAGTACCAAGGCCAACATCTCGACGCGTTTCTCAAGTCGGCCGGCGGTGGCGCCAGCAAATAAACGAAGAAAAACTCACGCGTCAAAGTTATCCAGCTGCACCTCGGCGTGCGCGTACGACGAGGCGACGACCTTGCCGTTGATCAGAAAGAGGTGTGGCTCGGCGACGTGGACGCAGCTGTAGCTAATGCTCTATCCATGTACACCATACCATTATCGTCATATTCTCCACCTTTTTGTTTTCGTCGAGGAAGAAGGGTCTGTACCGTGCCGTTGTAAGTTAGCGACATGACCTTGAGACACGGGTCCAGCACGTAGACGGTGTCGTCGTCTGTGATCTTGACGCTGGCTTCGCTATCGAGATGGTAGACGGACACGGCGCAGGATGTCTCGGCGCCGTCCATCATGATGAAGCATCTACCGCCATATTTCAACGAGGTGAGGAGACGGTCGATGTACCCAGGCGGCTCGTGGTTGCGGGGGACGTCGGCTAGCAGCTTGAGCGCGATGACAACACCTTCGTTCAGACCCAGCCTACCGACACGTGCATGGAGCAGCCCATAAGCAGCTTGAAGCATCACTACTGGAGAGATGCGATCGGGCAGGGCGTACGACCTTGAATGTCGACTGGCGGCGGCACGTTACCAGCAAGCTGACTAAGCTTCTTGGGCGACAGACGAGCCTATGCACTAGCATGTGGCGTCAACCGTTGGAAGACCGTCGGACCTTGCGCAGCACGAGACCGGACACGTGCTTGGTGTACTGGACGATGGCGTCGACGAGGTCGATCGCGCGAAGCGACGGGTCCAACTCGTGCGCCCGCAGATAGCTTGCGACCGCTTCGGCGTAGTCTTCCTTGTACCGATGGACCTACATCGCTGCCACTCGATACATTGATACTTTTTCGCCAAAGTATTTACATTGGCGCGGTTGAAGTGCAAATCGGGGTTCTGCCCCGCGCCGGCCTTTTCCTAGACGACAACTCAGACGGCTGTCTACTGAAGGGAACGTACAGCGCGGGTGTATGCGGCCAGCGATCGGTCGAGGTCGACCGTGCTGTGCGAGTCGCCAAAGAAAAGCGCAAGGTACGCATTCCCGAGCACGTCTACGCCTTCTTCTAAGCGACAATCGTGACCCGCGATACGTACACCACGACTCGCCGTCGGTCAAGTCCAAGCCCACGGCCTGCTTGGCGTGCTGGAGGCTGGCCTACGGCGGCGTCACGCCACGCGAATTGCGTGCAAATAGAGTACCCGAACGTGGTCGGCCTTGTCTTCGGGCTTGGTCCCGAGCTTACGCAGCACCATGGAGAGACTGCGCAGCGCGTGCTTGCTCGAGCCGTACTCGAGGCAGTTCTCAAAGCAGTGTTTCGCCAAGACCAAGTCGCCTTTCTTCCAAAAGCAGTTGCCGAGCGCCACCCACGCGTCAAGGTTGCACGGATCGAGCTTGGCCTACTCGACAAGCCTAAGAAGCCGCACGTGGCACACGCATGGACGTACGGCCTGCGAAAGCAGCTGCTCGGCCGTCGCGTCGTAGGACGGAAACGCATCGAGCGCCTTGCCCTTGACGTAGAACACTGTTGCGCGGAGCTGCCGGTGCTCCTCTACGCACATCTTTGATGCGAAGTGTAATGCGCAGAAGCCGAAGTCGTACGCAGCGGAATGGTATCGACGAGTGCGACGACGTCGTCGGCGAGGGCTCGGAGCTTGCTCTACACGCCGCTGGCGCCTTGCTGGGCACGTCGCCGAACGCACCTGTTTCTCGGCCTTGTCAGCGCAGAAGAAGTGGTCGTGGACCTCGTAGAGCTCGGCGAGCTTGATCTTGGCGGCTGCGACGGCCAAGTCGGCGTCGGTCGTCGCTGCCATCGCGATCCTGCTGGCCTCAGAAAATACACTGGATGCCTTTTGACTGAACACACCCAACTACAAACAGTGTTTTCGTCAGCATTTTCGTACAGATCCCATCGCGTGTCTGATGGCAGCACCCCATGGTCTCGTGGATGCTACCCATAGCACATACAACAAGTCTACTCATGGCCGCTGTCGCCAACGGATGTGCTCGAGGCTACGGGCGCCGACGACCCAGAGTTGCGTGTTATTAGCGCCATCGGGAACGTTCGGGCGGCATTCCATGGGCGCTCGACGCGGGCAAAAGATAGCTTGGTGTTTGTATGCAATAGAATGCTAGGGACGGCGGCCGCAGAAACACTGGATGGGCCAAAATCGATTTCGCCATGGGTTTTGCCTTGGAGCTCGTGGAGCATGCGTTCGGGGCGATCGGGTCGGCGTCGCCGCTCAAGCAGGCCGCGGGCGTCAACCTCCCGCGCGGGCCCAAGATGTCGTCGCCCTTTGCCTTTCCGCTCATCCACTCGTTCCATGCGGCGACCGACCGACCGGCCTTTTTGGCGCACCCGCTCGGTAGCGCCGCCTCGGTCGCCGCCACCGACGCTGCGGCCCCGCCGCCAGCCGCGCCGAGCGTCTCGCCCGAGTGGCTTCTCCGCGTGTGTGAGCAGCATGCGGCGCTCACGCAGAGCGTCTTTTCCGGCCTCGAGCTCGCCAACTCGGTTGTGGACGCGCTCAAGACGGACGACGCCGAGTCGACTGTGTTCAACCTCCTCGGGTTCGACGGCTTTGACTTGATCCAGGAGATTCTCTCGAACCAGAGTTCGATCGTGGCCATGACGTCATCGCAGCTCTCGCGCGCCCACGCGATCGCGCACGGCGTCGTCGGCGCTGGTGGCAAGACGAAGGGTGCGTCCATGAGCATCCAGAGCGAGACCGACCAAGCTGTGGCCCGCCACGCGCGCAAGGAGGCCCGGCGCAACGCCCGGCGCAACCCCCGAAATGACGAGGCCCACGACGAGGCCGACTGGCTCGAAGCCGCGGGCTACGACATGGACGTGGTCAACGCGCTCCGCGAGAGCCAGCAAGGCCAGGCGCGATCGCCGACGTCGCAGCTCAAGGAGCAGTTTGGCGACTTGTCGTACGACACGAGCGCGATGGCGTCCGGTCTTCCGTCGAACGCGATCAAGACGGTTGCGAAAGGCTACGAGAAGGTCTTTATCCCGCCGCTGATTGCGCGGCCGACGTCCAAGGACGAGCTCGTGCCGATCTCGGCGATGGACGACTTTGCCGTCGGCGTCTTTGAAGGCATCACGCACCTCAACCGCCTCCAGAGCAAGCTCTTTGAGGCCGCGTACCACTCGAACCAGAACCTCCTCGTGTGCGCGCCGACGGGCGCGGGCAAGACGAACGTGGCCATGATGACGATCCTCAAGGAGTTCAAGAACCAGCGTTTGTACAACGGCGGCGACATTGGTAGCATGAAGATCATCTACGTCGCGCCCATGAAGGCGCTCGCGCAGGAGGTCGTCACGCGCTTCTCCAAGCGACTCAAGTGCCTCAAGCTGCGCGTCGCCGAGCTCACGGGCGACATGCAGATGACGAAACAGGAGATTGAAGACACGCATCTGATTGTGACGACGCCGGAAAAGTGGGATGTGATCACGCGCAAGACACACGAGCAAGCGCTCATCTCGCAAGTGCGGCTTCTCATCATCGACGAAGTCCACTTGCTTGCGGACGAGCGCGGGCCGGTCATTGAAACCATCGTCGCCCGCACGTTGCGTCGCGTCGAGTCGTCGCAGACCATGATCCGCATCGTCGGCTTGTCGGCGACGTTGCCCAACTACAAGGACGTCGCCGAGTTCCTCCGCGTGCCGCATCCGAAAGACAAGCCGAGCGGCGGCGGTCTCTTCCACTTTGACGCGAGCTACCGCCCGGTGCCACTGGCGCAGACGTTCATTGGCATCACGGACAAGGGCCGGAGCAAGCAGATGGCGGCGATGAACCAGCTCGCGTACGAGTATGCGCTCGAGAACCTCGAGCACGGCCAGCAAGTCATGATCTTTGTGCACTCGCGCAAGGAGACGGTCGGCACGATCCGCGCGGTGCTGGAGATTGCAGCGCGCGCCGGGACGCTCGACCTCTTCTGCCCCGGTACGCCCGTGAAGGAAGCGACGGCCCATGCGCTCAGCGGGCTCGTGCTCAAGAGCCGGAACCGCGAGCTGCAAGAGTTTGTCGGGCATGCCTGCGGCATCCACCACGCCGGCATGCTCCGGTCCGATCGGAATCTCACCGAGCAGCTCTTCGAGAACGGCCAGCTCCGCGTGCTCTGCTGTACGGCGACGCTGGCGTGGGGCGTCAACTTGCCCGCGCACGCGGTCTTGATCAAGGGCACGCAGATCTACAATGCGGAGAAGGGCTGCATGACGCCCCTGAGCATGCTGGACGTGATGCAAATCTTTGGTCGCGCGGGTCGACCCCAGTACGACACGTCGGGGGAAGCCACGATCGTGACGACGCACGACCAGCTCGACCACTATCTGCGGCTATTGGTGCACCAAGCGCCGATCGAATCGGCGCTCATCAAGACGCTGCCCGACCACTTGAACGCCGAGATCGTCTCGGGCACGGTCGCCAACATGGCCGAAGCGCTGGTCTGGCTCAGCTACACGTACCTCAACGTGCGCATGCTCCAGAGCCCGATGACGTACGGCATGTCGTACGACGAGCGCGCGAACGACCCGATGCTCGTCAACAAGCGCACGTCGCTGCTGCAGGAGGCGGCCAAGACGCTCGAGAGCTGCCGCATGATCCGCTTTGACCAAAGGTATGGTATCTTTTGTACTACTATCGAGATATCGAGATATCAATCCACTGGGTATATGTAGCCGCGGCGAGTTTGCGCTGACCAACTTGGGCCGCGTCGCGAGTCACTACTACATTACGCACGCGACGATCGAGACGTTCAACGATATGCTCATGAGCGACATGGACGAACAGACTGTGCTCAACGTCATTTGCTCGTCGACGGTAGGTCGTCCTTCGATATCAAAGTATCAATCATGCTTTGGGTAGGAATTTGAGCAAGTCAAGGTGCGGGACGACGAGCTCGTTGAACTCGACAAGATCAAGAAGGCGTGCAAGATTCCGATCAAGGGCGAGAACACGTCGTCGGGGAAGGCCAACATCCTCCTCCAAGCGTACATTTCCAACATGTCGCACAAGCTCTCGAGCTTCACGCTCATCTCGGACACGAATTACGTGGCCCAGAACGGGTCGCGCGTGACCCGGGCGCTCTTTGAGATTTGCCTCAAGAAGGGCTGGCCGCTCGCGGCCGAGCGCGTGCTCAACATCGCCAAGTCGATCGACATGCGGTTCTGGTCGACGCAGTCGCAGCTGCGGCGCTTTGGCGCCGTGCTTCCCACGACGCCATCATGCGCCTCGAGGAGCGGTACGGCAACGACATGGACACCGTGTCGACGCTCACCATTGCCGACATTGGGCCGCTCGTCAATGGCCCGCGCGTCGCCGAGAAGGTGCTCCAGCACGTGCGGTACCTTCCGTACTTGGACGTGGACGTGAGTGCGCAACCCGTGACCGACGGCGTCCTCCGGCTCACGGTCAAGCTCGGCTGCGACTTTGAGTGGGCCGACCTGTACCACGGCAAGGTCGAGTCGTGGTGGGTCTGGGTCGAGGACGAGGCCGCAATCTACCACGCCGAGCACGTCTTGATCCACAAGGCGCAGTACCTGTCGGGCGAGGTCATTTCGCTCGTCTTTCACATTCCGCTCTTTGCGCAGAGCGTCAACTCGTACATGCTGCGCGTCTTGTCGGATCGGTGGGTCGGTGTCGACAGCCACCACGACATTGACGTGCCGACGCCCAAGACGACGTCGGCGCCGTCACTCTTTTACACGCCGCTGCAGTCGTTGCACCCGCTGCCGATCGCGGCGCTGAACGAGCCAGCGTTTGAGACGTGCTACCCGTACCCATTCTTCAACCCGATCCAGACCCAAGTGTTTCATACCTTGTACCACACGGACGGCAACGTGCTCCTGGGGGCGCCGACGGGCAGCGGCAAGACGATCGTGGCCGAGCTCGCCATGCTGCGCGTGTGGAAGCAAGCGCAAGGCAGCCCGCTGGTCGTTTACGTCGCGCCGCTCAAGGCCCTCGCGCGCGAGCGCGTCAAAGACTGGACCCACAAGTTTGCGCCTCTCGGGAAAAAGGTCGTCGAGCTCACGGGCGACACGACGGTCGAAGCGTCGGTTCTCAAGCGCGCGTCGATCATCGTGACGACGCCGGAAAAGTGGGACGTGGTCACGCGCCAGCTCACGCGCACGTCGTTTGTGCAGCACGTGCGGCTCGTGCTGCTCGATGAGATCCATTTGCTCGGCGAAGACCGCGGCCCGGTCCTCGAGGCCATCGTCTCGCGCATGCGCATGCTTCGCCCATCAATTCGCCTCGTCGGCTTGTCGACCGCCCTCGCCAACGCGATCGACGTCGGCGCCTGGATGGGGATTGACGAGCCGTCGGCGGGCATCTTCAACTTTCGCGCGTCCGTGCGGCCGATCCCGATGGACGTGCACTTGCAGGGCTTTCCGGGCCGCCACTACGTGCCGCGGATGACAGCGATGAACAAGCCGACGTACGCCGCGATCGTGACGCACTCGCCCAAGAAGCCGTCGCTCGTGTTTGTCGCGTCGCGCGCGCAGACGCGACTGACGGCCATGGCCCTTGTCTCGTTTGCTGCACTCGACGGCACGCCCAAGCAATTTTTGCATGAAGACGAAGAGGTCATGGACGCGATCGTGCAACAGGTGCGCGACCCGGCCCTCAAGGACGCGCTTGTCTTTGGCATCGGTCTGCATCACGCCGGTAGGCCCTTCATCCATTGATAGATTGATAGATTGATAGATTGATGGATGGCTGCGATCTAGGATTGAGCGCCAAGGACCGCGATGTCGTCGAAGAGCTCTTTCTGAACGGGAAGATCCAAGTCGTGATTTGCACGTCGACGTTGGCGTGGGGCGTGAACCTCCCGGCGCACCTCGTGGTCATCAAGGGCACCGAGTTTTACGACCCGAAGCAAGGCCGATACGCCGACTTTCCGATGAGCGACATCCTCCAAATGATGGGCCGCGCGGGGCGCCCGCAGTTTGACACGACGGGCGTCGCCGTCGTCTTGGTGCACGAAGACAAGCAGAACTTTATCAAGCGCTTCATTTACGAGCCGATGCCGGTCGAGTCGTCGCTGCACTTGTCGCTCGAGAACACGCTCAACGCCGAAGTGGCCAACGGCACGATCAAGACGATGGGGGATGCGGTCACGTACCTGTCCTGGACGTTCCTCTTCCAGCGCGTCCAGAAGAACCCTGCGTACTATGGCCTCGAGGAAGGGCAGGAGACGAGCTACTTTTTCCAGCGCCTCGTCACCGACATGCTCGCCAAGCTCGTCGCCAACGGCTGCGTGCAGCAGCGTGGCAAGGCGCTATCGCCGACGCCGCTCGGGAAGATTGCGAGTGCCCAGTACCTCGACTATGCGACGGTCTACCACTTGCACACGGCGCTGGCGGCGCTCCAAATCTCGGAGAAAGACGACGAAGACGCGACGATGAAGGCACTCCTCGCCATCATCGCGGGCTGCGCCGAGTTTGCCGACACGCCGTTGCGGCCGCACGAAGCCAAGACGAACGCGTCGCTGGCCGCCGCGGTGCGCTTTGCCAAGCTCGAGAAGCACTGGAAGTGGGATGCGCACGGCGCCAAGATGAAGACGAGCATCTTGCTGCAGATGCACCTCGGCCGCCTCCAAGCGCCGTCGAGCGAGTGCTACAACGACCTCCGCGTCGTGCTCGACAACCTTCCGCGCATCTCCGGCGCCATGGTCGACATTGCCGCGCTCCTTGGACGCGTCCCGCTCGTGCACGCGTGCGTTGCGATGGCCCAAGGACTCCTCTTTGGCAAGTGGCCCGACCGCCTCGGGTGGCTCGAGCTGCCGCACCTCTCGGCGGCCGACGTTGCCCATTTGCCGCCGATCGCCAACGCCGCAGAGGCGGTCTGGCCCAAGCGACTTAGCAGCGACAAGGTCCGCGAGCTTCAGGCCGCACTGCAACACGTGCCGCACGTCGATGTACGCGTGACGCAGCAGCCGTCGACCAAGAAGGACGGCGTCGACGTCACGGTGAGCGTGCGCGTCACGAACGAGTCGCTCCTGCCGTCGGTGGTCTCGACGCGGTTCGTCAAGCCGCGCCCGCGCCTTCTCTACGCGCTGCTTGTGGACGCAACGGACCCGGCGAAGCTCCTCGGGATGGTGCATTTGCCGTACCGGCGCAATGCGACCAAGACGCTGACGTTGCGTGGCGCCCCGGAGCGCGCGATCAACCTCCAAGTGGTATCGAATGCGTCGGCCGTCGTGTTGGTGCCCAGCTCGTCGTGATTCTTGTCAAGTGCGATGGGTCAGAGTAGTATCCAGTTGATGGGATTCAAACGAAACACTCGGATGTCGAATTTCGACAAACGACTTTTTTCGATTGAAAAGAGACTTGGAAGTGTGGTTCATGACGTGGCAGGCGCGCAGCTCGTTTCGGGATGCTGCGATCGCCATCTCGCCATGCCGTGGCGTGGAACGCGCGGGACGCCAACGCGATTACTCCAGCAGACGAAACATCAAGACATATGGTCTGCAGCTTGCGGGTAACCAACGGGTGAAGATGACTTTACACCTTGGCGGTCAAGGAGTGTCCAGGACCAGCTCCCAAAGCGAGGCCAAGCACTCGTTGTCGTTGTCGATGGGATCTCAAGGCGGCACTGAGAACGCTAACAGCGGCGCATCGACGCGTCGACGCCGCGTGATCACGATCGACGCGTCACGCTGCCGCGCCACTCTGCATTAGCGCTGCGTTTATGATTTCGCCGCAGAGGAATAATCACGTGCTGGCATCGTTTGGTAACGCAGCAGCGAGAAGCAGCCGTTCCTTGCGGTACATATGGGTGACGTTGGGCCCCGGTTCAATCCCCTTTTGGTTGTCCTCTTTCAATTCTACGAAGCGAGGGCAGCCCCGGTGCTTCTCCTCGCGGCGATCGTCGTCGCTGCTGCCAGGATATGTTGATGGTATGCATTTGACACGCATGGCGCGATGATAGCCAATGAGAACGCGCGAATATATCGAACCGACCAATCAGCGACGACGGCGTTTGCACTTTAATTCCAGCGATGCCAGGTGGCGCCGACGGGTTGCTGTTTTATTGTATTACCTTGGTGTTTGTATCGCAATGCGATGGCGCATTTATATTTTCGCAGCCGGGCGCGACTGCGGTAAACATCCCGTCGAACGTGGGATGGCGACTTGGATCACTTACGAGGATGCTGATGTCACTTGACGACTGCATGGCGACCCCGTCGCCCCCCGAGAGCGACGACTCGATGCAGAACGACCGCGAAGCGCGCCTCAAGAAGGACCGACTGCGAAAAACCAAGTACCGCCAGGAGAAGATGGCCGAGATGCACGAGCTGAAAGTGACTGCGAGCGCGCTCACGTTGCAGCTGGAGCAGCTCAAGGCGCAGCGGAGCCAGCACGTGCGCCCGCGGCTGCCGTCGCTCACATCGCTTCATGCGCCGCGGCTGCGGCTCTCGTGGAGGTACATTGCCGATCGAGAGAAAATGCGCCTCGAGGCCGCGTACGCCGACCAGACGCGGCTGCGCAACGACCTGGTAACGGACCTTCATCGCGCCTTCTGTCTGCTCCAGTCGCAGCGCCGCGCCCCGCGCAAGGTAACACATGCATGCACAGTCCTTCCATGCCGCTCACGCGTCTGCGCAGATGCTCATGGACGTGCGAACGGAGCCCCGGACTGCGTACACGCTGCCACACCACCCACTGCGCCGCCTCGAGACCATCCAGCGCCTCTTGCAGTGGCAGGCCGACCACGTCACCGATGCGTTCGTAGCCCACGTGCTTCCAAATCTCGACGACGACGACGACCCGGCGTGGACCATGGAGCTGACGCCGGACGGCGCGTCGGTCGCCTATATCGAGACGCGAAGCCAAGGCGTCGTGTACGCATCAGCGGGCGACGTCGGCGCCGTCTTGTGGCAGCTCGAGACCGCGCAGTCCCGTCATACGACCGTACGTTGAGACCCGCACGCCACGCGCGATGCCAAACTATACGGTCGTAGGTGGCTCCGCTCGACAGCGATACCGTCGTCGTATCCAGCAACGACGACGACACGACGCTGCTCAAGCGGCTCGTGCACCGGACGGCCCATGGCGCGGCGCGCGTCCTCGTTGTCGCCCAGAGCGTGCTCGCGGACGAGAGCTCCTCGTACCGCATTGCCCGAAAGAGCGTTGCTACGTGGTACGCATCATCTTTTGCATCGTCTTGTCGCAAGAAGCTCTCAAATAAGCTCAGCTCATGGATGTGGTAGGCTTGTGGTCGACGAGCTCCCGCGCGGCGCGTCGGACGGCCCCGTGAGCGTCTATCGCAGCGTGCAGCAGGCGGCGCTGGAGGGTCCGCTGGACGCCTACGCCGAGCACTTGGTTGCGACGACGGCGACGGCCGAGATGCGGCAGCACGCGCTGGCGCGCCACTTTCACTGCCTTTAACTTAATATGCTTCTTCCGTCAACGCCAACATAAGAAGAACGAAGACGCGTTCGTACAGTTAGATGAAGCCGAGCTGCTGCGCGGCCTGGTCGACCTGCGCCTGGATGTCGGGCGACTGGCAATTGTTGCGCACCATCGAGAGCTTCTCCGGGTCCTTGAGCTTGACCGCGAGCTCGAGCGCCGCGAGCCACATTTGCAGATGGATAAACGTATCAAACTTCTCGTCGGGCTGCGTGATGCGCGCTGCGTACGACTCGGCTTGGCCCTTCTCGCCTTCGCGGAGGCACGCGACCGCAAACGCCTTGAAGCCGCACGGCGGCGTCTTCTTCTCTTGGGAAAACTAGACGAACACACCAGAGATGTTAAAATGCCAGCAGCATCATGACGGCTCCGATACCTTGTGGAGGGTGTCCCACTGCTGCGTCTCGGCGAGCGCCTTGATCTTGACGTGGTAAAACCGCTTCTCGGGGACCTTGAACTTCTTGGCGAGGCCGGCCGCGAGTTGCAGCGACTTGGGATCCCGCTTGGCGTCCATGCAGAGCTGCTTGATCGTGTCGCTGAGCGAAAGCCCAACGAACGAGGTTGTCATGTGCGGCGCTGCCTTTTCATCGAGCTTCTTCTGCTCGACGAGGAGGTCCATCTGCTCTTCGGTGAGCTTGGCGTTGATCGGAAGCTTGGCGACGTTGAACTTGGCCATCGCGTCCTTGAGCACCTTGAGCTTCGCGTCCACGTCTATCATCTGGAACGACTGCAGCACGTCGTAATTGGCGCTCGCCATGTCGGGCCAAATCGCATCTACGCATGTCCACTTGATACGTTGATACAAACAGAAAGATATACCGAGTTTGTCGCGCGCCTCGCCCGTGCCAATGTAGTAGGACGTAATGAGGTGGATCGCATCCGCGTACATGGGCTCCGACTGGAGCACGCGGCGAAAGTCGTCGGTCGGTACAAGCCGCTCCATGTGGAAGAGTGCCATGTAGATGAGGTCCGTCTGGCTCGACTCGAGCGCCTTGCGCAGTGCGAGCTCGCACTCGCCCATGGAGAGCAAGAGCGGGACTTGGTCCGACGCGTTTTCTTCCAAGTCCAAGAGCATCGTGGCGAGGCGGCGACGACCCGCGCGCTCGGCGCAGCTCGCAATCTCCGAGTACGAGACAAGCGTCGCGTCCTTGAGCTTCTTCCGGACAAGCGACACGACGGCTTCGTCCGTCATGGGTGCGTCCCCAAACGAGGCCTTGACCTTCTCGCACGCCCAGTGGACGAGGACGCGGTCTGGCGAGATCTTGAGGTACTCGCAAATCTTGATTGCGAGGTAGTGCTGGCGCATGGCCACGAGGCGAGACACGACCACGTCGCTCGTGAGCCGGTCAAACTGCCGGAGCGTCAGTGGGAGACCCACAGACGGCTTGCGGAGCGCGTTGAGCACGCGCAGCTTGCGGCTCATGTCGACAAAGAGCTCGGAATCGTAGCCCGAGCTGCGCGCGTCGGCGCTGTTGTCGAAGAAGCACTTGCCGTACGCCGCCGCGCGAAGGAGCGAAAGCTGCGCCGCATAATCAAACTCGTTGCCGGCCGCGTGGATGCAGTCGGTGATCGCTTGCTCCAACGTCTTGTGCACTTGGATCGACCGAATGTTCTCGTCGGCTTTGGCGTCGCCCGAGTCGAACGCATCGAGCGCGTCAAAGAGCATCGCAGCCGGCGACGTGCTGCCAATGCGCTTGATACTTTCTGTGGCTTTCGGGACGCGCATGAGGAGCTCGTGGCCGCGGCTGCTGTAGAGGCGGCACGAGTCGACTTCTTGGCAGAGCTCGACAGGGCCGTCGCACGGAAATTTGAGCCAGGACCCGAGCGGCCCGACCATGATGAGGCCGACGTTTTGCCAGTAGAGCACGACCGAGTCTTCGCCGCACCAGAGCATGCTCTTTGGCGTTGCTTTCGACGATGTCTCAAACTCGAGAATCTTCTTGTCAAAATTGGTGTTGAGCACGGTGAGGACGCCGTCTTGGGTGTACATGGCCATAAACATGCCATTGGGCGCGATCGCAATCGCTTCGATCGGCGCCTTGATCGACTCTTCGAGGTGCATATCCGTCATCGAGTCCTTGTTGCTGCCCGGCAGCTTGGAGAGCACGACGAGCGACTTGGCCGACGTGCCGAGGAAGATCTCGGGCATGCTGGTCTTGACGAAGCGCGGGTGGAGCACCGCCATGCATGTCGGCGGGTTCGCCTCGGAAATGCCCGTCTCCATGATGAGGTCGATGCGCGGCGAGACCGAGTCAATGTCCATGACCTGCACGACCATGTAGTTGCCGAGGAGACAGGCGATGCCGCCGCCCCACGACTCGAAGCTCCAGATCTTCGTGTTGAGGTTGCGCGACACAATGTTGAACGAGTTTTCGAGCTCGCCCATGATGCTGTACGTGACGCAGAGCCCGTCGTCAAAGACGCACAAGAGGCGCATCTCGTCCGTCCACGCCATGCCGAGGAGCGTCTTCTTCTTCTCGTCGTACTCCTTGAACGAGATGGATGCGAGGCGGCTACCGCACGCGTTGAAGATAAAGAGCGTCCGACTCAGAGACCCTTTGGCGTCCATTTTCACGAGCAGCTGCGACTTGCGGAGCAGCGCGACGGGACCGCCGTACTGCGCCGGCACGACATCAAAGTCCTTGAGGTCGCCGACAGACGCCACCTCCTCGCGCCACGACGCGCCCATGTCGAAGAGGTGGTGGCGCTGGTACTGGGCCTCGCCCAGCGCGTGCCACTCGGAGGGATCCATCGTCAACTCGAATTTTGCAGTCACTCCATGATTCGGCACGCGGCGGGCGGATTCGGCACGTGGCTGGTAAATATGGCAGTATGTGGTAACATTCGGCATCGGTAGATAATAAATGTGGCATGCGGATCATTTTTTGGTGGCAGGCCTCTGTGCGCAAGAGACAATGGGACGTGTGGCTCATCCAGTGCACGCTGTGTGCATGGAAATGAGATTTCGTACCATCCAGCAGAGGCCGACAGAGGCGCGAGGCGGAAGCAACACTTTAAAAGTGGCATGTGCTGCAAGAGAGCATCACGCCCGCTCATTGGTCGGATCGCCACATTGCGATCTTTCTCTCTGTGGGAATGAGGACGAGGCAGCTTGGATGATCATCGACCAGTAGTGACCTTTGGATCGATGCATGGACATGGTGCCCTCTTGTGTAGCGTAGTCCTGCCGACACTATTGAAACATGATTAACATACAAATTGACAATAAATGAATTAAATTTATCTGCGGCTCGCGCTGCTTGGGCTTCGAGCATTTGGAGCTGGCCCGGCGCCTTGATCTTGGGAGTCTTGATAGTCTTGGCCGGGGATGGGATCGTCGCGTTGGCAAGGTGCTTCATGTGGCGAGGCTGCGTCAGGAATGGGACCCATGGCGTAAGCGCTGGTGGCGTGCGGTGGCACGATGCTGACGCAGGCGTGCGTGGCTTTCGATGGACAACCAACATGAGCACCCAAGTGAGTCTCAGGTGCTCGCCAGCCGCGCCGGTGCTTCTACGTGTGCCACCATGACACTACTCTTACCGCGCCACCAAGCACCTGTAAGAAGTCTGAGCCACGCAGTGTGCTGTACGGTGGCACGGTCGGGGATGTGTGTAGTAGAATGCAAATATGACAGTGATATTGTTTGTTATGTAAGCTAGACCACTGGTAATCTGTGCATAGTGTGTAGTTCTGTTGGTTTAGATCGGTAGCCGCTGTGTGATTTCTAACAGCACCATCGTGGTTGTTGGTCTGGATTTCTGGACCAAGAACCACGAGAAGGCTTGGTGGCGCGGTCAGAGTAGTGTCATGGTGGCACACGTAGAAGCACCGGCGCGGCTGGCGAGCGACATCCTCGGAAACCACGGAAGCTCGGATGACGGGAGCGCCCGTGTTGCAGCGCGTTGGGGCCATGTTGCTGGACGAGCTGCTCTTGGCCTGGACAAAACTGGGCAACCACGCGCTGGCCATCACGATCGTGCAGAGCGCAAATTCGAGATTGACCGCGTCGCAACCAAGATACGTTCCGCCTGCCAATTGTATTTCTTACAAACCGCTAGATAATGAAATATACATGGATACCTTACCCCTAAACTCACCCGCGCGTATATTTTATTGCAAAAACCGTGGCGTTACATACAAAACCTCTGTCGAATTTGAATGGGACATTTTACAATCCCATTTCGAGCCCGAGTACGCGCGCCAACGCCGGCGGCAGGATAGAACTCGGAGCTCGGTGGGTGCAGCAGTGCGGGTGTGGGAGGTCGTAGTCGTTGAGGTCAGCAGTTTCTTGTGTCGATAGCTCATGAATGGTCCGAATGCCCTTGGGTGGACGATCTACATGTACTTCAATAAACATTTTACGATACCCTGGTCATTTCGACGCGCGGCAGAGAATTAGAGAATCCATGATGACACGCCACTAATGACACGCCGGGCCCTGAAGCTGGTCACCGCGCGTCCGCAAGCGCAACGTAGGAGCCTCGGCGAACGTCTACCCCGCTGCGCTTGTATAGGCGCGCTTCAGATGGCTTGTAGTGCCAATCCATCGACGCCGGCGCGAGCTCATCATGCTTTGTGCTCTGGTTTGCGACCGCATCGTTCACCCCTTCGCAACCGATCGAGGGTTCGACGACCGTCAACTTTGTTGAAGTGTTCGTGCTACTAGCATCCTCGAACGCCGTGACGCACGCTGCTTGCGTGCAGCCTCGTCTGACCACACTGCAATTGCGATCGCGGTTCTTCGAGCAGACCAAGGCTCGTGTCAGCGATGAAGCGAAGACTTCCACGCAACTTTGCAGACACCGACACTGCCGCATGAATTGCCACAAGTCAACACGTGCTTGTATGCTGCTCCGGGTCATTTTTATTGCTTGCGTCTTTCAGACTGGTCCAAACTCTACCTTTCAAAACTGAGTCTGACGGCCCCTGGAGCCTTTCATTCCAAGCAGCAGCGAACCAGTAATGCGGGAATCCGGACGGGAACCGACACGATGCGTCCCTTTAGGCGGCCCTTGAAATCGTGTTCGGCCATCTTTGTGGCGAGCCAGTTGACGACCAATGTGCATACTTCATGTCTTCATAGGTCGTGCAAAGTGGCGACTTGCAATGTAGCACATTCCAGTCTGGTCCATCTCGTCTTGGTGGAGTAGTTGCGGTAGCAGTGCAGGCGCAGCATGATCCAGCTTGGCCGAGCCGACGACGCCCGCGATCACTCCTCTCACAACTCTAATGTTTACTGCTTGGAGGCTGAGGACGCGCTTTGCCGCGTCGAAGAAGACGCATGCGATGCATCGCTCGACGCGCTCCAGACATTTCTGAAAGCGATCTCCGATCTGTATCTGGAAGCAAGCTCTGGCCTCGGACCAACGACAGACGCCTCGAGATGCATTGACCCTAGCTCGCTACGCACACGCAACCGACCGGCTAAGAATATCTCTTCATCATGTGAATTTATTTCCAAACGCGCAAACATGAACGGCGACGAGCCGAGCCGCGTGGCGCCGCTTAAAGCCAAGTTCCAGATCGGGAGCGCCCAAGCACCCATCAACTACAAGTTTCAAGAGTCGTGCTTCCACGTCGACGACATTCCGCCGCAAAAGCTGGCGGCCAAGCGCGAGATCCAAAAGGCGCTCGCGTCGCAGATTCTCGCCATCGACAAGCACGCGTGGGACGCGTCGACGGCCGACACGATGCTCAAAACGCCGAGCCACAAGCGCACGTTTGTGCACGCCGAGGTGCGTCCTCTTCCACGACATTAAACACCTTGTCTGAGATTCTAGTTGTGCAGATGAACCACGGCAACATGTACCAGTACAACTTTCGCGCCGAGAAGCTGCCAGACAAGTACCCGACGCTGCTGTCCAAGCCCAACAAGTTCAACACGGGCATCCTCGAGGTCGCGCAAAAGGACGTTTACCGCGGCGAGGCCTTTGGCGATGAGCGCATGATGCGGGTACGCAGATGTCCTTACGTGACGCCACGTATGACGCATAGGGCATCTGTAAACGCACCGAGGAGCTGCCCAACCACCCGAACCTCGTTGACGCCGAGCGCTGGAACCACTCGACACAGTTCTCCAAGCAAGAGCTGCGGCACAAGGTACACCAAATGGCATCATTGTAGACGACAAACTTGCACTATATTATTCGATGGTCTAGTTCAAAGAGAAGGAGGCCGCGCGGATAGCCAACTCGGAGCGTGCGATGGCCGCGACTGCCAAGGCCCACAAGAGCGTCATTGCACTCTACGAAGAGCAGAAGCGCCAGCTACGCGAGCAAAAGGCCGCTACGCTTGCGTCGACGCGCAAGTAGATTCGAACACAGGGTTATAATCGACAGTACGTAATACTAGTAGTATTTAGCGCTCTCGTGTGTGGTCTTGTGACATGTCGGCAGGGTCAACAGGCGCAATATGGTGCTGAGTTGGATTCCCGCCAAAATGCAAATTCATATCCGGCGTTTGGATCATCCGGTTACGTGGCGAAGTGCAAAAGGCAAAATGACGGCGACCGACGACGACATCAACAAGCTCTTACGCCAGCTGCAGCGCTTGCCGGCGGTGCAAGAGCCGCTGGTGCGTGGCCTCGACGGCCGCGCGCGCATTGACGGCGTCGCGTCACCAATCGACCTCGCGCGGGACACGAAGGCGATCCTCGCGGCGCATCCCTCCGGCCACGTGCATGCATCGAACGTTCACTTTCTCAACGACGTGCACCTCGACGCCCGGAACGAAGCCGTCATTCGCGATGCCATCGAGGTAGCCATGGCGCCGGAAGGTCCATATCGCATCCAGCTCTCGCACGTCGTCCTCCATCACAGCGCCAGCCTCCCGTCGATGCCTGCCCGGCCATCGGGCTCGTTCGGCACGTTGGTGGTCTTCTACGCGTCGACGGCGGTTGGCGGCGACATGACGGCGTCCCTGGACGGCGCTTCAGTGCACTGTCCATCGCCACACGTGGCATTTCTTGCGTTCGACAACGGCTGCGACGTCGCGGTGGCGCCGATCACGAAAGGCGCCCGCGCGATGCTGGTCTTCGACCTCATCTATCGCGATGCAACCGCCAAGGCAACGCCACCGAGTGTTGCCTCCTTGCTGACGGCGGCGCAGGTCGCGGCCACGCGAAAGCGCCAAAAGACCACGCTGCGAGCCCAGGTGCTGCGGCGGCACTTCATGCAGCTGACCACGGAGACCCTGGAGGCCTCGGAAAACCTGTTGGTGGAGCGCCTTGCGCGTACCGGCTGCTGGGACGTTGCGCTTGCCCTCGTCGAGACGCGGCAGCGCGCGCATGCCAACCGACACGTACACTACATATCGCGTGTGGAAGCGGTACGACACGTTCTGGTCAGACCCCATGGATGACCGCACTGGCGTAGGAACGCATGTATACGCTTTGGGCCCATGGCGGCGAGGAAGATGACAACGGGGAAGACCGTGATGAGGAGGACGAAGACGACGACGACGACGATGATGGCGACCACGACGACCGGCCGGTGGATTGCATCACCGCCTGTATCATGATTGCATCCAATGCCCTGCCGCCCGTCTTCACACATGTGCTCGACAACAAGCCGCTCTTGTCGTATGTAGACGACATCAACCTGTCGATCAGTAAGCTCTGCCTCGTCTTTTGGCCCAAGCAGCATCGTCTCCGGCTGCTCGGCTTTCGCGCGTCGCTGCGACAGCTCGATGCCCTCGTCATTGGCGCGTCCACGGACCTCTACGGCTATGCGTCGATTCACGCGTTTGCCGACGCGGTGGTCGACATGGTCGACTCGGATGTCTCTAGTCTCTCGGACAACGCCGATGTCCCAGACGCCGCGCGTCTCGGGCGCGTGCTCCTGGCGCTTGGCGACGTGCCCTTGCTGCAAGCGTTGGTCGCAACGATCCACTTGCGCGATACCGACGCGCCTTTGCAAGCGCTGCTCGTGACGATGCTGCGTCATTACGGGTGGCCGACGTTTGATGCATCGATTATAACGCTCTTGCGTCGCCCTACGTCGGAGCTATTGCACGTGAGGCATGGCGCTGGCCTCGTCGCCGCGTGCCTTCCGCTGAAGCAGCCGTACATGCGCGAGTTCCTCGTGGCTGCCTACCACGCGCTGCTCCAGCAGCTGAGTACGTTTGAAAATGCGCCTTGCTCGAGCGCCGCGGCGACCCCGCTGCTGCGCGACATGTTGCTCATCGAAGCCCATTTGAACCGGACGCGGGACGACGACCAGGAAAGCATGTACCTCGGCGCGCGGCTGCCCCTTGGCGTCGTCCACCACATCTCGTCGTTTCTCTGCCCCGGTGCGCTGGCCGATATGGTCTGCCACCGCCTCCCGCCATGGGTATTTGACCCGATCCGCGTCCTTGCACCTGGCATTCGCGGGCTTCGGAACGCGTCGGTGTACCGTGCCGTCATTGACGACGCCGTCAAGCGCGTGCTGCAGATCTCCGCCCGCCACGATGACACGAACGAAGGCTGGGCAGACGTGCTGGCGCTGCACCTGGAGGCGGCCACCGTCGACGACGACGATCTTTGTACTCGGTTCTTTGCCACGTGCCGTCCGGCGATCGGGATCGAAACCATCCACAGCCTCGCGACGCAGTGCCCCGACACAGTAGCGCCGCGAGCGGTGCGGACCTCCCTGGTTCGCTACCTCGTACCCGCGGTCACGGCGCTCGTCACGGACAATGACGATAGCGATGGCATGGTGACGCTGGTCTCCAAGGCGTGGGCCGTGCTGGAAGCGTTCGACCAAACGGATGCCGGCTTACCGATCGTGCGCGCGGTGCATGAGCGCTGGAGAGCTCTTGAGACCCGCACCAAGAAGGTGGCTTTCACGTCCCATGTCATGCAAGAGTGGTTTCCTGTCGTGGTGACGCACCCTCACGTCTTGCGCCCGCTGCTGGGCTCGATGCTGCCCGTGCTCGAGGCATACATGACGACACGCCGGCGCCCAACGCCGCTAGAGTGGGCTCTGCCATCCGTCTACTTTGCGTGCGACTGCGAGCAATGCACGGCGGCCCAGAGCTTTGTCGCCGACGCCACTCGCGGCATCTTCTCGCTGCATCGTCGTTCGCTCTGTATGCACCTACTCGCCCGCGTGCAGCTGCCCAGCAGACGCCGCCCCTTTCCCGACCTCGCGGTGCGCATGGACGACGAAGGCGTCATTGAGCTCTGCAAAGCCGGTGCGAAGAAGCTCCGCCGCTACGAACGGCTGTGTAGCGACGTCGATCGCATGCGGGCCGCGCTGCAAGACGAGCATCACGAGCCCTTGTCCAAGCGTCGACGCCATGACGACGGGAGCGCTGCGTAGAAAGGCTCGACTGCTCTGAGCGGCGATTCTCGTGTGGATGTAAACCTGAGAGTCAACTCGTCTATACATCGACGAGTCACTGGCGAGGGCTAGGTCTATGGAATGCCCTACAGAAAGAAAGAAACGAGTCGGAAGGCTCGACACGATGGATCCCTGGGTGGCAGGAGCCCTTGGCATCGTACGTTTTTAGGCTACGACGGGTATACCGCCTACTGGCTCGTTTCATCGAATTTCCCCCCGTTTTAGAAGTCTGCTGCACGAAGGATGTGTGTGCTCCAAGCCGAGAGCATCTCGCTGCTCATTATGGCGTTAATGTGCTCAGGTACCCAGCACGATGATCCGAAGTAAATTCCCAGTGGCGGAGGCTCCTGGGCGAGCCAACGAGTTCGCACACATGCGCTGCGGTGGCGGCTGTATGTTTCGTTCACGCAATAGCAGATGCAGATCACTGGCGATGAAGCATCTCGTTTACGCTCTACTCGGGCGGCGCCAAGGGCTACAACGACTACCCGCTCTCGGCGCGATGCATAAGAATCTCCACTTGCTATGAGAAGTAGTGTATGTCTTCTGGTTGTGTCGAATTGGCGCGGGGGTAGGTCATGGTTGAACTGCAACTCTTTGGTTGCGACTTTTGTTGATGTAAACAGAGATCGATGCACGAGGCAGAACTTGGCGATGGACATGTGCAGAAGGGAATTGCAGGAAGGAACACCGTGGCGAGAGGCGCTGGTTGCAGGGTACACTCGCTGGTTCAAGGTGATGAGAGAGCATTTTGTTTATACACGTGCATCGTGTTGTATACATATTCGAGGGTTTTAAACAAGATTGACATCCGGTTAGATGCCGGCGGTATCCGAACCGGTTGCGTCAGGAATCGATCGATCGCCAGTAAATCGTCGAGCGCCGAAGATGCAGCGATCCATGCCCCTCCTGCGACGCGCGCTGTCGACGGCGGCCAAGCCGCGCAAGCCTGGTGTGTATGCGATGGACGATGCTGCTTCTGCATGGACCATGCTGCTGCTAACGGTGATGGCTCATGCGTCATGTAGAGTACCCGACCTCGTTCCTTGGCCACCTCAAGTCGCAAAAGCTCAACGTGTTCAACATTGGTGTCACGGTCTTGACGCTCTCGCTATCGATCCAGCTTGTGGCGATGAAGCAGGAGAAGGAGGCCGCCGAGGCCACGAACGCGGTCATGGCCAAGCGCATGGCCAAGCTCGAGGCGCGCCTCGCCGAGTTCAACGTCAAGGTGCTGACGGACGAAGAGGAGGCGGCCGAGAAGGAAGCCGAGGCCATGCGCAAGCTCGATCGCGAGCTTGAAGAGAAGGCCAAGAACGCGCCCAAGACCAAGGGCGTCATGATCTAATGCAGCAGAATGCACGCGGAAGCACCATGACAAAGCATTTCAATGGCTTCCTCTTCCTTTACAACTATGTCCCACGGTAGCAAACTGTCTACTTCTTGCTCGTGCCTGGGAGCGACCGCTTCGTCGAGTTCGAGTCGAGCTTGTTCATTTCATTGACGGCCGTAAGGATCTCGTTGATATTGGTTTCCAGCACCATGCCGCCCATGACGATCTCGTCCAGGACGTAATGCACCTAGTACGTCCATGAGCCATCATTGCCCGTCTTATGCTTGATGCACACCTTGTCGCTGTGGAAGATCAGGTCGAGCTCGCACACGTTCTCAAAGCACTTGTCGAGCGTCTCGACAAAGACTGCAATGACCACATGAGGCCATCGTATTGAGAAGAGGTCGTACCTTGGATGAGGTCGAGGATGCCAAGGTCGCTCTCTTGCTTGTCGACTGCAAACACAAAGTAAAGCGTTGCGTAGTGGCGGTAGATGAGCTTGATGCCATCGCCCCAGTAGCGCACGCTAGCCATGTGCGCATGAGTCAACGCCAATGGGCCATGCAGCTAGCGCGTACCTGCCCTCGAGGAAGTTGCAGAGCGTGTCGGGGCGCTTGGACACTTGCGTGTAGATATCGCGGATGACTGCCTGCTGCTCCGCGTCCGGCTACATGCGCATGAGGTTGACGTCGGAGAAGGCGCAGGATGCAACGACGTACGACGTGCTCGTAGAACTTGACGATGCGCGCCTTCCCGTGGTTGTTGACGATCAGGATCCCCTTGATCATGCTGGCCGCTTCTATATTGACGACGACGCAGGCCCTCAACCTTCGATGCATCGATGCCATTGGCCAAAAAGCGCTGATATTGTTTCGATGGATAGGATTTCAGCCAATCCGGACGCGCCACTTGCGGCGCCCAAGGGAGGCCATCTCAACGCCACGAGGATCGCAACGTCGGTACTGGTAGGTGCTGGTCATGTCTGCTGGACCTACAGCCAGGACTCTACCGCAGCATCCGCCCTTGCAGATAGCAACGACTCTTTATCGTCGAGCGAAGCAAGGAGAGGGCTCGCAGCCATTCTGCAGGCACTTGGCCCGCGGCTGCCCGCAGTGCGAGCTACACGATCAGCATCCTGGTGCATTATTGATCGAGTGCGCATCTCATGCCGCCGTCGAGCTCGACGCGAATTGGGTCTGTACGAAGCATGCACTACGCTGTGCGCAGTGCTCCACAGAACGCAGCTTCGCCTCCTGCCACCGACAGCAAAGATGCGATCATATATTATACGTTCTTATTCCAGCAAGTAGATGCGGTTGGCAATGTCCGTGACCATCCAGTCGATGCCCTCGACGAGGCCGTCACCGGTGAACGCGCTGCACGACTGGATCTTCCAGTGGCGGTTCTCGAATTGGGCTTCGTGGAGCCCGAGCGCGACCACGATTTCGTCCGGGCTGAGCGCGCCGGGGAGGTCCTGCTTGTTGGCAAAGATGAGCAGCGTCGCGCCCGTGAGCTTCTCCTGTGTCAAGAGCGCCGCGAGCTCGCGCTTGCAGTCGTCCATGCGGCGGCGGTCGGCGCTGTCGACGACCCACACGAGGCCGTCCGTCTGCTCAAAGTAGTTGCGCCAGTACGACCGGATCGTCTGCTGGCCGCCGACATCCCAGACGTTGAGCTTGAACTGCTTGTACTCGAGCGTTTGGATGTCAAAACCCAATGTCGGGCTGATCGTCGTGATGTCTTGGCCCATGAACTTCTTGAGAATCGTCGTCTTGCCTGCATTGTCGAGGCCGCTAGACAAGGGATAGTCGCATGAGCCATGACCGCGTCGGCGTCGCCACGTACAGCACGAGAATGCGGACCTCCTTCTCCTTCTGCTTGACCTTCTTCAAGATCGTGAGCAGCCCCATACCGACGAAAGCAAAATTGCAAGCCAATTGGCCAGGACGTTGGTCTATAGACTAATGAAACGCAACTTTAGCGTGGCCACCGCTTGTGCTACCATGCGTCGCTTGCGTGACCACCTCTCAATACGCGCCTTGCAATCCAAGGCTCCGCGTGGGTATACATGCTGGCCAGGTGCACTCTCGTCCATCACCTTGATGACCGCAGAATGAACGCCGGAACGGCTTATGTCGCGTGCAAATAGACAGGCCTTCCTTACCGACGATTTTTTGACAAGAAATAGAATCCGGTTCACGGGGCATGGAAGCGACAGCCGAAGCGACGTTCGAGGCAACGCCGCAAGGCCGGCCGAGCTTCCGCGATGGGACCGAGGTCAAGGCCAAGGCGCCGAAGCGCGGGCTGCGCCATCGGCTCAACTACCGCGACAAGCTCCGCATCATCGACCACTTTCGCGCGACGGGGAGCATGCCCGAGACGCTCCACCACTTCTTCCCGCACCTCGTCGGGCGCGCGCTCGATACGAAGCGCAAGAACATCTACAAGTGGGCGAGCATTCGGGCCGACATTGAGAAGAAGGCCAAGCACCCGATCCATGGGTCGCAGACCAACTCGCGCCCGAAAGGCGTGGGCACGACCCTCTCGCCGGCCGCTGAAGACCAGATCCTCGAGTGGATCGTGCATTTGCGCAACAACGCGGTACCTGTGACCGAAGAGATGCTCCAAGCCAAGGCGCTCGAGATCGCCAAGACCTTTGGCTTCTCGGCGACGCAGTTCAAGGCCGATTGGCACTGGCGCAAGCGCTTCATCAAGCAGTACCACCTCATGCCCGAGTCGCCGCCGTCGTCGCCCGCCCACAGCGACAGCGGCGACGACGATACCCATCAGCATCATCAGCAGCAGCATCATCATGTTCGAACTGTACAGCTCTAATTTGCTCAACACACTCGCTTCTCCATACGCAGACTATTTCCCACTGCCATAGATGCGCCGAACGACATTGCTGCGGCTATATGTCGTCGTCGTCTTGGCCGTCGTCTTGGCCTTCATCGCGGCCGCATAAAAAGGGTCCTTGACCTTCTTCTGGACGTCGAGGTGCAAGACGGGCGTCGCCTTCTTGGAGGCTGCCACGTATGCCTCCAACCGGCGCTCCTGGCGAAACTGCTGGACTTGGGCCAAGTGCTGCCGCTGCGCCATAATCTCCTGGAGCTCCTTCTCTCGCTGAAGCCGCGTCTCGCGCAAAAGCTGCTCCGAGGCCTATCGACATATCCTCAGTCCTTCGCGACACATCAAAGGACGCACGAGTCGGTGGGCGTGTTCGAGGAGGGACCGGTCCTTCACTTCCCGTGCGCGCTGCTCCTTGGCCAAGTCCATTTGATGCGCGTAGCTACATTGACACAAGAGAATAGAACGATGCCAAGCAAGATCGAAGCGGTACAAGGTCTCGAGCGCGGCTTCCTTCTTCTTGTGGTCTTGCTGAATCGCGTCAAGTGCCATGGCCGTCATTTCGTGCTCCTGACGCACGCGGTCGCGCTCCATCTCGAGCAACGTTCCCATGGTTCTTTGAGATGCTTCTCTTCCTAATGCATAGACCATGCTAGCATCGACCTCGAAAAAGACATGGCTCCTAGTCGTACGACTCGCTTTTGGTCCAACCCGAGCGAAATGCGCTGGCGCCGAAGCTCTTGGTGAATCTTGATGGCGCGAATCTACGTGATGACACATTGTTTCAAGATATCAAGATATATCGAGTGCAGGTGGCCTACGCGTTCGACTTGCTGCGCATGCTGTTGCTGCTGCAGCGCACGCCCGAGCCTATCGTGCTCATGCTTTTCTTTCTAGTTTGCAAGAACACTGAGGGATGCAAGAGGATGATCGAGAAGGTGTACGAGGCGCAGGCTGTGCACGTGGTCGTTCAAAATGGCCTTGTACCGCGCTTGGTGCAGTCGCTCGGTGGCGCCGATGAGGGGTTGTGGCTGCAGTCGTTTCGTTGGCAGCATGGATGGCGAAGCCATGGAGACCCCGCCGTGCGACAGCATGTCTTCAAGCCGGAGCTTCGCGGAACGACTCGATCGATCGCCGCTCAAGTCCATGGCTGCGGCTACCGGCGCCGGCGGAGGGCTCGTCGTTCGTGGGTGCTTGGTTGCGTGCACGGGTAGTGATAGCGGTAGCGGCGTGTCGCTCTCAGCCTCGTCCTCGACGGGATCACCATCGTCGTCGGTACCTTGCTTTGCATTCGCATCGTCGCCTTCGTCCTCATCGTCGGGACAAAAGCTAAAGATGGACGTATCGTCCAGCTCACCCTTTTCACTGCCAGTGAACGAGACTGACGAGACGCTGCCAAAGGCCGCGGTTGGTGGCGAGCCGCGCCGCGCCTGGCTTTGCTTTGGCTTCCGAGACGACGCTGTGGTGGATACAGATGCCATGGACGCGCGGCGACTGCTGCGTGTCGACGACGATGCGCTGGGCATTGGCACGTACCGGCCGTACGCCTGCGTGGCTAACAGCCCCGACGCATCGTCGTCCGGCGGTCGCTTGGTGCGCTTGCTCAATGTCGATTTCTTGGATCGCTTGATGTAGTAGGTCTCGTGGAGACTATGGTCGCTCTCACTAGACGCGTGGTCGTTGCGCTGCGAGCGGCGCAGCATTTGATACACATGCGTCAGAACGCGGACAAGGTCCCGGATCGCGGCCAAGTCGCCAGCACAGACGTTGGCGCCGGTCACGTCGGCGAGGTCGTCCGAGAGCATGGCGGCGGCGAGCGCGTCGACGACGCGCTGTGCGTTCTCGCTGTAGTCAGCGAGCGTCTTGGGCTCGCGCACGACGTTCTCGAGACGCAGCTCAAAGAGGCGCTCGTAGAGCGCGACGCTCATCGAGGAGACGCTGGCCACGAGCTCGGGCACGGTCTTGAAGGTGCGGTCGCCAAAGCCCGTGAGCCGCAAGAGCGCGTTCGTCTCTTCAAGGAGGTCCCGGTCCATCTTGCCGTTTAGTAGCCAACTCGGAAAAATCGAAGGTGCAACCGCCGAACGGTTCGATATTTTCGAATTTGGATTTCCACCAATCAAGAACGTGGCATCCATTTGGACGGCTTGGATTGGCTACATTCGTGGCAATTCAACCAATGGCCTACCTGCTGAACGCTCGCAACACGCTTGTCGATCTCTAGTTGACAGAGTCGACCCGAGCCAACGCCATCCGACAGCGAGAGGCCGCATCTACCAGAGCCGCCGTCGCATGTAAATGCATGTATTCACACAGGCTTAGCCACGGCGCGTGGACACGGTGCACATGTGCACGGGTCCTTTCTGGCTCGATGACGTGGCAATGATGGCCTCGGTCGCATCGTGGGCCTCGGTCTTCTTGTTGGCTGCGAGCACGACGAGACACGTGCCAGCGATGACAAGAATGCCGCCAATCCACGTGAGGACACCAGGGATACTATCGACGCCGAGGAGCACGCCAATCGCCGTGGCGAGCACGGGCTCGAGGAGCATGACGACGCTCACAACAATCGGGTCGAAGTATTTCATGACGCTGATGTAGCCCATCGTGCCAATGATCGTGCACACAAAGACGAGGTAGAGCTCAATCCCGAGGCGGTCGGCTTGGACCCACCCAAAGAGTCCGATCGTGCGATCGATGCTCCAGAGGTCGTTGGGGATCCCAAGGACATACAAGACGGGAAAGTGCAGCAGCATCGTCACGACAAAGAGCAGCGTCATGTAGAGAAACACATCGATGTCGGCGCGGAGTTTCTTGGCCGTGAGGAGGTAGAAGACGCCGCCGACGGCGCCGACCAGCGCGACAACATCGCCTTGCCACGACGGCGGCACAGCACCCGACGCCACGTCGACGCTCGAGTGATCGAGGGTCGTGACGACGCCGCCAACGATACCGAGGGCCGACCCGAGCGCTTCAAACGCGAGCACGGGCTTGCCGAGGAGCACCTTGCCGAGCACGATGAGGAGCGAGTGGCAGTTGTTGAAGATGTACGCGTGCCCGATCGACGTGTGGTTGAGCGACCAGAGAAAGGTCATGAGGAAGAGCGCATACGAGACGCACGAGAAGAGGAAGAGCAGCAATAGCGAGGGCGTCCAGCGCGGCCAGCCGTAGGCGTGGACCGAGTAAAACGCAAACGGTAAAAAGCCGAGGATCGACGCGGTTGTGCGCCAGAAGAGCTTGACGAACGGGTCGACGCCGGCTTGGAGGTCCAGCGCGGCGCCGAGCGACGAGATAGTGAGGAGCGCGGCAATGAGGAGCGCGTATCCGACGAATGGCACGCGCTTCTCGACGACGAGCTGCACGTGCATGAGATGGTCGGACCCGCTGTCGTACACGGTCTCGACGCTCACGTGCGTGATGTTTGTCGGGAGATGCGAGAACCGCCGAACGAGCGCCGCCTCGGTGCTCTCGTCGAGGTACACGTCGGAGGGCGCGGAGTCGGGCACGGCGAGCACATACTCGGTGGCGTCTTCGGCCACCGGAATCAAGAGCGCACTGCGCGACGTCAACAAGAGCGGCGCGGGCACTGGCAGCGGCAGCGGCGTCGTGGATTCTAAAAACGCAGCTTTTCGCCGCTCGACAATGTGTTTCGCCGTGACTTGGAGCCGGCCAATGGTTCGCACCGCCGTCTTGAGCTTGGCTTTCGCCGTCCGTGGCCGTGTCACGGGCAAGAGTGATGTCGTCTCGGAGGGATGCAGCACGATCTGGTCGACGCCGACGACAAAGCCGTCAAACGCATGCGGCGCCGTGACCACGTGCTTGGACTCGCTCTGGAGGCCCGCGACGAGGTCTTCTTCGGGCACGCCCGCGATGCGACTCAGCGCCTCGAGGTCCAGCGCGTAGACGTCGCCCATGCTCGTCACGTTGTGCTCGACCACTCAACCAAAGTTGCGATCTTTTTTCGCCGCTTTTGATTGGTTCAAATTCGAGGGCAACGATCCAATCACGATCGTGCTCTTCTCAACCAGATTCACAGTGCCCTTTCCGCGCGCATGCTCCATCTCAACTCGAAATCAAAGCTCAATCTCAACTTCAATAAAAAGCACATTATGATGCGAGCAATCTACAACTTGTGCTAGCGAGCCTTCCATGCAGACGTGCATGTAGTGTCGAATCTACTACTCATCAAAGACGAGGGGCTTCTTCGCTTTCGGGGGCTCGGAGCGACCGACGCGGAGGTGCTCGGGCGCATACTTGCGGTGCATCAAGCTCACGAGTGTCTTGAGCTATCCATTCTTCGCACCTCGCAGTACCATAGATAGTCCTACCTGGTGCCATTCTTCACACTGCATCGCCTTGTTGGCGTCCGCGAGCAAGTCGAGCTTGCTTAAAAGCAGGGAAATGTCTTGGGTCTTGGCGTCGTTCAAGTAGGCTTGGAGTGCGAGGTCCATGAGCCCAATCTTGGTGCAAATCATTTCGTAGGGCGGTGCGGTCACATGTACGTTGTTATTCGCATACGTCTGCGTGAGCGAGTCGACGAGCGACGCGACGATGTCAATCACAATGTGGTAGCCCACGGGAAACTCAAGCGGCTCTTCCTACGTAAACCAGTCGTCATTGCCGTGGCTCGAGACAAGATAGAAACAAGCATGTGTACGTTGGCCGCGCTCTCTTGGTCAATGCGGTGCTGCAGGACGTAGACAGCCAGGCCGGTCGTGAGCTGCGTGCCACGGTCCGTGCGGGGCAGGCGCCGGGCGATCGTGAGCCAGCCCGCCGCCGACTTGAAGAAGCCTTCGCTGCCGCTTGCGATCTTCATGATGAGCTTGCGCGCATAGTCGCGCCGCCACTCGCGCGGTGTAAACTGATCCAGAAGCGCTTCCAATGCGTACGACGTGAGCTCGAGCAGCTGCGGGCGGATCGTCGTCTCGAACTGCAGCCGGAGAAAGAAAACGACGGCGCAAAACGTGTCGTAGTCGGGCAGCTTGATGCTCTCCGTGCGCAGCGCAAGGATGAAGACCATGACCGTGTACTCCATGTTGAGCGACGGGAACGGCAGCGCGGCATCGGCCGTCGCTGTCTCGCGCGTCGATGCACGCTGGACGTTGCTGAGTCCACGCTTCGTCTCGTGGAAGCCATAGAGCCGGAAGGTCGCGAGGAAATGGTTGAGTTCCAAGCACTTGGCTGCCATACCGATCGGCAGCGGTGCGTGCAGCGCGAGGAGCGCCGACGGCAGGCCGCTGGTAAACTAACATCGTAGTCAGCCCATCGGTTAAAGCGGGTGAAGCGACCTGGACGACGTCGCCCGTGGCCGGCGTCAGGAGGAGGAAGAGGTTGAGAAAGGCGCCGCGGACAATGTGGTCGTTCGGGTGGCCACCCACTAGTCGCGTGCCGGGAGAGATGAGTCGAGTGATTTGAATGCTATCATACCAAGGGCGAAGAGATACGCGGTGATTGGCACCGGCGCTTCGACGAGCCCGCATTTTTCATGCAGATAGAGCAGCAGGATTTTGGAGTGGAGGAGCGAACCGAGCTCTTCGACGTCGTCTACATCGCGCATGGTATCATAATGGATCGGAGCGAGAGATGGCACCTGCGACCTTGGCGATTGCGTCGTAGAGAAGAGCCAGGTCCGCGTCGTCCGTTTTGACGCTCTGGAAACGGGGCAGCGGGATCGGCTAAGCAGCGACGATGGTGAGGACGTGGAAGAAGCGACGGGCTACCTCGGTCATCGGCTCAAAGACGTAGCCAAACTGCTCGGTCTCGGCCTGTTTTCAATCGAGTAGAGGTGTTCGTCGGCCTGCAAGTCCTTGAGGTTGGCTGCGATGTCGCTGTCCATGACGGGTTCGTGCTCCTTCATCTCGTCTCTCTCTTGCATGATCTTTTGCAGCTTGCGCGTGTGCCCCTTCTTCTTCTCGACTTCGGCGCTGTCGGCCGCGAGGAGCGCGTCGAGGCTGTCGAGGAGCTTGATGCCACTCGACGCTTCCTTGCGCTTGGTCACGCGCTTCCTAGAAAAACATGCATATCGATGGAATGCATGAACGCATACTTGATGGGCCGCGTGTCCTTGAGCTGGCGCAGAATGTCCACGTCCGAGTCTTCGCTGCCATCGTCCGCGACCTGCTTGGTCTGCTTGGGCTTCTTCAAGGCCGCCTTCCGCGGGTGCTGCGGCGCCGCCTTAGCGCGAATGGCCGGCTTGCGCTCGGGGCTGGGCGACGCCTCTCGGCTCGGCGGCTCGTCGGCAGAAGCCTCGACCCTGGCTTGGACTCGGGAGCTTCGTCGCATCGCTTGCAGCATGTTGCCGGGATCCTGCTCTCCTTGCCGACACCAATCCCGTTGTTTTTATTTCAATCAAATCATTTGAAAACACAAATCGAGACGGTTCTGATAAACACCAGACAGGCAACTGAGCAAGTCGCTGCTGGCGCGCTGAGCACTCGTGGCGCTGCATGCGTGGATCGACGGCTTCAGCTGCATACCAGCATGCGCTTGAGCACATCTTGTCGTAGCTTCTGTCATCTTCAAGGTTGGTTGCCATCACGCGCGACCGACCAACGACCAGGAACCAACGAACGAGCTGTACATCTCGCTCCTGGACCGAGAGCTCGCAACAAAGCAGAGAAAGAAGTGGCTCGACGCGTGGTCACCACGGATTGAACACGTTGACGCCGTAGAGGAGCCACTACCTAACGCTCGGTTCATGAGAGTTAGCGAACCCTATTCCCCAGTGAACAACCGGTAGCCATAAACCCAATGACGAGTTTGCGACAACGCGCGCCCAAAATCGTAAGACCGGCCTTTCTTCATCACGAAGAGGGAGCCCGCCACGAACCATCGCTACCATGGGAGCTCGATTGCTTCTTGTTGACCTGGCGCCCACCGAGCCAAGTTCGCGGCGCAGTGCAACCCAGCACCCATCGCCTTGGAGCGCGTAGCGTGGCTTGGCGTACGCAATAGCCCCCTACCGTCGTCGGTATCGTGTGGCGCTGGTCGCATCGCGCGAGCTCGCCCCGCCATGTCCTATTTCCATCTCCAGCGCCGTACGGTATGACTCCAGCTAGCAGGAAACCAGCAACGGTGAGAACGATCTCCATTCTAGCATTTGCGCAGTCGTCGTTGCAGCCGGCAAGAATCGGCAAGAGCAAGTACTTCGGTTAGCCGATCAACGTGATCGACTTGGTGGAATGTCGGGAGCAGAGAAGACCGGGGGTAGAGCCCGAGTCGGAGTGGTAGATTGGCTCATAAAGCATAAATAATAAATCGGTAAAAATTAGGAATGGACCGCGCTTCTGGCACCAAGACCGAGCAGTGAGTGCTGCGCTGTGGGCGGTCGTGCCCGAGCGCTGGCGACGTCTAATGGACGGTTCTCGCGAGCTACCCGTACGATTCGGTTGAATATTAATATATTGCGGGTCATTTAATTCGTTTCTCGCATCCAATCAGCGTGCGCGGCCCGGTTCGGGTTGGTTTATTTTATTTTTGCCGACAGCAACCCGTGGCCGAAGCATCATGATGAGCGTGGGGCAGCTCTGCGCCCAGGACCATGAGAGCGCGAGCGACCTGGAGGACAAGCCGCTGGCGCTGGAGAAGAAGAAGGCGAGCCAGAAGCGCCGGCGTGAGTACAGCCCCAAGCCGTCCGAGGACGAGCTCGACACGGCCGACACCAACGACGACGACGACGAAGACGACGACGACGACGACTTGAGTGGTCGCAGCGACAACGAGCGCCGTGGCAGTGACCACAACCGCTGGTATTGCAATGTGTGCAAGGACGGCGGCGAGCTCCTCTGCTGCGACCGGTGCCCGCGCGCGTTCCACACGGCGTGTCTGACCATGGACCCGGATGACGTCCCGTCGCCCGACAGCAACTGGTACTGCAAACTGTGCAGCGACACGCTCGAGCGCCGAAAGGCCAAGCGTGACGTCAAGGAGATGCGCCGCAAGCGCCGCGAGGAAGAGAAGCGCCAGCGCGAACTGGCCCGCGAAGAGAAGCAGCGGGCCAAGGACGAAGCGTCCGCGCGCCGCAGCGCAAAGGCCCTCGAAGACAAGGCCAAGCGCGTCCTCGACATGAAGGAGCGCATTGTCAAGAAGCAAAAGGTCACGTACAAGGACCGCGAAGAAGAGAAGCTCGGGAAGATCGCCGAGAACCTCGCCGAGACCATTCGACAGGCCAAGGAGCGCCTCGACAAGCTCGAGAAGGAAGACTTGGCACTCCGGAAGCGCGAGCAGGCGCTGACCAAGAAGCGCGGGTACCCGATCGAAGACCTCGACGTGGTGCCCGACGACGACGCCCCGCCGGCGCCCCGACCGACGTACGCCCTTTCTCTCTTCCGCATCAAGGTGTGCATGTCGCCACGTCTTGTGTGTAGGCCGGTACCCTGCAACTTTGGCGGTCTTCCCTCCAGCGTCTTCCACGACCTCTTGCCGGTCTGGGACTTTATCTACTCGTTCCACGACCTCCTCGGCCTCTCGCCCATCTCGATCGAGCAGCTTTGCAGCGCGCTTGCGACCTCGGACGCCATGACGACGATCGTGAGCGAAGTGCACATGGCGCTTCTCGATTTGATTTTAGAAAACCGGTTGGACCTTTTTCCTCCATATACTCCATGTGCTCACGCCCATATGTACGTAGCGAGGACGCGAGCTACGTGCCCGAAGAAGAAGACGACATGGACGCTATGGACCGGTACCGGTACGAGGTCGTCCACGCGCCGCTCACGGTTGGTGTGCCCACCTCCAACATGCTCAATTTCATCTCGTGGCCATCGGTGCTGCGTCATCTCATCTGCGCCGTGCCTCGCTACTACAACAACGCGTCGGTCGACCTCCGCGCGGCCGTCGACGGCTTGGCCCAGCACGAGATTTATACGCTCCCGATCGCACACAAGGTCGCATTGCTTCGGTTCCTCGTGACGCTCGCGTACAGCACGACCAAGGTCGGCCACGTCATCAATTACAATGCGACCGAGCGCGTCGAGGCAGCCAAGGAGCACAGCCGCATGCTCTTTCATGAAAAGCGCGCCGCCGCCGAAGAAGACAAGAAGCTCAAGGAGCTCCAGCGCGCCGAGAAGGCCCGCGCGGCGTCCGAGCAAAAGACGGCCATGAGCTCGTGGCTCAAAAGTGGCAAGAAGGGCGCCCCGCCGCCGACGAATCACGATGACGACAAGAGCGTCAGCGAGAACGCGTCGGTCGCGTCGACGAGCGACCATGACGACACGATGGACTCGGACGAAAGCAGCGGCACGGACGAAGAAGAGACGTCGCTCAAGGAGATGCAAGCCAACGGCGTCATTTCGCGCCAAGAGTACCTCTCGCGCCGGAAGAAGCTCCAGGCAGAGAAGGACGAGAAGCGCCGGGTCCGGCTCGAGATGCGCAAGCGCCAAAAGCAAAAGGAACAAGTGGCTCGGAAGCGCCAGCTCGTGTCGGAAGAACTGCACGTGGCCATGGACATTCGCGACGTGGAGCGACTGCGGTCCTCCCTCAAGTCGGCACGGGACCTCGGCATGCACTCGAAGCGCGCGTCGCGCAATGGCGAGCCCGCGACCGCCGCCGACATCAAGCTTGTGGAAGACGCCGACGAGTTTCTCGAGCGCCTCGAAGCCGACTTGGTCAAGGAGCAAGAGATGGAAGAGCGCAAACGCGCGTTTGACACGACGATGCGCCAGTTTTTTGTGCGCACCGAGCCGATCGGCAAGGACCGGCGCAAGGACAAGTACTGGGTCTTTCGCGGCGACGCGTGCCGCGTCTACGTTGAGAACGAAAAACACGAGTGGGCCTACTACGACCGTTTGGACGACGTCAAGGCGCTCGCCGCCGCCCTCGATGCGCGTGGGACGCGTGAGCACCATCTGAAACTCGAACTCGCTTCGGTTCTCGAGACGACGCTGACGCCAGTGGAAGAAACCGACGGCGCATGGACCAACAAGGCGCGGTCGTGGTCGGCGCAGCTCTTGCCCAACATGTCGGTCGAAGACCTTGTCGCGCAGCTTGTGCACCTCGAGAGCTGGCTCTCGAAGCACTTGGAGGACAAGGCGTCCGAGTCGTGGACGACGGCCACGAAAGAGGCGTGGCTCAAGACGGTGCAAGCGTGCACGAGCGGCAAGGACCTCGTCGCGCCGCTTCTGGCTATCGAGCGCCAAGTCACGGGTGCCCACATGCCCAAGCTCCTCGAGGACAACAAGGACGACCGCGATGATGTCGACATGGAGGACGACGACGACGACGAAGACGACGATGAGACGTTTGTGGAAACAGGGCTCTGGCCTTCACAGCAGGCACGCGACCGGTGGGTCGCAACTGTCAGATCGAGTACGACGCTGTCGAGCGTCGGTTTGGCGCTCGCATCGTTTCAACAGCGTATGGACATCATTGGGCTCTCCGAGTCGAGCGTCGCGCGCAGAAGCATCAAGAAAGAAAAGGAGGAGAGCAAGATGAAGGACGACCCGGACACGCCCCAGAAGGAACCGCGTCCGTCCAAGGCCCACGAGTGGGAAGAATACTGCTGCATCTGCGGCGACGGTGGCGAGCTCCTCTGCTGGTACCTTAGCCACTTGCGTTTTCGGTTTTGAATATTGGTGTGCGTAGTGATGGGTGCCCGCGGGTCTTTCATTACACGTGCGTGGGCTTGCGCCGCGTGCCACGCGGCAAGACGTTTTGCCCGCACTGCGACAAGAGCGTCAAACCCGTGTACCCGGTGGTGCGGAGAGCCAACCTCGAGCGCGAGTCAAAGGCCAAGGCCGAGCCGCTGTCGCCAACGACGACGTCGACGACGATGGACATCAAGACAACGTCAACGCAGCAGTGGGACTCGTACTGCAACGACTGCGGCGCCGGAGGCACGCTCCTTCTCTGCGACGGTTGCCCCAAGGCGTTCCACGCGGCGTGTCTCGAGCTCGACGAGGTACGACTGAGCGGCACTCGCGCATCGTGACGTGGGCGTAGGACGATCTGAGTCCTGGCGAAGACTGGTTTTGTTCCGAGTGCGAGAATCAGTCGTGCGGGCAGTGCAAGCGCGGCCGCATTCGCATGGACTCGCATGTCATTTGCGGCTCGGAGGACGGTACGCGCGGCTGCGAGCGCGTCTTCCACTTGGTATCGATCCATGTATCAATGTATCGAGTGCTCACCACACTGTAGAAATGCGTCAAGCTCTCGGCCGTGCCAGCGGACGACTGGTACTGCAAAAAGTGCCAGAAGCAGCTCAAGTAGCTCCATATATATACCCCATCGTCCTTCTCTGTACGCCAACTGTGCTACTACGTCGAGTCGAGAAACGCCGTCGCCCACTCGGCCGCCACGTGCGACCAAAGAAACCGATGGCGCGCGTCCTCGACCATGGCTGTGCGTCGGGCGGTCAACTCGCTTGGGTCCATGCGCGCCGCAGCGACAATGCAGCGCAGCCAGTCTTGGATCCACGCCTCCTGATCTACAAACGGTATGGAGACTCGCATGCACAACGCCGCATCGCCCTACTGTCGTCGACGAGCGCGGTCGCCGGACCCATGTCGTGCTGTCCCACCACCTCGGCGAGTGCACCGCGCTTGGAGGTGATTGGGATCGCGCCGGCCGCCATGGCCTTGATGATCGACACGCAGCTCGTCTCGGAAAAGGTGGTCGGGTAGAGGTAAAAGCCGGCGTTGGCATACCTACAACCGTCGAGTTTTAGAGGACAGAAGAGAAAGAGAGGGACCCGTGGGCGAGCGTATCATGGTCGACGAGGCCGTGGTAGACGACACCGTCCTGGGCCAAAAGCATTTCCATGCGGCGTTGCCACTCGGCCGAGGCAGTGCGACGCACGGCGGGAGTAAGCCCATAGTACACCTATACCATAGTCAGCGAGGGTAGGCTTAGGGTACGAAGTATACGTCAAGCGTCGCGTGCGGGAGCGACTGGCGCAGGCTTGGCCAATGCAAGAGGAGGGTTTCGAGGCCGCGCGTCGGTGCACTCCCATACACAAACCGATGCGGATGATTCGGTCCTATGACGAACGCGGCAGGTGTGACACCGTTGCTCGAGAGCCGTAGTTTCGGCGTGTGACGCAGCTGCGTCACATTGGCGTGGAAGCGCGAGAGGCAAAAGATGCCATGAATCGACGCGAGGAACGCAGGCGTGAAGACGCGGCCGTCAATGACATCGTGGAGCCACACGAACGACTGGTTGGCGGCAGCTGCCAGCGCCACGGAAATGTGGTACCGCCACGCGACAAACACATCTACAATGTCTGTCAAATCCCAAATGTATCAATGTATCAGAGAGCCAATCACCGATGGGCGCGGACGTGTCGAACGTCGCATGCGAGAACCAGCGAACGCCATCGCGATCGACGCCAAGGTCGGCCGCCAGTGGATCAGCGTATACGCGCACGTCGAGTCCGAGGCGGGCGAGGGCTCGTGCCAAGTAGATGACGGCTTCTTCCGAGCCGCCGACACCATTCCGCGTCGACGACGGGCCCCAGTGCGGCCACCTACATACTCGGCAGCATTTTGGAACGCGCGCAGTGTCGTTGCGATGACCTACCAGGTTTGACCGTATTCGTAGCAGTAGATGACCACGATGCGCCCGCCGAGCGGTGTCGGCGGCGCGTGCAGCGCAATGCGAGCATGCGCTGCTCGGTGCTCGGCGACAACAGCCTCCATTGCCACCGCGTTTGCCGCGTCAAAGTCGCCGATGGTTTGTAGTAGCACCCCCAGATTGTGCTTGGCCTTGACAATGAACGCTTCGGGCACGTCGCCGCCCGCCTGAAGAAAGGTTGAGCGCAAGAGATCGATCGCAACGTGAACGTGTCCAAGCTGTGCATGGGCGTATGCCACGTGGAAGAGATGCGCCAGTCTCTCGACATGACTCAGGTGCCGCGCCACCTAGAGCTGTCGTTGATGTTTCGACGCTAGAGACGGCAAGCAACCTGAGGGTAGTACCGGGTGTGGGCTTCCAGCACCTCCGCGTGCATCGCAGCGTCGACAAGGAGCTCGGTAAAAAGCAAAAAGGCTCGGGGCTGGCTCGGTTCCAGATGCAGCGCCAGTGCACACTATGCGCGAATGGAATCTTTCGAGAACATGGTCATCTTGCACCTGCTGGAGTGCACTCGTTTTGTCTCCGGCCGCCACAAGCATCGTCGCAAAGTTGGCGCGGTAAAAGCCCACGTGGGGCATGCGCTCGATCGACTGCAACAAGAACGGAAGCCCTAATGGTGTCTGGTCGAGCGCGTGCAAGAGCAAGCCGTAGAGATGCAGAGCATCGGCGTGGTCGGGCCGCACGGAGAGCAGTCGGCGGTACCCGACTTCGGCGATCGCAAACTCGCCGCGACTCTGGTGCGCCAGCATATCCTGCACGATCGCGTCGTCCAGTCCGTGTCGCCGGGCGTCGACATGACGAGCCATCGGATGCACAACGAGGTGCATGCGTGCGGGTGCGAGCTCCAGCATGAGTCGGTAGCTCGCCTCCAAGTGTCGCGTCGTATCCGCCGTGTCAAAGAGGCGGGTTTCCAGCGTCGAGGCCGCCAGGACCCGCCGCAGCTGCTGCAAAGACTGCAAGTGCGTCGTCGCGAGAGCCACGGCCATGTCTTCGTACTCCTTGACCGTAAAGGTCGTGAGCAAACTCGCTGCGTCGGCGTTGACAAGCCGGAGCAAGCTGCCGGCGACCCGGGCCGCAAACGTATGCCCCACCAGCGTCAGCACGGGCAGGTACGTCCACAGCATGTCAGAGGCTGTCGAGTGCGCATTGTACACGAACGAGTCCAAAAACAGGTGCGCGTGGCGGAGGCGGCTCAAGTGCGCGGCCTTCGCGACCCGGGGCGCGAAGAGGAGCCGACGTGGGTCGACGCCCCGGGCCGCGGCTTCGGCGCGAAACGTGGCCATGACGCTGGCGTCCACAGCGCTGGGCTCGAGGAGCCAGAGCACGCTCTTAGGCACGCGCCGAAGAATGCGCATCCACGCATCGAACGACGTCGGCTCCATCTTGTTGATCGTGTTGAAGTTGCAGTAGACAAACGCCGCGCGCGGCTCGTACGCCATCAGGTCCGAGACACAATTCTCGACACATGTTTCGACGCTCCATGCATAGTCGTTGACTTGGTACGTGTGCGGGAGGTACACGGCCTTTTCAGAAAACGTCGACTTGACCGTCGTCGGTGGGACCACGAATGCGTCGAGAATCGCATAGTCGGTGAACGCTGCCCCCATCGTGCCAGGGTACCCGAGGTAGTTGACGACGATCGGGGCCGGGTGCAAACTGCAAATGCCCACGCGGGCGCCACGTGTGTGGGCCATGAGGTCGATTAGGATCTGGATGCGATCCGACGCAATGACTGATGCAATCTCGACGTCCGAGAGCCGCGCGACGTCGGCAAATGCGTGGCAGGCCGACGCGATCCGGTGCCGCCACTCGGACCCGTCGTTGGGCCCGTACGAGTAGCCATAGATTTGAGTTTGACTCTTGTCGTGGTGCTCGATCGCACCGACCGTGAGCTGCCCCATCGGGTGGTTCCGAAAGTCGAAGCTCAAGTACCCGATGCGCATTGGAAGCGTCTGGTTTTACGGGACGACAGCGAATGCGACTGCTGCCATTGCCGGGCGCTGGCGACTGCAATCGCCTTCTTGACGTCGTCGGCAATGGGCATGAGTGTCGCGTCAAATGGTAGCAGCGACGGCACCTGCCCCGTCTACAAGAAAGATACCATCCGAGCATCAATTATCAAAACTCGCACCTGGATTTCGTGCAGCGTCGTGGCGAGAAGGCTCTCGTGCCAGTCGTCGGCGGCGTCCCAGTGGCACAGCTGGCGACGGGCCGTGATGACGTTGAGCCGCGTGTTGCTATCGCGCGGGTCCAGCGCCAGCGCCTGCTGATGGAGGCGCAGGGCGTCGTGCACGAGCCCGAGCTCTTTGAGAAACTGGCCCTTGTTGTTGAGCGCACCGACCAGGTCGCGCATGGTCGATGCGATCCGGAGGAGCTTGTCTTGCTGCGAAAGCGCGGCGGCGAGGTCGCCCCTTCACACTCATTTGCAGCGACACGTGCATAGCGGATGACGTAGTACGTACTTGTAGTAGTAGATTGTGCCGAGGTCCAAGAGCGCGCCTGCGTGGTGCGGGTCGAGCTGCAGCACCTCGAGGAGCAGCGGCAGCGCGCCGTCGTTTTGGCCAATGCTGCAGAGCGCCGACGCCTTATTGTACAGCACCGAGAGGTACGTGGCGTTCGAACACAGCGGCGGCCGCACGCGCAGCGCAAGGTCATAGTGCTGGATCGCAGCGAGCGTCTGCGCATATCCTTTGCCATCGCGCGCCGAGTAGCCGAGGTTGTTGTGCGCCGATACGTACGTTTCCCAGTCGCCGTTGGTACTCGCGAGCTCGACGGCCTTGGTGTGGTACGCGATCGCGTCGGTCACGCGGCGCTGGCGCCCAAGAATGTACCCGAGGTTGTTGTACGCCGGCGCAAAGGCCTGATGCGCGGCAATCGCCGCAGCGTAGAAGCGCGTGGCCTCGTCCAACTTGTCGGCCGCCATGGCCTGCTGACCGAGCGCATAGTGCTCGAGCGCAGCGATGACCTGGGCGTGGTTGGCTGGCGTCGATGGGTACACGAAGCCTGCGGCGGCATGCCATGCCAGCGCCGCCCACCCTGCGATCTTCCACATTTCACAAGATACGTACTACACTAAATACGTTGCACACCATTTTGAGAGTTATGCCAAATAGCAAGGACACCATTTGCGGCTGAAAACAAATACACGTCCTGCTACCAGTGAGAATGCCATGCGCGCAGCCACCCAAAGGGCTCGCTCCATGTCGTACTTGCGCATTTTTTTTCATAGGGGCGGAGGTCGACGCGAGTCGCTGCCAAGGAAGAAAGAGGGATTACATGTATTCCAACACGGTTTTCACACTATATCGCAGTTTGTAGTCTTGAATAGTGTTAAGCGATTTTAGATAGTGTGTTCTACATCCAACCGCAACGCGTCCAAAATGAATCCATTTCGCATTATCCATCGCCAATTGGATAGTGGTATAGTCTAGCACAGGAGAAGCTACTCGCTACACACGTTGCACAATCAAGACTGGATTTGCTTGCACCCACCACACCTGCTAGCGCGTATGAATGGCCACGGGGGCTTGGCGAGCATCTGAGAGGCGCTGATATAGAAGAAGGTACGTGCGTTCTCTCCGTTTCTTCCGAGAAGCTCCGAGAAGGTACTAGTCGTCCGAGGCGCCGCTCGGTTGCCGCACCCGGCATTCTTTATGCACTGGACGTCTTCCAAGCTGGTCTTCCAAGCTGGTTTTCTGCCGCGTGCTTCATTCGACGCAAGGAAGCGCGTTCTGACCAACGGCCATGTCGATGCTTCTGCTTCTTTCAGTATCATCCGGATAAACTACGTGCCAACGACTCAATCTTTATCCGGACATCCAAGGCGGAACCACGCCACGAGGCGTGCGCCGATGCAAACCCAACAGCGCTCTGTTCCCATCGCTAGCATCCAGTAGATACGACGTCCAGGACGCTTATGCAGCCCTCCGTGGGTCGAGGACCTCGCAGCCTTGCAAAAAAAGTCGTCGGCTCGTCATCCAGATAATTTACGATCTTTATACGGAAGATTCCACGACCAAGGTGGGCTACTTCAACCTCGGGATGCGCCACACGGAGCGATCGGATGGCCACGGTCGCGATGCTTGCCGGTCGATCGACGCGTATTCTGGTAGATAACTTATGTATATTTATATCAAAATTGGGCGACGCTATAGAGACGCGCGTGGCCCCGAGACTTGAGCGATGAGAAAGAATAAAAACAAACAGAAAACGAGCGAGCGCGCCGCTAGTAGTAGGCCGACGGTCCGTGTAGCGCAATGCTCGTGTAGTCGTGCAGCGGTAGCTTGTTGGTGGTCTCATCGACGACGACCCAGTCGTCCGTGACAAGGACCCACTCGTGCGGCGTATGGCTGGTGCCCATTTGGTGGCGCATCATCATGTCGTCGAGCGCCAACGAGACTTCGCCGTCCATGCGTTGATCACGTCGACGCGGGCGCGGATCATGTCAACGGCGGCGCCCAGATCGTAGTTGGTCTCGATCAAAACGTCTTCAAGGAGGTCGCGGTCCATCGCTGGAAACGACATTTCGAGCAGCGCCAGGTTCTCTTCCTTCCAAAAGAGGAATTCGGTCGCGACGTCGAGGCCAAAGCACTTCATCTCATCTTCAAGCGTCCCGCTGTGCACGGCTTGCACCGAGATCGGCGACGACGTCATCGTCATCATGCTCAAGCAGTCGCTCGGCACGACGATCTGCGGCCGTGTCGCGCAGGTTCGGTCGTCCAGCGAGGCGGCGCGGGGCAGCACATGCTCGTGGCGCATGGGCAGCCGGTCCATTGAGGCAGCACGTGGCAGCATGGAGGAGGCGCGGGAAGGCTGCATGGCGGCGAGCGATAAATAATGTACGAAAAGGGGGTCGTCTGCGCACCTACCAAGCGGACCGCGGTGGCTTATGCTCGCAAAATCCAAACTGCACACCGCGGCCGGTGGGCGCGAATATCCGGATAACGTGTTCTCAATCCGGATACGACCGGGTGTTTCGGCTGTCAACCGAGCACGCCGTTTGTATCGGCCGAAAAAGTACGACACCGCGCCACGCGCCTTCTCATTGGCTATGTGGCATCCAATCAAAAGCGGCGGATTTACAACGCTGATTGAGCAATCGAGCGCGCCACGAGACTGTTCGCGTGGGCCGCCTTGCGCGACATCGCATGCTTCTTGTCGTGTGTACAATAGCGTCGCTGTCTACTCGACATGAGCTAGACGGTTTAGTCGGAATTTTCGACTATAGACGACTACGTGGCGGCGTTGGCAGCGAACAGTTGCGTCTGAAAATTTAGGATTGCCGAATCACCGCCGGAGCTCCCCGCCGGAGCTCACCGCCGGGCTCGACGACTGGATAGTATTCTGGCCCATATCCGACGACATGAACTGACAAAACGGGCGTCTCGGTGGCGACGACCCTGCAATTCGCAGGCATGGCTTGGAAGCCTGAACGAGAGCGGTGGCATCTCGTCATCTGGTTGCGACGGTGTCGAGGACACGCGGAGCGTGACACAGCTGGGCACGCGCTGACCGTGCTTGAATTGATATCGCATCGAAGAAAAAGAACATGCGACTGGATCGATCCAAACCACTCATCGCCAACAAATGGCACCTTCCTCGTCTCTCTTGGGTACCAACTTTGAACGTCGAGTTGCAGTGACCATTGAAGGTCGGCTGAGAACCTTTCGGAGGCGCACGGTTCGCTCGTCTGAGTCCTCGCGACTTTGTTGAAGAAGAAACCAGTCGGTCGGATGTTGATGCCACCCGTCGTTGCACGTGCTCCACTTGGGTGGCGCCCAACGAAGAACGACCCAAAGCTTGATTCCCGCCTTCTTCGTCCTTCGTACACCTACCTCGTTTAGTGTCGCAGAGCTACATTGCGGTTGCCAAGCGTGTTGGATCGCTGACAAGCGACGTAGGAGCGTGGCAGCTCGGGCTTGGCAACGCTGGCGACTCGCTGACGACACCTCTCACAACTGTAGTGCCACGCATTACTCGTCGCATTAGTCGACTCCGTCGCGAAATGCAGCAGTTGGTAGATTCACTCGTTTGCCTCCTTTATGTCCAGCACAATACGTGCGCCATGATCAGGGTCCGATGTGAGATGGACGATCGGTGACGTGGCAACGTGTGAGGCGTCCATGCCCAATGACGTGGCACGCTGCAGGGCGAGTATTTTCGCCCAGACCAGCCAACGCACCCAGAGCACGGTGAGGTCTTGCCGTGGCCAACGAGATAGCAATCTTCATTCAAGAGTGCAATTGGGTCGAACAGGAGGGTGCGTGGCAAGAAAGGTCGCAAGAAATGGCACTGGCCACCCCTTGCTGCCTTGCGAGACTCGACAGTCGAGCGCGGAACGGGAGCTCCGGTTGCCGCTGCCCTCGGTCCCGATAGGCAAGCAAAACGCCGCGCCAAAATGGTGAAAAGGGTGACCAGTCAGCAGGGGTACAAGATACCAAGCATACCGGGCACGAGCGCGATGGCCGTATTGTACGATCGGCTCATCCAACGCCCGACAAAGTGCGAACTCGGCACGCAGTCGATAGTGTAACCGAGCGTGATCCACACGTTGGTCAAGACAACGTCAGTCGGCTCGCCAATGAGAAGCTCGAGGTGGCTAACGCCTGGTGCCAGTGGCATCTGACGGTACCCAAGCAACAATCACCGCGCGGCACGGTAATAGTGTCCGTAAACGTTTATGGCGGCACCGAGGCTGAGGAGGCACCGGTAGATAAATTTGCAGCAAAGAACGATTCACGGGTAGTTGACGTTGCGGAAGGTGCAGTATGGTATTGCCCGGGCGCACCCACGCGGCCAAAATGAATACTGTCATGTCGAGACAGGGGACGTTTGACGCAAACTGAACTTGATCCAGCGTACCAATTGCGTGCGCTAGAGTCGAATCTACTGCATACGATGTGTACAAGGCCGAGGTGGGAACCGCGTGCCGTCGGACTGTGATCGTCGACGGACACGGCGTGCCGTTAGACATCGATGCGGTAGGCGGCATTGTATCGGCGTAGTCGATACGCGTCCGTAGCGCCCATGTGCGCGAACCGATCTTGAAGCGGCGCCAAATGCGCCGGCTCGAAAGCCTCGAACGTTGTATGGGCTGCAAAGCGTCGTTGGTGCACGGGACTGCTGGAACGGCAAGTCCTCGGAGAGGTACTCTATGGACGGCATCAAGAGGAGGTTGGCGCAGAAGAGACCATTTGTTACCAACAAAGGTCGGTTCATACGAATGGGTGTGTTGACGTCGGGACTCGTCGGCGCTACGCGTCGTCGCATAACACCCATAACTTGAGAGGCTGGAAATAGCTGTACGAGTACACTGCATTCACAGCGCGCCACGTCATGAATTCTGAAACGGTCACCGAGAAAGGGCAGCACGCTCGAAACGACCTTCTCGATTTGGATATGCGATTCTCCATTGTTAAACTGTATCTGGATGGTACTCGATAGACCACAAATGTATGGCCTTGGCGCTCGTAAGGTTGCCGAATGTGGTTGACGGGAGGCAACTGCCACGAGTACTTTTACTATCGAGCGTTCTAGTAAATCCACTCGTAGGCGTCGTCAGTTCCTAATGTGATGCAAGCGTCGTGTTCCACGTCGGCCGACAAATGCGCGACCGGTGACGTGGCATCGCGTGAGGCGGCCGTGATCAATGACGTGGCGCGCTGCAGTGCCAGCGTTTTGGTCCAGACCAGCCGGCGCACCCAGAGCACAGTATGCGCTTTGCTGTACGCAACGAGATAGCAGTCTTCATCTTCGTGACTGAGTGTGCAGTTGGCTCGAGCACTTGGGTGCGTCGTAAGGAATGTTGCAAGGTATGGGGCGACACACCTCTTGGCTGCCAGTGACGTGCCACGAATGCCGCAGAGCCACAGCAGCACTCGCGCACGCAACGAGATCACTGGTAGGCATACCGTGGGCCGCCACCGGTTCCAGTACGCGAGCAAGAAACCGAGCCCAAGAGGTGTCAAGCTGGTGAAGCTGGCGAAGAATATCAATCCAAGCGTCGAGTCTACTTGATACTGTGCATGCTCGGCGAAGACCACCGACTGCATGAGCGTGTAAAACATTGAGAGGAAATCGAACGAGTTGGTGCAGAGCGCAAGGACACCTGCCGCGTTGAGCGTTGTGAGCGCTGCGACCACGAGCGAGTCAACGGGCACGTATAGGTGCGCCAGCTGTCGCCAATGGAGCACTCGGGAAAGCCATATTAGCGCCAAATAGCTAAACCAGACGAGCCGGGAGAGATACACGATGGCGATGAGACCCGCCACGGGCTGAATATCCATGTTGCTCGCTCGGCTCATGGCGCGCCCGATGAACTGCAAACTCTGCACGCAGTCCATCGTGTAGCCAAGCGTGATCCAGCCATTCGTCAAGACGAAGTCTGTTGGCTCGCCAACGAGCAACTCGAGATGACTGACGCCTGCTGGTCGTGGCGTCCGGCGGTACGCGAGCAGCAATCTCCGCACCGCGCCGTAGTAGTGTTTGTAAAAGTATCTGGCCGTGCCAAGGCTGAGAAGACATCGGATCGCGAACTTGGAGCACACGAGAAAGTACGGCAAGTCGATCGTGCGCATCGCAAAGTAGATCGTGTACTCGTTCACCTTGCTCGAGCTTCCAGAAATGGTGTTGCCGCGCCGTACCCATGCGGCCAGCGTGAACCCCACGAGGTCGAGAAAGGTGACGTACGACGCGAACTCGACGTCCTCGAGTGCGCCGTTGGCGTGCGTCTGAATCAGTGCCGCTGCAGACGACGTGTAGAACATGGACGTGGGAAACGCGAGGACGAGTGCCGTCGGAGAGTGGTTCAAAACCAAGACGCGCCGGTAGACGTCGACGCGGTACGTGTCATCGTAGAAGAAGTCAGCGCGCGCCCTCGCACTAGCGTCCATGTGTGCAAACCGGTCTTGGAGCAACGACAAGAACGGCGGCGCGAAGGTCGTAAAGTTGGGCGATGTCAGCGTAGGCTGCAACGCCGCTGGCGGCACCGCACTCGACTGGTGGAACGGCGAGTCCTCCGAGAGGTACGCTTTGAACGGCATTAAGAGGAGGTTGACGCAGAAGAGAACACTCATCGCCAGTGAACGTCGGTTCAGACGAATGGGCGCGCTCACATCAGCCCCCGTGGGTGCCACGCGTCGTCGCATCACGCCAAGGACAGGACAGGACAGAAATAGCTATATACTGTACACTTTACGCACAACGTGCCACGTCATGACTTATGAAACCGTTGCCAAGACACGTCAGTTCTTATCCTGGATAGGTCGCCCGAAGTGGTCGCTGGATCTTCTATCGGTTGTAACATCGAGCTGTACAAAGCGTGGGTCCGAGTCGCGCGGATGTCCGACCAAGGCCAGCATCCATAGGGCGCCGGAGAACAGACGCCAGTGCCTCTGCTCAATAATCATGTAATATTATCAAGGACATCGAATGTTTACCCAAGACTGCACATGCAAGAGTAGACACCATGTATTCAGCGACAATGTAGTACTGGACTAGATAGCATTTGCCACGTTGGTGCGGCAAGTGTGCGTGGATGCTTCTTATTTCCGCTGGACGAGCGACGCGTTGATCGCGTCCGACCACTTCTTGGAGCCGTTGGCAGCGTCCGACAAGTGGTACACGCGGTTGGGCTAGACACCGTGCTTTATCCAGCAACCTCGAGCGCACGAGAGACGACGTACTGTCACGACATCAAACGTCGACGAGTTCTTGATCGTAATGTACATCGAGTCGGACCACGGAATCTCGCCTGCACGAAAATATCAGTGTATCAACACACCATCCAAGCATATACTACCTTTTTGGCGCATGCGAATCGCATCAATGTAGATGAGGCGCGGCTTGGACGTCAAAATCAGCTGGCGCTTCTTGGAGAAGAGCCCCTTGCGCTTGCTCACGAGGCCGCTCATGCGAATGACTTCGTCGTCGAGCAAGAACCGGTTCCTAACAACACAATAAAGTCCCTCTTCGTTGAGATGGTGGTCGTACCAGAGCGAGCTCATGCGCGAGACAGGCGGTGGCGCGACCGTGGCACGAACGCGCGCGACCTCGACGGGGTTGTGGTTGTCGACGGCGTACGACGGCGCGGTGCTGTAGCTGTTGCCCGACGTGCGCGATGCACTACTGCGGTCTTCCTCGTACTGGATAAACGGCTCCGCGTTGAGCCCCGACGAGATCTGGAGCTCGGTCGCGACACCTGCGAACAACCAGTCCTCGGTCGCCCCGTCCTGCACCCACACGCGTCAATTCCATATGCAATACGAATCCGATGCGTACATTGTCCGTGGCCGGAAGGTGCGAGATCTTGGGCATGTACGGTGGCGTCGTCTGGCCGAGCGTGGCCCACTCGATACCTTGAAAGAAAGGGTGGCTCTACACGACCAATGGTATCGCGTCGAGATGATGCGACAAGGCAGTACCTTGAGGGCCGCGTAGCCGTTGCCGTCGGCGTCGGTGCCAGCACCGAGACGCTGCAGCGGTTCTTGCAGCAGGAGCTTGTCGCAGAGATCTTGCGCGACGGCAGGAAAGCCCTCGGGGTAGGCAAAGTCTTCTGCCGGGTGGTTGAGAATCTAAACGGAGAGACTTGAGTTTTCAAGTGTAAGAAGAATCGAGAAAGCTTGTTTGCCGACTTGCTGGAAGGTGAGGTACTCGTTCTCGGCGCGAAACATGGGGCGACCCACGAGCATTTGGAAGATCATGCAGCCGACGGCCCAGAGATCGCAGCCCCGGGACGCCTCCTGGTCGCGAAGGACCTCGGGCGAAACAAACTCGGCCGTGCCGCAAAATGTGTTGTGACGGACGCCTTCTTCGGTCTCGTCCTTGGCAGTACCAAAGTCTGTGATCTTCAAGTGGCCCGAGTCGCTCAAGAGGATGTTCTCGGGCTTGATGTCCCGGTGGATCACGCCCTGCCTCGCCATCAATCCACGAAACATTAAAGAAAGACAAGAGTACCATGTCATGGAGGTACTCGAGGGCCTCGATGACTTCGGCAATGTAAAACTGCGTGATCTCGAACGAGCACGCCTTGTTGGTCACGCCACGCGACGCTTGCTCCTTCTGCGACTTGCTAGACGCAGCGTCATCACGCAATGGTCAAGGCGCGTAGCGTACATGATGACATCGAGGAGTTCGCCGCCGCGACAGAGCTCCATGACCATGTAGAGGTAGTTCTTGTCTTGGAACGAGTACGAGAGCTTGACGATGCGGTCGTGGGACACCTTGGAGAAGACCTTGCGCTCCATCATGACAAACTTGACCTTTTTCTCTTTGCTAATGAAGCGCTTCTCCATGATCTTGACCGCAAACTCTTCGTTCGTCTCCTTCAAGCGCGCATGGACAACCTATCCACATGGGCATGAGGCCCTTCCGAGCGCGCGTTCGCCGGCTGTACCCGGGCGTACGCGCCTTCGCCCAGCGTCGTCCCGAACATGAAGTCGGCCGGTGATTGTATCCGCAGCCGCGAGGCCATCGTCTTGGTCGAGGTCGAGGTCGTCGTCGTCGTCGTGCTGCCCCGGCCGCAGCAATCTATTGTAAGACGAGGGGTTTTTAAAGTATTCAGTCTCTTCGGAGCCTCCCACAATTGATATTTGGCGTTCCAAGGTAGTGTTAAAATGGACGCGTGCAACATCACGTCAGGTCATGAGCTGCATTCGACCGACGCCCAAGCGGCTACGTTGGACGAGGCGTCTTGTCAAAGAGGCTGGCAGCGCATATAGCTAGCTCAGAGTGCCTCGTCCACCAGTGGGCGCCAACGGTGACGTTGGCACGGCCCGCGTGGAAGGTTCAGTATGTCATGCGGTCGTTACGCCGACGCTGAGATTACGCAAGCGATGATCGGGTGACAGTCCAGCATTCGAAAAGATCTTGGTGACCGCAGCCTCTATGCATTGCAATGTGCGGGCATTAGACATGGACGCAGTCGCACGCACCACGATGAGGACGACGACGAGCCACCGAGTGCACGCTCTCTCGTACCCATGCGCGTGCCAGATATCACAGGTCGCAACGTCACACTATTTGATGTCGATCGGAATAAGATATCGGTTCTGAGAGGTCGTGTGGGGTTGCACTTTCGGTTAGCACGGTGCACCAAGGTTCAAGTGATGCGACCGCCCCTCGATGACTGACGCGCCGCGCCGCCGATACTCTGGATCGGACTCGGGCTGCGTGGGAGGCATGCGTGGGAGGTGGCGAGACATGGCCAAGGGAATGGGCTCCTCACAGCGACGCCGGCTGCTCCCGACGAACGCAGCAATGGATGTGCCTGCGCTGCCATTGGTCTTTGCCCGACGACGTGGGTTCATAGCGATCCATTGCACGTGGAAGCACGCTCGGATCGTCATAGGTATAGTACGAGGCGTGTGTGTTGAGCGTTAGCCAGCTGCTACTGCTGGTCTCGTTGTTTCGGAGCAAGATAAATAACAACCAGTGCGCCGACGACGGCTAGAGGTCGTGGACGTCGGACGCCATGAGCCGCGCCGTGTTCATCCAATCGGGGTTGTCGACGGACGCGCTGCCAATCATGATGGAGCTGTCGCGCGCGAGCGAGCTCTCGCGACGCATCGAACTCTCGCGCACGATCGAGTCCATTGAGAGCTCGCGGTCCATCGAATCGTTCCAGACGACGTTCTCCTGGATCGAGCTCGTGCGTCGCGGCGACGACTCGAACGCGTCGTCAAACTCTTCCTCTTCGATCGTGATCACCGAGTCTTGGCTGCCGTAGTAGAACGACTCGGAGACTGCATGCAGCCCGCGGCTGTCTTCCGTGTCGCGGATCGACGAGTCGTCGTCTTCCGAGAGCTCGGAGAGATCGCTCACCTTGTACGTCGCCGCAAAGTCGATTGGCGGCGCCGTGTTGACCATGTGGGCGTTGGTGGCTGCACGGGCATACGTCGCTGCGTACGGCGATGGCTCGTAGAGGCGCTTGGTGCTGTAGAGTACTGGGATCGTCGAGTCCCGGTTGCTCGCAAGCAGCGCAAACGACGAGGCCGCGCGGGTCTTGATCTCTTCGCTCTCGCGCTGCTGTCGCTGCCGGACAACGACGAGCGCGACGATGACTGAGACGCCGACAGCAGCGGCGGCAGCGAGGATGATGGCGGTGCTGCTGTTGGGCGAGTCTTGAGCCGCATCTAGGTCGTTCGATGAGACTTGACCGTGCCCCGGTCGTCAAACAGCGTACCTTGGAGGTTGACCTGCGACGTCGGCTTGCTATTGTTGTTGTTCTTGGTGTTGCTCGACGCATGGTTTTCGGTCGGTGCTTGGGACGAGCACGAGACGCAGGCGCTCACAATCGGCATCGTCGTGTCCGCTGCTGGACCCGTCGTCGGCGGTACGATCGTCGCCATCGTGGGCGACGGCGTGGTCGGAGGTCGGCTTGTACTGGGCGCCGACGTCGTCGGTGCTGCTGTCGTCGGCAATGCGCTGCTCGGTGTTGGGGCTGGCGTCGGTGGCGACGTGGGCTTTGCCGTCGGCGACGGGGTCGGTGCGGGTGTCGCTGGGGCGGGCGACGGTGTCGGTGGTGGCGGTGTCGTCGTCGGGGCAGGCACCGGCGTCACGGTCGTGCTGTTAGGCGACGGTCTCTGTCCGGCGACGGCGACGAGAAGCACGAGGAGACAGGCTAGTACGAGCAGCCTCGTCCGCGGCGCCATTCTCTCTTCCGCGTCGAGTCGGCGGAATCTCAATTGAGACGGGAAAGTTGATCAACTCAGAACCATATTGCCGTACGTATACAAACATCAAGGTATATCGACAAAGCAACGCTGCTGTCACAGAACGCGGCCGTGACCAACATGGCTCCATGTGGGTTGAAGGAACCAAAGCGTCCGGAGCGCCGCCGACATGCAAGCGAACAACGAGATGAGCAAGACGGCGACGACGATAAAGACGAAGACACTCGCGTAGGCGTCTGCTGGCAGCACAAGCAGCTCAGCGTCCGAGCTAGGACCCCCACGCTGGATCAGGTTCAACGGCGCCGTCTATCGTAGTTCGAAGTTGATAGCGTGTCGTGGCATTGTCAACACGTCGTCTGCCTCTGCAGGACACTGCTGTACGAGCACATACACATCGATCGCGGCAATGAAGGATTAACGTAAGAGCTGCGTGTGTAAGCGAAGAAGCGCCGGTGACGCGCTTCGAAGCGGCCCCTTCGGGCAGCTGCTGCGCGTGGCAGAGCTGACCCGATGTGTACTTGATCTTCGAACTTCGATGAATCGATCAGGCAACAGCAATGTGTTATAACACGTAGCCGCGTTGTCAATTGCGCCGGCGTGCCACGTTTCCAAGATCGGACGTGTAGGCTGTCGCCGGACAACGATACCAGACAACGAACGATTCCAATATAGACTTTCCAGGAGTGGGTGGTCTTTGAGTGATGAAGCCTGAAGCCTAAGGCCTGTCTCTGTGTCATTGAATCCTAGCGTCTTTTCAAGCAGCTGAGTCTGAGGTAGTCTATTGCCGCGGCGCTGCGTGGTGAAGGCTGGTCTTCATCACGACCAAGGAAAAAAGGCTGCATCACTTGATGCGTCTCGAGTACCGGTACTGTCGTAATTTGGGCTCGTGGCTGAAGCGTCGCGATCTCGTGATGTTACACATTTCGTTATAACTTTAGCGCTGGGATTGGCCACAGATTTCATCATTGGCAACCAGCGGTGCAGCGATCCATATGCCACGCTCCCCAGGTAGACCGTCGTCGCATGAGGATGAGGATCTAAAGGAGACAGCTATGCTATTGCGCCCTTCCTACTGCGTCCGTCCTATGTAGCCGACCACCGAGGACAAACCTCCGAGCGTCGGGCCTCGCGTTCGCGTGACCGCTCGTTGCGCCGGCGTCGCTCGGTCTCGCGTAGCCCGACCCGTCGGTCGCACCACTCGCCGTCGCAGTCGTCTCGCCACTCGCGCAGCTCAGAGCCCAAGCGCCGCCGGTCGCCATCGCGGTCACCGGCGCGCAAACGCTCCCGCCGGTCGTCGTCGTCGAGCAGTAGCAGCAGCGACGCCGACGACTCCAAGCCATCGCGCCGCGCCAAGTCGAAGAAAACAAAGAAGTCGAAAAAAGCCAAGAAGGCCAAGAAGCGACGCAAGCACGACGAGTCATCGTCGTCCGACTCGGAGACGGAGCGCAGCGTCATCTCGGGGAAGAAGATCAAGCGCAAGATTGCCATGACGTCGCTCGACAAGAAGAACGAGCAGAAGCGCCAGGACTTGCTCAAGCTCTACAACGCCATGTACGACTAACATCGTTGTCTACAATATTGTCGTTGCACCAATATGACTCTACGATGGCTTATGCCGCATGCCCAAACGTGGACAACATGTCGGTGATCTCGCGCCGGTCCACAGGGCAATTGACGACGCGGACCGCGCAGGCGCCGCAGAGGACGCGGTGGCGGCACGGCAGCAGCACAATCGACACCGGCTCCGAGTAGCAGACGATGCACAAGTCTGACCGCGCGTCCATGGCCGCTCGGTACTGCGCCTTGAGCCTGTCGCGGACCTAAGGCATCACTGTACGACGTGTCGACACGGTAGAAGGGTATGTACGCTGCGCAGGCTGGCTTCGAGCGTCGCTTCGAGTGCCTCAAGGTCGTCGAAGGCGAGGTCCGACACGTTGCCGCGCAAGCGCTGGTTGTCTTTGGTTGTCGCCGCGAGCTTGACACGGAGGCCGTTGAGGTGCTGCTTGAGCGTTGCGTGGCCTCTGCAACTCGGTGATGAGCTCTATGTGCGCCGAATGGGCTGGACGTACTCGGACGTGACGCGTGTGCGCTCGTTCGCCAGCGCGAGCCGCTTCTCCATCTTGGTCGCCAAGCCCATGTGGTGCTGGATGCGACCTTCCGCGTGCTCGAGTTGTTGCTGCAACTGCAGTACAACAAATGAGTGGCGCTCAATCTCTCTAGGATACTATCGTGTCAGATAGTAGAGGAGACGAAGAAAGAGGCGAACTTGGATTTCTGCGCGACGGCCTGCGTGAGGGCCATGTTGCGCACGAGGCAGTCCTGGAGACGCTGCTGCGGCGTCAGTGGTTGCTTCTACATAGTACGAGGTACCACGGATCGTACGGTGTGTGTCTCGGAAAGACGCGACGAGTGGACTCACCGATGGCGGGCGGGCCAGTGGTTCCGGCTCGGGCTCGACCTCGGGACTCGACAGATCTGCATCGGGTGCTGTCATGCTTGTGGGCAATGCGCTCGGTAGCGAGTGGGACCGTCGTCGTTGCGTGCTGCACGGGCGGTGACGAGCTGGACCTAGCATCCGCGGACTTCTTTGAGGCTGCCGAGGGCGAACGATAGCGTACGGGCACTCGGATACCAACTCTGGTGAGCGTCGGCGAGGAGGCGAAAGTTGTACGTGGCTGAAGTGACCCCTGTGTTCATAGGAAGTAACTCCAAGACCACGTCACTCGCGTCTGGCTCGTCGAACGTCAGCTCAATGTCGTCGAGATCGATGGTGTCCATCGCTACGTCAAACACAGACTGACGGTATAATGTGTCGTTTCGAGCATCTGGTGCTGCCACGTGTCATTATCCGGATGCTTGCGCAATCATGTTGGATACATTATCGGCGTCGGCGCTGCTGGAGCTTTTGTCGAAGGAGTCGCAACTTGGTCGGGTCCACACGCGATGCCACAGCATGATTTGATGTACGCGGTGGCTTGTTGGTGGTGGGCGGGTCGTCGAGAGTCGCGTCGCCCCCGCCTTTGGCGCCGTTGGTGATAAAGGAGAGGCGATCGAGGCACCACTGGTGGAGGCTTCGAGCCCACTCGTCGGATATTTTTTTGCAAACATTTACCAGGGCTTCGTAGCGTCGTACGACGTTAAAGTGCGGGATCACCAAGCTCAGTTTGCGCAAGCATAGCGGACACAGCACCAGTGTGCCGCTGTGTTGCGAGATGCAGTCGTAGAGACCGCAGGGCGGAATTCCCACAAGGGCCAAGAGCGCACCGAGGAGGCGCTACGAGAGATCCACACATCGTCTCCAAGGATCACTGTAACACTACCTCGATCGTTGGCGAGTCCATGGCCGGGGATGGTAGCGTCAAAAGATGCACGAGCTTGCCTGCGGGACTCGTGCTCGTCATTGACGGCACCAGCACGCGGTCCAGCCTATACATTCACGGGTCATCTAAACGCATGGAGAGGATACCTACCCTCGAAGCGGCAGCGTTGTGAGGATGACGAGGCCTGCGGCTTGTGCTGGAAGCTGGCGGTGGGCGATCTCCATCACGTTTGGAATGTGCACTGCTCTGCACCACGCAGGATGAGCTCTGTGTACAGTCAGCATGGAACGCGTACGCAGCGCTGCCTGGTACGGACTGCAGCACAAGATGGCGTCGCGAGGCTGCGAACGCTGGGATTGAGAGCGACCGGAGGCTGCCAAGGTCCATGAAGGCGGCGAGAAATGGAAGGTACAGCTCATCCAGCAAAGGTATATCGATGCTAGCAAGGTAGAGTGCATTCTGCAGCTGGTCCCCACTAGCGTGTCCATGTCGTGCAGCACTTGCTTTCCAGGCTGCAAGTACCTCAGTGGTGCAATCGTCGCGACAAAGTCAGGTACCGACTGCGTCCCTGGAATCAAATCGACACGCTCCGTGTAGAGATCGGGTTCGAGCGCGCGCTTGAGCTCTCTCGAGGCGGGTGGCTTGCCCAAGAGCCGCTTGAGCTCCGCGTCCATACACCACTCTTTCCGAAACGGTAGACAGTCTTTTGTAGTATCCTAGGTGCTAGTCTACCAGTCTACCAGTCTATGCGGCGGCAGTCACTGGACTAGGGCAGTTTGCTGTGAAAGCAAATCGCAACACCCAGTAAAACGCACGTCATGCCGGCGTAGGTATCTACAACGTTGTCAGCCCCTACGTGCAAGAGCCGTCGCGTACACAGCGGGTTCTTGGGCGTCTCGCCGAGGAGGCGGCTCGTGAGCGCGGTAAAGACAAACGTAAAGGAGTTGCAAATGGGCACGGCCATCGAGATATCTACTCGAGTGTCAAGAGAGGATACGAGCACGTCGTCGACGCACCGGACGAGCCAAGAAAGTACACAAAGGCAATCGAGCCGCTTTGGTTGAGTGCGAAGGGAATGATAAACTAGCACAGAGCGTGAGCCACATAAACGCTCATACTCGAGATGGACCTTCCAGTTGGTAAGTGTGCAGTAAAACTCGTACATGTACTCGCGGAGCGCGTTGCTTTGACGGGTATAAACGGCGCCGCCGCTCTCTACGGCCGCATTTTCGCCCACTTAGCCGTCGAAAGCGAGGGCTTACCTTGCTTGAGCAGCGGGTTCGTGCAGCCCCAGAGCGCACCCACGAGCAAGAACGAGAGCAGCGTGTCTAGCAGCCGAGCATGAGCACCTCGAACGTCGTTCTCGCCGCCGTACCGAGCATGGCAAAATTCAAGAACTTGTGAAACTCGATGGGCAATATCGTTTCTAAGAGGTTCTGGCTTTTTCCACGCAACCGTGGCACGATCTTCCGCTCAAATATGGGATGCTGCGCGACGCGAGCCTGCGAGGATCGTGACGACTTCCGATGCAGCACCTTGTGATGACATGCTGACTACGGCCTCGATTTTCGGAGGCGAACGTCCATATATATACATCACTGCAGGCGTTCACGTTACGCTCAACGCATCGCTGCTAGCCTACTGGATCGTCGTGCCAAGAAGGCGAATGAAGGCCGCGCAGAGGGCGGGGTGGCCGGGCCACGCCGGTGACGTCACGAGGTTGCCGTCGACGCACGCTTCGTCGGGTTTCTTGCCGACCCACGACGCGCCGGCAATGATGCAGTCGATCTCAAGGGCCGGGTACGCCGTACACTGGCGGCCCTTGAGCAAGCCGGCCGCCGCGAGGATCTGTGGGCCATGGCAGATGCTTGCGATCGGCTTGTTGCGGGCGCCTACATGATAGAGTCCGTGACATCATGGTGCATGGAACGACGCCACACCAAAGTGCTGGACGATCGCCACAACACGCGGGTTCATGCGGAGGTACTCGGGCGCCCGGCCGCCAGGGATGTAGATGCCGTCGTAGCGCTCCAAAGCCGCGTCCGTCACCTATGTCCGTGCATGAGCCCGCATCGCCACATGTAGCAAGCGTCATACGTCGTCAAAGGCCATGTTGATGACGAAGTTGTGGCCGCGCTTCTCCGAGTAGGTCTGGTCGCCTTCAAAGTCATGGACGCACGTCTTGACAAAGTCGCCGGCCTTCTTTCCAGGGCAGATCGCATGGACTGTGTACCCGAGCGTGAGGAACGTCTGGAATGGCACCATGGCCTCATAGTCCTCGACGTAGTCGCCGACAAGGATCAAGATCGTCTTGGGCATGCTGCTCCGAATGTGGCCGCTTCGCTCTGACGCCACGCTGGCTTCAGATTCGCGAGTAGCCAGCTGATTGCGCCAGCTTCAAGATCCCATGGCCCATCGCCCTCTTCTTCTCGGGCTATCAGCAGAGTCAAGAAGGCTGAAATCTAGTCGACATCTTTTAGTCTAGCGGTATAGACACTGGTTTACCACCAGGTAGATCCGGGTTCAAGTCCCGGTGAGATCCCTACTTTCTGATTGGTTATGAGCCCAATATACGCACTTTCCCATGCGCGTGTACTACACTCTTCCTCACTCTCACACTCACTGGGCTACTCTCCTCTGTTACGGGGCAGAACAGACGGCAGATGGCTTCTTGATGTGACACTCTCTCTTCTCCTCTCTCACTACTCCCACCCACTCTTGGCGGGAGTGCGCGTCTGGAGCGTCGAGATTGGGGAGGCAGTCAAGAAGGCTGAAATCTAGTCGACATCTTTTAGTCTAGCGGTATAGACACTGGTTTACCACCAGGTAGATCCGGGTTCAAGTCCCGGTGAGATCCCTACTTTCTGATTAGCAGCAATCCAATGACCAATGATGATGTTGCATGCCAACGCGGCCAACATGGCGGCGTGAGCTTGCACCGTGGTCCTACGTCGCCCTTCGCATAGACGTCGCAGGTCGTGCATCCATGGCGACGGGCGTGACCAACGCGCATGCGTAACATTGCCTGCAAGCACCATGTCCCATGCCAAGGCGATGCAAGGCAGCCATCTCGGCGTGGGCGCTGGCGACTGCGCGGTCGCCGGTCGAGCGGGACGGCTCTTGGAAAGATACGTCGTTGCGCAGCTCTCGCGGGGCGCGTGGATTGGCCAAAATTCATACCATGACCCGAAGCACGCGTTGTGATTCGCGGATAAAAATGGCAGTTGGCCAATGGCATCTAGGTTCCAAATTTTGTTCAGGCTGTTCTCAATCCCGAGTTCGCCCCGTCCGCCCATGGTGCACGTGGTCTCGCCGCCGTCGCCGGCCGCGTCGTCGTCCTCCATCAATGGCAGCCAAGGCTCCAAGTCGCACTCGAGCTCCGAGGAGAGCCTCGTGGACGTGGCGCCCGTGATCGACGAGGTGCGCGACGACATCATCTGCGCGATCTTCAACCTGCCCGCGTCCACCATCTTCTACCCTGGTGGGCCTAGCCCATGAGGGCAGCCATACGAACCATGGCTCACGCATGCGTGTAGACTACTCGTGCGCTCTTGTCGCGACGCTCGCCTTCCAAGGCCGCATGTACCCGGCGAGCGACAGCGTGTGCTTCTACTCGAACTTTCTTGGCAAAGAGACCAAGCTTGTGATCCCCTACGAGACGATCACGGAGCTCGCCAAGACGACCACGATGTTTTCAAACGCGTTTTGCCTCAAGACAGCAGCGAAAGAGTTTACGTTCACGTCTTTCTGGGGAACCAACCGGTACGCATGCTCAGACCGCTCGCGATCCCTGACCTTGCCATGTAGGGACCAATGCTATGACCTACTGACGTCGCTACGCAACAAGGCGCTGGGTATCACGACGACGACGATTACTACGACGCCGTCTGTGGCGAGCCCTACGAGCGACCTGGCGCCGGTAGCGACACCGCCATCGCCAGCAGCGCCAGCCCCCGCCGAGCTCGTGCCAGCACTCGACGCGCCGATCCCAACCATGTCGAGCGATCCGGCGCCCATGAACGACATCATGAAGTACACATTTCCGATTCCCGTCGAGACGTTTGTCGACAACTTTTTACTGACGAACCCATCTTTGGCCTCGTCGAGTTCAACCGGTGCGTCATCGTCCTTGGAAGAGGGCTCTGCAGACTCACGTCTGTGGCTGTAGACGCAAGGGCGCGACAGAGCTCAAGTGCGATCTATGGACCGAGCACCCGGACGACGCCAGCTTGGGTACAACAGCGATCATCTCCAAGTAGTGCAGCAACGTATCTTCGAGCGTAGGGCTCACCCGCACGGCCAGCTTTGTCTTGCCGGTCGATGCGCCGATTGGCCCGAAAAGCACACGTGTCCACGTCGTACGTCCATACCCATCGATCTTGCCAAAGCGTATGGAGAAATAGACCCAAGTCCGTCGACCGCTCGAGCACGGCGGCTACCTCTTTGACACATCCACCAAGCTCGCGGACATTCCATACAGCGACTGCTTCCTCGTCGAAGACCGGTGGATTCTGCGCAAGATCTCGGAGACATCGTGCGAGCTCTGCGTGCAGCTGCGGGTATCGAAGCCATTCCAGCACACACACACACGGCGTACGTAGGTGGTGTTTCTCAAGAGCACCATGTGGCGCGGCATCATCGAGTCCCGCGCCAAGTCCGAGTGCAAAATCAAGCTGCTCGAGTGGATCGAGATGGCCAACCAAGCCATGTCGAGCGACGGGCTCCCGCCATACCCGCCAGGATCTCGCCTCCCGTCGCCGCGCAAGCTGCCGTCGCCCAAACGCGCGTTGTCGCCGCGGAGAAAGGCGACCAATAAGCCCAAGCCGGCCCCGATCGACGTCAAGCCGGCGACCAGCACAGCGACAGCCATCGCCGCCGACGTCCGCCGCAGCGTCGCCCTCAAGCGCAACAACATAATGCCCATCTGTATGTATCTTGTGTGGCCTCATCTTGAAGAACTGATGATTTGCCTCTAGTGTTTCCGTGGCTCGTCGTCATCTTCCTCGCCGTGTACGTCTACCGTGTCCACAGCACGCTCTCGACGATGGAAGCAACGATGGAGAGCCAACAGCGCGTCCTTGAGCAGCTCGTCAAGACACTCGGTCAGGTGCAGTCATCGCTCAGCGTCACGGGGGTGACAATCCCGACAGTTGGTCAAGGATACGCACGACCTTCTACCGGCATTGTTAGTACCCCAAATGGCGATCTACCGGTAGTCCTGTCCTGAACAACGTCGTTATAACATTGTCTGCAAGTCTATAACTTCACGGGATACGAGTTTAGCGCATCGCAAGCACGCCGCGTAACGCAGCATGCCCGGGTCCATGCGTCCACTCTAAGCAGTCTCTGCATTCTGAGCATATCAACACCGCTGTCCTAGGACCACGCAGTCGTGGGAGTCGACGAGGTCGGCTATGAAATCAGAGAAATGACACCACTAAGTCACCCAGTTCCAGGACATCTTGGACTAAGGTCGTCGCGTGGTGTCGACAACCGCAACCTGCATTCGAACCTAACCCTACTTTGATGTCGACTGGACTAAAGACACTTCGACTCGCTCACGAGCGCTGGTGGTGGTGGTGGTCGGCAGCAACGACGCTTCGAGCTGCTGGAGAAGCTTCCTACACGAACCAACCATTTGCATCACGCCCGCATGGAACGATGTACTACGTTGCATCGGCCACGTTGGCAGCCGCTTCGGTTGCCAAACGCTTGTTCGCGGCGGCGCCGACGTTGTGAGCTTGGCCCTACACGGACGGCGGTCAGTACACGGCGACGGACTCGGTAGCGTACTTGGTGGTGGCGATCGACGATGCAAGGTGCGTGTGCGTGGCCTCGAGGGCAGAAAGTTGCTTGACAAACGCACTTGGTGTCATGGCGCGCCGTCGCGCCTCGATGCGATTCATCATCTACGACATTGGTCGCATTCACCATTGATGAGGTCCTTCTGACCTCGTGCGAGGCAGAAAAGTCCGACTCGATGGCGTCGGCAAACTGCTCAATGTCAGCGAGCCTCTTTCGCATGTCATCGAGCTGCTGCTTCATGGACGAGAAGCGCATGAGCCCGATCGGTGCTTCGGTCGCTGTCGTGCCCTCGGCAACGACACTGGTCTGGCTTCGAGTCGTCTCCATCGCGGTCGGCGAGTCGGCCAGTGGCGATGCGACGGTTGGGGACGTCGACGTGCGTACCTCGGAGGGGCACTCGACAGCAGCAACGGCCTCGCATGCAACAGCAAGCGTGTCTTGCAATGGCACCGCCACGACCGGCGGCGTCGAAGCCAGATCCACAACGTGCAGATACGTGGATGCTGGGGTCTTGGACTGCAGCTGCACAAATACGGGGAACGGCGGAGGCTTTTTGAGTTGGATCGGCCGATGCGCTTCGACGCGAGTCTCCTCGGTCTGTGTGCTGTCGACGACGACCTCGTGAAGCACCGTGTTGGTCGCGCCATCCTGCACCAAACGCGCAGGCGGCTCGACGACGTCCTCGACGATTGCTGTTTGACTGCAGGCGTCTTGGATCGGCGTCGCGTCGGAAATGGGATTCGGGAGGACGACGCGTGCACTGGGCACAGCAGGCTCAAAGCTCTTTGGTCGCAACGGGACGCTGGCCATGCTCGCAGCCTTTCGAAGGAGCTTGAGATGGGCAGTCGACGGGTCGTGGCCGCTAAATGTGAGCGGCTGCACGACAGGCGGCGGTAGCACCATCGTGCGGGCGCGCTCGAGCGGTCTAGGGGCCGCAGCTGGCTCTCTACAACCCACCCATCGAGTCTCATACAGTAGTTATGATGTATACATACCGAAGTTTGGCCTTTTGCAGCTGTAGAAGCTGCAGCACATTACGAGACGACTGCTTGGACGAGATGGGTTTCGAGGTAAAAGCTGGGGCTTCGTTGTGTGGGCGACTCGGCACTGGTTCCGATGATGGTGGTATCACCGAATTCAAGCTCGCGCGCTTGGCGAGGGTCACGGGTGATGTCGTGATTGCCGTGTCGGAACGCAGCTTCAAGAGCACGCGAGGTACTACGGCAGCCGAGTGGACTTGGGTGGCGGTGGTTGTCTGTGGCACGGCGTCGGTCGCCGTGGCTTGGCAGCTTGTCGCGATAGGTGGGGCTCGACTCCCTTGAACAAGTGTCTTTGTGACGGCTACGACTTGGTGTGCGAGCGCGCTCTCCTGCGCGTGAAGCAGCTCGAGTACTTCAAGGCGCGAAATCGCATCCGAGTAGCTCTGCACGTCGTCGGCGCGATCTTCCACGACGACGACGCGGCCCGGGCTGCTATCGAGTCCCACGTGCTGGCACACGTGCCAAAAGAGCGGGTCGCCGCGGACGAGTCGCAGGGCGCCGCCCAACGAGCCAAGCTGCCGCTCGAGAAACACTTGCTTGGTTTCAACGTAGTTGGACCCAATGCGAAGATTGACTTCGGCGACGAGACGCTGCTCGCGTTTGGTCAAGCGCGTGGGGGCCATCGAGGACGCCCGGAGGTACGCCAGCGCATGCGCCGTCTCCAGTGGCGTCGACGACCAAGATAGACTCTCATGCAGCGCTGCCAGCTGGATGCTTCGAACGTCAGCAACTGGTAGGCCAAAGACGTGCGTCGGCACGCGAATTATGTGCCAAATGCCGCCTGGGAGCTTGGCGCGCAGCGAGATTGCGGCGGCATCTCGAGCCACGGCGGTCCATACCGTCCACACGATCGTTCGCGCGATTGCTGCCGCACGTGGAGCGTACGTGGATGGCGATGACGTCTTGAGGCCAAGCAGCGGCAAACTTGGCTGCAAGAGCTTGGCCACATGGTGCAACGGCGGCGCGTTGGCCCCAAGCACGGCAAAGAGACAGGGCAGACCGTGGTCGCTAGCCGCCAAGTGGGCGCGCACGGCGTGGAGTCGCCGGACCACAAAGGCGATCGCAGCGGCCTCGCGTGCACTGGCCACCGCGACGGTGCGCTTGGTATCGACCCGATACGCAGCGAGAAACGGCGACGCGGTGTGGAGGCCGTCGACGTCGGCGATCGACCCGACGACGTGGAGGTCCGAGAGCACCGGCAGCGTCCGGTACACGTGCAAGACGGTCGCCAAGTACCGTGAGCAGACGATCGTGTGGAGCGATCTTCGCTCGGCGCAGAGGTCGCGGAGAAATGCTTCGGTGCTTGCAGTCGTGAACGTCGCGCCGATCTGAATGACAAAATGACACAGCGCTTCGAGTTTCGCCACGAGTTGGAGCGCCGCGGTGCGGGACCATTGAGCGACGGGGGGTAGCTCGGCCCACAAGCTCAGCGCCACAAGGTGCCGCCCGAGCAGCATGTGTGGTGTGAGCCCCAGGTAGTGCAATGCAAGTACGCAGCCGAGTGCTTGCAGGTACGCAACGTCGTGGGGCTGCTGCCGGAGCCAGGCCACGTCGGCGAGGCGGCATGATGTCGCGACGTCATAACTGCCGAGAGCTCTCGTGTGCGCCGGGTCGACATCCAAGGTTGCGAGGTATGTAGCGATGGCCGGGGCGTACGGTAGCGGGCGGCTAGGAGCTCGCAGCTGCCCCAAGAGGCTGGCGTACTTGGGCGCCCAGTGGTCGGCCGGCGGTGCGTCCCGAAGCAAGTTGGTAAGTCGATCAATGCAGTCCAATGGCGCATGCAGCGCCACGTGGAGGAGGAAAAAGACCAGACTCCGGATCGAAAAGCATGCCACACGCGAATGCAGCGGGTGTACCGCAACCGCGACGAGCTTGAGCAGCACGTGTTCTCTTCGCGTCGCAATGCAAAGTGCACTGGACGCTAGAAAGGCGTCGAGGGCCGCGTCGACGTCGGTGGGTGGGCTCTCGAGAAAGGCCGAGACGCGGAGGGACTCTGCAGGCGGAGGGACGTCCGAGGTGCATAGGATCGACGACGATGGTGGCGATGGTGGTGGCGCCGCGACCTGGAGCGTGTACAGCTGTATGATCGTGGCAGAGTGCACGAGCAGCTTGGCGCGGTCGGTGTCGCCAAAGATCGAGATCTACGTCGTTCACTGCATGAGCGTTTGGTAGTCGGCCAAAACCATACATGTAGATCCGGCGGCATTGAGGTCGCCACAATAACGAGTGTTGCTTTGATCCGCGTACCCGATTGGCCTTGCACGACGTAGATGGAGCCTACCTCGCATGTCAATCGAGGAACGGGCGAGACTCGCACCTTGCGCTGTCAAGACCACGAGATGCGGCAGACGCGGATGCCATGCACTCGCCACGATCGTCTCGGATGTGGTATACGTCGCTTCGTGGTCGGTGGCGATGGAAGCAAAGACGGCTGTGGACGGCGCAACGACGATGGCAAGGCATTGGCTCGGTCGGTGCAAGGCGACCGACACGACGCTCGTCGACGCAGAAGGCCGCGCAAGTGAGCGCACTCGCATCGCTACAACGCTATCGTCTTCGTCGTCCATGTAGGTCGTGTGCACATCCAGCGCAGCTGCTCGCAACACCACGTAGCCGATCGCAAAGACAGAACCGAGAAGACGCGAGTGCAACGACGCGGCCCATGGCATTCCACACGGTGCGACCAACGAGATGCTCGACCACGCAGATGATGGATCGACGCTTGGCTCCATACCTGGAGATGGTACGCGCCATCGCACGGCAGCGTTGGGGTCCGAGGCGAGCAGGACGACGGTCGCGCTGGTGGGCGACATGGCAGCGACAAGAAAGGGCTGCTGCAGCGACGACGGAATCGTCTCGACGACCATGGTGTCGGCGCCAACGTTGTAGAGCGCGAGAGTAGTGTCACCGGCAAGCTGCAAAAGTATGTACTCGCTCGAGCTGCAGAGGAGCCGGCTCCCGCTAACGTCGACGTCGGCGCCGTGGCGCCAGAGCGGCGTCGTGGCCTTTGCACTTGGCCGAACCTTGTGCCGGAGCACGCACGTCGAGCCAAGAGCGACGAGCTCCATGGTCGCCGGGACATACGTGGCAGCGACGACGTCGTCGACTGCGCTCTGGAACTCGAGCATCGTCCGGCCGCCTCTCCAAGATCCGCCGTCTAATTTCGGCACGTGCCGATTTCAAAGCTCAATAAGTCCACTTGATAATGGAATCCACACACGAGTTGACTAGGAAGGACTCGCATCGACATGATGCACAGCACTCAGGGTATGCTGAAAGGGACGGCGAGGGCGCTGCATCCGGCGTCGTTGATGGTGCATGCTCACGAAGATGCGGTTAAATATGGCTATATATGGGAAATATGGCATTTGCCATGTATAATAAAATGGGCCATCGCGATGGCTGTACGCCTTGTCTAGCGATGCGACGTAGCATTTCGAGCTGCCAAAAGAGTGTTCTATCCACGTGCCAAGTTTGAGCGACTTTATTTTTCAACGCGATCGGCGCCTCCGTTCGACCGCCGATCGGTGGGCGACCAATTGCCTAGCACGGTATTGGCTACAATTTCATGAATTATCAACCATAAAAACAGCTCATTTGGAATGAAACGAGAATCTCGCCAGCCAAGCCCTCAGGCCCGCCTACTTGCAGCGGTAGATCGACATGATGTGAATCAAAGATGAAGTTGTTTCGAACTCGTCGATCGAATAATGTTAGTCGGCGTCAAGGACATTTGGCTCCGAGATATACCCGCTCTTTAAACGACTTGGTGGTTGACGTTGTATGAAGTAAAGGGAAAACACTCCTTGATTCGATTTTTTCGAGGTCTTGGGTATATTTGGCGGTTCCCTCTGCCGAAGGAGGTTGAGCTCATGTCTGAGGGACCACAAGACCGTGGGTTCGTCGCCTTCTGGCGGTCCGTAGATGGTCAAAATCGTCTTCTTAAACAACCCTTGGGCGTGACATCGACGTCCATCGGCAGAGGGTATACATGACCTCGGAAAATAAAATGTGAAAAGTCAACACACATCGATGTTCCCCTGCCTATAACGCATTGAAGGCCCACGCCTGCACGAGTGTCGGCGGCTTCCTCGATCGGACGTGGGCCGTGCCGAGATCTCTAATCTCGGCGCATTTCGAGTTATCTCGTGTCGCTCACTGGGGCCTCAACGCTCGTCTCTGCGCGTTCTGCTACTGCCTTGTGCAAATGACCCATCGCAACGTCGAGTTGGATCTGCGCCGTTCGAAGTTCGTTGACCGACGCGCTGCCTTGCAAAAGTGCGAGCTCCTTGCGCAACCCGCGCATACACGTCTGCAAGACGTCCATGTGCGTCCGCGAGAACGGGCTCGTTAGCACCGTGCAGCCATCCAGTGCTCGCGTCACATGCGCCCGCATCAGCTGAGCCTTCAGAAGGCTATGGCTTTGCAGCGAGAGGGACGCGATCGACGGGCGAAGCAGCTGGACGTCAATCCGCTCGGGCATGACCTACACGTGTATGTTATATCATGCGCGTGTGTCATCTTGACGCACCGCTTGCAGACCTGGCACGGCCTGCGTCAAGTCGATGCGGGGCGAGACAAGGATCAGGTCCGTCACGATGTCTAAAGGCTCACACTCAGTTCGATACAAGCACCGTTAGCGTCCTACCTGGACGAGGTACCGTCGCTGGCAGCCGAAGGAGGTCGGTGGTGCCAATGGCGAGCGGCGCCAGTGGCTGAAACAAACTCTTGACTCCACGGACATCGGTGTACGCAATGCAAAGATCGCACGCGATCTCAAGGGCGCCTTGGCTGAGCGTCAGCTGTAAGAGAACGCTGCACTCGGCGCCGGGGGGCACGACCGGCTGCAACGTCGACACGCTCGTTAGCGACGACGACGACACGGCGTGCAACGTAACGTCGGTCAGCGCGTCGCTACACTAGTATGAACCACCGTTGCCATCAAAGACCTTGACGTACGCGGCTCTGTGCACGACGGTCAGCGCAACGTCAACGACCATCGACGTCGGGGTATGATGCACTGCCACCGGTGCCCAGTGCTTGAGCGTCCACGGACACGGCTGCCGCAGTGAGGACATCGTGACGACGGCTGCCGGCGCACGCGTCGTCTCTGCTGGCAGTACCGTCTCGAGTGCAAGTAGCTCCACGCTTTCCGGTGCATTTAGCGCAGGCGTTGCCTGGGCATGGACGGTCTGCGAGCAGTGCTGGTACAAGAGCTCGACGAGCCTCTTCTTTTCGTCCATCTAGTTTCAAAAGTGGGTTTGCAGAACCAAAAAAGGTGCGAGGGGTCGTACAAAGCGACCAAGGCGGGTGTTGTCGGCCGTCGCATGCGCCGCCTTGTGCAGCATGGCTTGCTCAATGGCGAGGAGCTACAGGTTGATGGCTGAGTAGAGACGCACGCTGATAGCTATCGATACCTTTCCCGACCGGTCCGGTGGCATCATCTTGTCGAGTCGCACGTGTAGTTTGGTTTTGGCTCTGCGTTTTTTCACCTTCTTGTCCTTGGCCGGGTCTAGACGCATCCATGGTGAAGACGAACCGGACCGACCGCGCGTACTTGTGTGGACGTAGGAGAGGTCGGTGAGCAGCCATCGCCCGAGAATGTCGTCGACCGACTGCTCCGAGAGGCAGAGGAGCTGGTCGCGGCCGTTGCCCTTGAAGTCGGCGACTAGCACGCGGTCGACCAGTGCAATTTCTAAGCAGCGTTAGGATACCGTCGCACGTATGAAAGCTTGTCATACCTTGTACAATAGTAAGGGCATCGTCGTGCACCGAGACGACAAGAAGCGTTTGCTGTGCGTCATTGCAGAGCACGGCGAGAACGCCGAGGCCAGCATCCACGGCAGCGTGCTGGCTACGAGGCGATGAGAGCTGGCCGATGGCAGGTGTCCATACATGTCAATGGCGGGCCCGGGCAGCTGCAAACTTGCGACAACGCAGCCATACCGGTAGGCCACCAGCGACGGCGCCATCGTACCGACAAAGAGAGTTGTCGGTGGAGTGTCTTGGCTGCTGATGTAGACGCTGGATATCGCTGTCGTTGGTGCTGAAAGGTACGTGCATGGTGCGAGGTCGGGTTCATCTCGCTTGGCGCGTTTCTTGACGCTAGACAGCGGCCACAGCGGAAGCGTGTCCCACGCGTGGACGTCGTCGCTACAACACTGTGTTGGACGACACCGATATGGATTTAGTATATGGTTGTCGTACGGTAGAACGGCGTGCAGCAGCAGATGCGTGCCGACGCGCTGGCACTGTGGCATGCCAAGCGTCGCTGCGGGCAACGCGATCTCGCCCGTGATCGGCTGCAAGCCGCCGCCGCCGCCCTCGTCGCTGTTCCACGCAAGCAGCTGCATGGCCTTGGACGACGACGAGTAGAGCAAGACGCGCGGTCCGTCGACGAGACGTGCGTGGCATCGGTGGTTGTGCCACGCGGCAACCTCGAGAAGCGTCAGGTCGTCGACCGCCGACAGATCGGGCGACACGCGCACGAGAGCGACGTGGCCGCGCGCATGCAAGAAGAGTACGAGGAAGAGCATGTGCATGCCAAGCCCATCGTCGTCGACGAACGCAGCGGCCAAGAGCTCAGAGGCGCCATACCTCGCGCTGGGCACTGGCAGGTCGCAGCGTACGCAGTTCTCGCTCGATGCAAAGACGGCGGTTGCCAGGTCGAATGCATGAGCATGCGTGATGAGGCATGGCGCGTCACCCGACTGCTCAAGGTGCAGCGACAAGAGCCGGCCGCGCGCGTCGTCCTTGACCAACACCCGCCGGTCCATGCTGCGATCCGCGGTACCCTTATTTGTCACACCATCTAGGACCCGGTTAAATCCGCCGCCGGGCCACATAAACACGAGGTCTAAATTCGGCATCATATGCCGCATTTAGTCGCGATGGACGATGTACGCGCCATTGAGACAGCCGAGTGGTACCGTGTAGCGTAGGAGTTGACTGCATCTTGCATTTTTCCAGCACATGGAATTTGAGGAGTCGTTGCTACGGCTTGTAGCAACCACTGACCACGTCAACGGACTATACTAGTGATATTGCCGAGTCGACCCTTATCAAGCATCAGTATCGCCGGTCGTCCAGTGCCTCCACGATGCTGTCACCATGTTGTCCTCATCCACCTCGGCCGTGTGCAAACTTGGTTACCGAACGCAGCCGTCGGTCCAGCGCTCTGAGAATGCCGAAAATAAGCAGGTTGACCTCGGCATCAACACCACGTTGACGAGGCCAGCGCCGCACGATGGTCGTACTTATGCGAGCTATAGTGTCTAGTATACGAGTGTCTCTAAAGTGCGACAGTAAAACGCACTTACCTTTTCTAAGTACGCTTTATTAGGTGCGAATGTCGCATCTCCGGGAAACCCCCGGAGATATGACGTAGGATTTCGCCATTCAACCTTTGGCACCCAAGCACGCGATGGTTACGACGAAGACCGTGTACGTCTCCTCGCGGAAGAGCGACCTCGCGCTGTACCAGACGCGCGAGGTCATCTCGATGCTGCAGAAGCACTACCCGGACGTGACCTTTGAGATCGGGCTCCAAGACACGATCGGCGACCAAGTGCTCGACAAGCACCTCACGCAGGTGGGTGGCACGGGCCTCTTTACCAAGAGCTTGGAGGTACGCCGCCGATAGCATGGTCTTGTTGCTGTAGCATACTGCGTGTAGAAGGAGCTTTTGGCCGGCCGCAGCAGCTTCGCCGTGCATTCACTCAAGGACATGCCCACGGTGCTGCCCGAGAGCCTCGTCCTCGGCGCGGTCTGCGAGCGCGAAAGCCCCGAAGACGCGGTCATCATTCACCCGAAGCACAAGGCCAACGTGCGAAAGCTCGTATTTGCTGCAATGGCCGCTCATGGCGTGGCCATAGGGCATTACGACGCTTGAGGACCTTCCGAAAGACAGCATCATTGGCACCAGCTCGCTGCGCCGCGAAGCTCTCTTGCTCAAGTACATGACTGAATCTTGGGGATGTGTGAGGCTGACAATGGTGCTAGGCTCTACCCGCACGTCCAAGTCAAGACGATTCGCGGCAACATCCAGACGCGCCTCGCCAAGCTCGACAACGAAGGTAGTGTCTCCTTCCTTATCCGCAAGCAGTGTTTACGCTGTCTGCATAGATGATTACGATGCGATTGTTGTCGCGGCCGCGGGCTTTCGTCGCGGCGGTTTGGGCGACCGTATCGACCAAGTACGTGGCGTCTTCTTCGCAGACCGGCCTTCTCATGCTGTTTTGTAGCTCCTCGATCCGGTGGTCTTTGGCTACGGCGTGGGCCAAGGCAGCATTGGCGTCGAGTGCCGGGGCGACGACACCGAGGTAGGCAGGATTGGCGCCACACACGACAAATTCACAAATCTGGCAGACGCTCGAGATGCTGGCCAAGATCGAACATGAAGAGTCGGCGCAGTGCTGCAAGGCCGAGCGGTCCCTTCTGCGGACGCTGGAAGGCGGCTGCCAGATTTCAATGGGCGTCAACACGACCCTCGACGGCGACGAGCTCACGCTTTCGGCCATGCTCCTCTCGCGCGACGGCCAAGAGTCGTTTGAAGAAACCATTTCCGGCAACCGGTTCGAGGCCGAGAGCCTCGGCGAAGCCCTCGCCGACCGGTTGCTCAAGAACCATGAGGCCCGAAAACACTTGGGATCGACGGAGAAGAAGCGGGCGCTGACGTATGGCGATGTGGAAGCCCCTGGTGACGCGGCGGCGGCCGCGGCCGCGGCGGAGAAGATCGAGAGCCCGAAGCGCAAGTCGGACGAGACGACCGTCGTGAGCCCAAAGCGCCAGCGCACAAGCGACGCTTAGAGCGCCGTGTTAGTAGTAGACAGTGAGACAAGGAATAGGAAAGTGTATACGCCAATGTCTGTTGGTCATTTCGACGTGCATCGACCGACGCTCTCTCTCCCTCTTGGGCCACTGCCGAGTACCGACGGAAGTGCGCAATCTGGCACGTCGATTGCACTTTTATTTCCGTTCAACGCACATTTATTTCCGGTCACCGCACAATACTTTACAGCGACCGAACTTCGTCCGAACATTGAACTGCACAATTTCTAACGACGAATTATAACCATTCTGGGTTCTTTTCGCACCAGGGTCGGCGCGGCCCTGCGGGCCTACCCGCCTCCACCTGGGCGACCCATCGATAATGAATTCTTCTTACGTGAAAGACCGGGGCTCGCTCCTCGCCAAGGCACGGCCTGCACAAAAGCCAACTCGCCACCTCCGCTACGCTGCGGTGCGCAGGCTTTTCTGGGCCGATGCTCTGTCGTCGCTCGCAGCAATGTGGTCCGAGATGTTATACAACGTTACGTATATTGTGCGGTAGAGTGTGTGAGCGACGTAGGAAACAGTTCGGTCGCTGTAAAATATTGTGCGGTGACCGGAAATAAATGTACGTTGAACGGAAATAAAAGTGCAATCGACGTGCCAGATTGCGCACACACGGTAAGTACTCGGCCACTGCCTACCAGAATTATGTGCTGCTAAACAACAGTGCTGTCCGTGGTGCTAGTATCTGCAAGACCGTGACATGATTGGTCAAAGCACGGGTCAAGAGAGAGCTTTTTAGCTCACGTGATTTTGGTTTTAATGGGATCCTCATAGCCTAGTCCTATACCAGAATGAGAGACGTGGCCCGAACCTGCTAGTACCTCCACTCGACTTCACTCGACTTGCTTCTATAGTCCCGATAGGCTGGCCGATGGTTGCTTGGCGGCGAGACCTGGGAGCTGTTGTCTTCAGAAAATGAGACGTTTTCATTGGTTGATAACTCATGAAATTGTAGCCAATACCGTGCTAGGCGAGTAATCGCCCATCCATCGGCGGTCGAACGGAGGCGCCGATCACTTTGAAAAATGAAGTCGCTCAAACTTGGCACGTGGATAGAACACTCTTTTGGCAGCTCGAAATGCTACGTCGCATCGCTGGACAAGGCGTACAGCCATCGCGATGGCCCATTTTATTATACATGGCATATGCCATATTTCCCATCTATAGCCATATTTAACCGCATCTTCGTGAGCATGCACCATCAACGACGCCGGATGCAGCGCCCTCGCCGTTCCTTTCAGCACACTCTGAGTGCTGTGCATAATGTCGATGCGAGTCCTTCCCAGTCAACTCGTGTGTGGATTCCATTATCAAGTGGACTTATTGAGCTTTGAAATCGGCACGTGCCGAAATTAGACGGCGGATCTTGGAGAGGCGGCCGGACGATGCTCGAGTTCCAGAGCGCAGTCGACGACGTCGCCGCTGCCACGTATGTCCCGGCGACCATGGAAATCGTCGCTCTTGGCTCGACGTGCGTGCTCCGGCACAAGGTTCGGCCAAGTGCCAAGGCCACGACGCCGCTCTGGCGCCACGGCGCCGACGTCGACGTTGGCGGAAGCCGGCTCCTATGCAGCTCGAGCGAGTACATACTTTTGCAGCTTGCCGGTGACACTACTCTCGCGCTCTACAACGTTGGCGCCGAAACCATGGTCGTCGAGACGATTCCGTCGTCGCTGCAGCAGCCCTTTCATGTCGCTGCCATCTCGCCCACCGGCGCGACCGTCGTCCTGCTCGCCTCGGACCGCAACGCTGCCGTGCGATGGCGCGTGCCATCTCCAGGTATGGAGCCAAGCGTCGAGCCATCATCTGCGTGGTCGAGCATCTCGTTGGTCGCACCGTGTGGGATGCCATGGGCTGTAACCATGCGCTCGCGTCTACTTGGCGCTGTATCGTTCCCACTCTGCCCGATATGACACATATTGCAAGGTAGTGATGAATAGATTATAGACGTAATTTTAATGCAAGTTTATCTCTTTTGGTGGTTGATATAGCGCAGCGAGAGGAGTGCGAGGATGCGCCAGAGCAGGATGAAGCCAATGACCGCGAAAAAGTTGGTCCACCTGTCGTCGTAGTTCATCTCGTAGACCTTCTCGACATAGTCCTTGACGCGAATCTTCTTGGTGCCAAACTCGGCAAAGAGGCTCGGCGGAATGCCGTCCTCTGGCATGAACTTGCAGCCGATCTGGGTGTCGTCCGTGCACTTGGCGAACGTCTCGGCGACGAGGAGCGCGACCGAGTACTTGGGCGGTGTGATGTGGTAGAGCCAGCGGTAGCCGTTCGGGATCTGCGACGCGGGCGGGTTGTAGCCCATGAAGAGGAAGAAGATCGAGTTGAGGAGGACACCCATGAGCGCAGCAACGTCGACGCGGGGCATGCAGTACGACATGAGCTGACCAAAGTAGACGTTCATCAAGACGAGGAGAGAGAGGTTGAGGCCGTAAAAGAGGCACGCGCCGACCGACTCGTTCAAGCCAACAAACGGGTAAAAGATGATGGTGAAAGCAAACGTCGTGACGAGGCAGTACGGGATCTCGGCCAGCGTCGACCCGACAAAGTACCAGAGCGCGTTGTACGTCTGCGACGCGCGCTCGCGGTAGAACGACGCGCGTTCCTCCGACGGCGAGCG